AATTATAATGTATGTGATTATATGTGTATATATTAGAATATAAATTATATTATACTATATATTATTTATAATTATACAAATTAATGTGATACATATTTAGATTATGGCCTAGACAGACACTTCTTTTCAATTAAATAAAATATTACTTATTCGAAGTCTATTACTACATAAATTTGCAAATTTTACAAGATCATACACAATATTACGTGTAAGGAAGTTTATAATTTACAAAGTTGTTTCTTAATTGAAACTACTCTTTATTATCTTAAATATTAAGAGATCTGCCATGACCTCAAATATCTCAAATATACTAATTTTGGTTAATTTTGGCTCAATTATGATTTTGGTGTTGCCATATAGATAAAATTTTTGACAAGATTTTGTGGTATTGATTTTCAATGTTTCACAATATTAAAATTTTTATTTGCTTATAAAGTTAAACAGTTTACAGTTCATTCATTCAAAATGTCATTTATGTGAACATTGACACCACTTAGACTTAATTTGCAATCAATTCCGATTACTCCAAAGTTATTCTGATTTTTCATCGAAATTTTTCAATATTAATAATAATAAATATTTAATAAATTTTTAATAATTTATTTTATTCTTTTAATTTTTGCATTATACGTTGATCTCATTATTATTATTTGTGTCATATATATATGACCTAAACCTCCCATCAAGAAATACATTTGTATTTTTACTATATTTTTATTTACTAAAAATGATTAAAGTATTTTTAAATATTTCAGAACGAAAGAAAAAAAAACTTCTACGTGTACAAATTTGTAGTTTTCGCATATATAGTAAAATCATAAATAGTACAAGATACTAGTAAAATGATATTATGCCATATATACCCAAATATATATAATTTAAATATATATATATGATGTATATATTAAAAATATTAATTTTTACGTATATAAGCCGATTATCACTTACGTTATTTCTATTTTTTTATTTTTTTTCCCCAATTTAATTTATGATTTCTATAATTCATCTTAGGTTATCTTAAATGACACGTAAGAGCTTTTTTGTACATATATACTACATTATATAAATAATTAAATATTTGGACATAATATTTTGGTTTATAATTGATTTATATATAAAATTTTTGAAAATAATTAAAATTAAATTAAAACATTTTTAGTTTTTTTCTAAATAAAATATTTCATGCATTATAAATTGGTCGTCATATATATATACATTGTACATATATAGTCGACAATAGTTATTAAAATCAATTATTTTTAATAACCTAATTAAATATTATTGTGGAGCTCATGAACTAGATTTAAATACTAAAATTGAATACATATATATATATATATATAATTATATGTTATAATTAAATTATGAACTATGAAAGGTTAATAATATTAATAATTATTGCACGACTATCGAAATTTTTTTTTTAAATTATTTTTAAAAAATTTATTATTTTTAAACTTCCATTCAATTTTAACATTACAATAATTTTAAGTTTTATAGAAAAAGGAATTAAAACTGAACATATATGTGTACGTGTGTATGTTTTTAATGATTTTTTTGAATCATTTATTAATTTACGTCATAATTCTTGCATAATTGTCGTATATCAACAAAAAATACATATACGCAATATTAGGAAATAAAATACATTTGTTTGTATGTATGCAAATACGTGTAAAAATTGAAAACTCAATGAAAATATTAAAAAACAAAATTCATTTTAGAATATTGAAATTTAAAATTTTTATTTTCATTCCTATTGATAAAAGTTCTGCGTGTACATGTACTTTAAATACCTTAAAAAACATCTTCACTCGTGGTATTATCCTTTTTGACCATTTCAAATAAATTATTTATGTATGTGTTTCCAAATGTATCCTTGTTTACATTAAAAAAATAATTTTACATATTTCTTAGAAAAATTTAACAAATTTTAATGTTATTTTTTTTTTCTTCTCTTTTCATCTTCTTCAATTTTATTTATGAGTTTTTTTCAATAACAGATGAATTAAAATTCAATTAAAGAAATCTTTGAATTCACCGATACAAGAAATATTCAATGTTTTTGGCACTCAATATAGCCTATAAATTATACACAGTTTGTATTAATTCCGTCATATAAATAGACAAAAAGTAGGAAACAAAATAATTTTTTTGTTATGATACGAGTATGTATGTAGTATGTAGATAAAATCTTAATTTACGCGCACATTATTCTGTGGTTTTATAAGAAAATTGCTACATCAAGGAAACACTCTTTCCATAGTATATTAAATTTAATATTTACAATTTTGGAAGAAAATAAAATACGTAATCGTATTTTGACAAAATTTCAATATAACCATAAAAAATTAAAGCTTAGAATCTCTCGTTTGATGTATGTAGTGGGTTCTAGAAATTGCGCGTCCTGAATGAATGGGAAGAACGAGCCAAAATCGATCATTGGAAAAATTTCCTCGGCCTTTCTCATTGTCCTTGTAAAAAGGATATGGTTTTTGATTAAATGTAAGTAAAACTACAAAAATAATTTCAATTTCAATTGAAATTCAAAACCTGAAAACGGAAACTGATTTATGCAGTTTTCACTTTAACCCACAGATTTATGATACGTGAATGAAAAGGTAAATAATGTTTTTTAAACATATTATGTTCATACCTATAACTTGTAATAAAAATACTTTAGGCCATTTTAACGAAATTAATAAACAAATTTGGCAACCAAAAAAAAAGTACAGTATATAAAAGCGAAGAAAAACACAGAGAAAAAAAATTTGAAGAAATTATTCTTGATTTCAGGACTTTATTAGAAATAAAAAGGAAGATAGAAATTGAATTTCAAAAAAAAAAAATCTTGAATGTATGTGGGTGCCTATTTTATATTAAAATGGAAAAATAGAAAAACACATTTTAAGGATTATATGTAAAAAGCAAATGTTAAAAATTTGCAAGAAAAAAGAAATTTTCTGATGTTTTCATAATCAGCGCTTTGACTTTTGATCAAAGCAAAATACAAAAGCCAAAAAAAAAAAAACTTTTAAATTTTCTTTTAACACCAAATTTACATACCGTATCGAATTCTGAAATCATTGAAGCAAAATTATACAAATACATTGAAAATATATTGAAAAAACAACCACCAACACGAACCAACACTAAAAATTATTCAAAAAATTAAAAGTTTAGAACTGTAAAATAAAAATCTAATATTAATCAATTGGTATATCTTTATTGAACCCTCGAAATTTCAACCTCTTTGATATCATGTACCCGAATACTTTATCGATTATTTTGTTTTTAAATGACCTTAATGATTTTTACAGTTCAATAAAAAAAAAAATCAATTATCCGAATATTTTCATTAAAAGGATAAGAAGTCAGAAGATTTTATTTAAAAAAAAAAATAAAATAAAATTTTTGGGGAAGGTCAGGTTAGTTTTTACATAAAAAGTACCTATAAGTATATAAGTTAATAAATAAAATATAAATTAAGCCTCATAATCATGATTTTAATTTCAAATTTGGTAAAAACATACACTTAACATTTAAAATTGCATTCGTATGCCTAATTAATTTTTTTTTTAGTATTTAAAATAAGAGCTTAATTTCATTTTTACTACAAGATGGATTAAAGAACAAATTAAGAAGCAAATTATTCCACCTAAAATCATTATTGTAATTTCAAAATTCTCACATTTTCCCAGCAATGAAATACTCGTATAATATAGTTGGATATAGGAAAATGAATTTACTATACCCTTTAGGTATAGTAAATTTATAACAGCATTTACCTACTGAATTTTACTTATAGTGATTGGCAAAATAAGCTTTAATAAATTGTGTTTTTGAACGCAAAATTGTAATAGTAATGAAAATAATGATTCGCTTATGATTCATGTAATGTAAACTGAATAACATTACTTTCTTCGAAAATGCTAATGTAAATGAAATGTTATGTAAACGAAACATATTTTTATTATTTAATAAGGTTGTTATTCAAATTGTGTTCACATATAAATAAAAATAAAATGTTTTGAATCCTCTTATGGCCCCTGTTTTGATTTGCAAAAAATCTCATTTTTCATAAATATTAAAATGAAAAATATTTTACAAATAAACTTACCTACATTTTTTATAAATTTATTTTATTTTAAATTTTTTAAATTAAAATTTTTTTTTTGTTGTTTATGTTTGTACAAGATATTATTTATGTCATGTGTTATGCACTTCATTTTTCTATTTTTAAAATGTTAAAAAATATTACATAAAATAACTAACGTAAGCGTGGTTAAACTTACGAGTAAATAGATTACCATTAAAAGAAAACAAAATATGAAAAATTGAAAGGAAATTTTCTTACAAGAATAATTGAATAAGTATAGATAGATTATATACGTATAAAGTGCATATTTACATTTTATAATTCGTCCTTTTTGAAAGTGAAAATGCAGTGACATAAACAAAAACAAATAAACAATGCAACAAAAAAAAACATTTATTTTTGATTCCTTGAGAAAGTTTGCACATGATGGAAGAAAACATTTAAATGACCTTATGAAATATTTTTTTTTTCAATAAAATTATAAAACTTTTTTATATTAAATTTAAAGTTTTTCAAAACAATGTGATTTTATATAAAATTTTCATTTCTCAAACAAAATTTCAATTAACAAAACTATATAAAGCAAAATAGTAGCATTTTACGCAACGTGCACCCGAATGAATATGATTTAGATATTTAAATTTTTTAACTTTAATGGAAAATTTACTTTTTTTAAACTACAAAATGAAAATACTTTTCAAAGGTTTCTCTAACACTATGCCGTTTCAATTTGCAAGTGACATTGTAAAACTCTTTCAAAAATTCTCTTATATATTGCAAGAGTGAATAAGGATGAAAAGATTATTTTATTTTTTAATTTGTACTTTAAAATTATTCAAAATTTTTATGAAAAAATTATAAAATTTAATTTTCTAATTTTCATTATTTATTTTTTTTACAGATAATTTTATAAAAATATACTTTTCATCATGACTACACAAAAATTTACATATTTAATGGTATTTTTAATATTTGTAATATTTTTAAATAATTTCAATGTTGAATGCCGGCCAAATTATAATCAAAACAGACAATTAATTGAACAAATAATGCAACCAGATTACTCTCAATCAGATCAAGAAAATACACAAGATTATTTCGATAAAATGGTATAATTAATAAATAAAATCTTATTTAAAAATTAATATACATATATATATTTTATAAATTATATAGGCTCAAATATCTGAAAATGATCCAAATTTTTTATCAAATTGGCCATATTTACGTGAATTATTAAAATTAAAAGAACTATCTTCAAAGGATTCAATTCAATATGAAATGATACCAACACCACAGCCATTACAACAAATTCAACCACAGCCAAATCGAAATTTAATAAAAGATTCGGCACAAAAGAAGAATTCAAATTGTAAGTATAAATTTATTAAAGAATATATTGAAACTGAGTATTATTTGTTTGTATTTTAATTTTTAATTAAAATGCATTATTATATAACAATTATTTTTAAAATATAAAATTATTTTTAAAATATAAAATTATTTTTTTTTTTATAATTTTTAATGCACTTTTTGTTGACTTTTTTTTTTTATTTCCTTTCTTTCTTTTTTCTTGAATACTCGTATATAATGGCACAATATGAAAAAAAAAATTATTTTGCACTCTACGGTATTAATTTTTAATTTGAAAATCTCGTAAATGTTATCGTATTTTTCGAAAATCAAAAAAAAAAAAAACATTAGTTCGGAGAAATAGTAAGTATAAGAATTTTTTATATTTTAATTTAAAATCAAATAAATTTAATAAAATTAATAAAATTTTAATATTTTCAATATTCTTAGTTATTATTCATTAATATTATATTAACTAATTATTGTGTAATGTTTAATTTCATCTTATTATTTTAATTTTGAATATTTTCATTTTTTATGAACAGCGCAAATATAACAAAAAAATGATTAAATTTTTAAATAAACTTATTAAATTAAAAATGTTTTAAAATTGTTAGTTTTACATTATATTAATTAAAATTTTGCCACAAAACCTAGTTTTTTGATTACAATGATTCCACATAGGTTGACAGTTAATTAACGGCATTGAAAAATAAGAAATATCTTATATCAAATTATTTAGATAAACAAATTGCTGTTCCTGTATCTCAAGTTTTAGCAACTCCTAGAAATTAATAATTTATTTCGTTAAAAGTAATTTTATATTTTACCTTTATTTTAATAACCCAATTAACTACACAAATCCATAAATTTATTACGGCCTCTTTTAATTTGATTTCGAACATGAACGTATGCAATTATTACTAACATTAACATCAGTAAGAGAAAAACTAAAATACCTATATTTTGTGAGATAGTATTTTTTTATACTTAAAGTAATCTAAATTTCTAAATTTAATCCAAAATTTATTGCACAAATCTCAATAGGAAGATAGTTCACATATCAATATTTTAACATACATACTTATTCCACGAATTCTATCTATCCACCACCACAAGAGCCAAGGGCAAATATTGTGAATACGTTTGAGAAGTTCTGTAATCTATGTCAAATATGTAAATATATTATAAAATAATTATTATACATAAACCATAAATAGCTACGTATTTAATAAATTCTTAATAAATCAAAAATGTAATTTTCAAATTTTTCCTAACCATAAAACAAAAACATAAATATTTCGTTAGTCATATTAATTTTCTATTTTTTTTTTCTTAGTTACCTTGAACCCCCTGCGAAACTACTACTACAGTAGTTTATTTACAAACAAAAAATTGTTTACAATAAAATATCTACAATCGTATTTAAATTTTTTTTTGCTAAATTTATTTTTTAATCAAATTCTAAATTATTAAAAGATAGATACCGTAATTAAGTAATCAATTAACTAATAGTGGGGCACCATATTTATTTTCATTTTATTATTTATATAATTGAAATTTCTAAAAAAAAATTGGTAAAAGACAAAATATATATCTATATGAAAAAGTTAGCGTAGTTGGATTTTTACTATAAATTTTAAATCAAAAAAAGTTTTTAAATATATATATATATATATATATATATATATATACACAACGATAACTAATCTTTCATTATAATTATATTATACATATTTGTTATTAAAATAAAAATTTACTAATAAATAATTGTTTTGATTTAAATGATTATTATTTAGTTTTATTTATGTATTTTGTATATGCATATAATATATATAATTGTAATTTATGTTATAATTTATTTAAGTTTTACATTTTTATTAATTTCAATTTTGTTAATTATTTTTTTTTCTTTTACTTTATTTTCATTTTTTCTATATATAATTTTGTCAAATGGTTTTTTCGGAATGGTTTTTATTAAAAACAAATAATAATATATATGTATATATTATGTATAAAACAAACAAATAAAATTTAAACAGCATCAAGAAATGATTGTAAGTATACATATCTCTATATACTATTGTTTTAAAATTTTATTATTTTATTTTTTATTAATTTTTCGTAATTATTTTTTAAGTGAAAAATCTTTGCTTTACCTCGGTAATAAATCGAATTCCGTTTGATTTTTTATGAATTCTTCCAAAATGCTTTGTCCGAATTTCTTTTTCACTTTCAAGTTAAGTTTAATCAATATTTTCTTTGTACTTTGAACATTTGTTTTATATATTGTAGTAAGTACATATCATCGCGTTCGTACTTTATAATTTCTGTAAAAACTGTATATAATGCCAGAAAAACTGAACTGATTTTGCCTCTTTGTTTGGCTGACGGGACCGTGCAGCAGGTCCACCGCATCTCTATTATTGCCATGATAAGCACTACCCTTACTGATAGTGGAAAATAACATAGTAGGCAATTCATTTTCCTTCCATCACGCATGTGGGTAGGGGTGCATCCCAGGTGCCGGTCGCTGTCGCGTCGTTACAAACCATGCTTCCAAAATGGCGAAAATTTCCGCCTGAAAAGCACTCGACTCGTTATAGGAATAATTTTTATAAGTATTATTAGGCTAAACAAATTGATGGCCCCTGCATCAAAAATATTTAAAAATTTTATTTTATTGGTGAAGAATTATTTTATTTAACATTGTCAAAAAATATGCAAATTAGTTTACAATATTTAATATAATAAGTAATAATTCCAATTAACTATTTTATCAACTTTTTTTTCAAAAGTTCACAATATTCTTTTATATCTTCCAAATTTTAAATATAATTTTCTAGTTATTTTTCTTTTATACGAGTATATAGCCCTAAAACAAAATCTTTTTTTAGTTTTCTGAAAAAAAAACTATGATTATGTACATACAGACAATATTGAATAAGATAAAAAAATATTATTATATATATATTTCAGATATGCACGCTTGCCATTTCAAAATTTGTAACATGGGTAGAAAACGCAACGTAAGATATGATTATTAAATGCAGCAAAAAGAAGAAAGAGGACAACAAAAATTAAAAGAACAACCATTTTGAATTGTTTTTCTTCACGTGTACTTTAAATTTAAATACTTGTAATCTGAAAAATAAATTGAACAATATACATACATATATACACATAATTATAGAAAAAGATTTTAGAAATATAGATTTCTTTTTCTATATTTCTTATATAGAAAAAGAAATCTTTACAACCCTAAAATTATTATTATCGAAAAACTAAATTATTTGTCATTGAATATTATTATATCGTATGGCTATGCTGATAAATTTAGTAATACCGCATAATTTATAAATTATATAAAACATTATGATATATAATAGAAAATAGATATATACAGATGCTAAAATCCATTAAAGAAATTTTTAAATATATTTTGATTATTTATAAAAAATCAGGTAAAAATATAATAAATAAATACATATTAATATAATATGTGTAGGTATGAAATTATAATTAAGAAAAAATTTTGTGAAAAAAATTCTATCTTTATTACAAAAAAAATTATATAAACACACCTACATTCAAAATAAAATTAATTAATTATAGCAAAATTACATAAATTTTTTTATTTAATTTTTAAAATTATAACATGTATTAATTTATAATATTGTATATATTATGATAATATATAATATATAGATACATACTCATGCATAAATTATTCCACAATATAAAAAAATATTATATTGGTAATAACATATACCTATATCATGAAATTTAATATTTTTACAATCACAAAAATAAAAAAATAATAAATTTGTAAATGTTTAATTATAATCACTTAATTTAATTATAACCACTTAATGTTTAATTTAACTTATAACCATTTGTTATTCGAAAAGGAATTATATGTATGTATGTATGATTAATTAATAAAAGTCATTTATTTAATTGAAAATCAATAACGTAATAATTAAATTTAAATTTTACAAAAAATACAAATTTTAAAAATAATTTGTGCAAGGCATACAAATTAATATTTAAAAAAGTAAAGACAAATAAAATTTTAAAATTAAAATATGGTATTTAACAATTGGTAATATAAATTACCTCTATATTGTATAAAAACATTTAAAATTCATTATTATTAACTAAACTAGTTTTATTTAATTTTTTTAAATAAATAATATAAAATATTTTGAACAGCATTTATTGATTTCATTATTCATGGCTGTCATTCATTTAAGAATATAAATTTGAATGTTGAGTTATAGATTTTTACTTCTATATACTAATTTTATATTAGCGTATAAATATTTTAATTTTTCCTATATAAAAATTTTAGTATGATTTTTATTTAATTTATCTTATTATAAGTTATACGCATATTATTTTATATTTCTTAAATTTTTTAGTTTATATTTAATTTATATTTGAATCGGTACTTGTTTTTTTAATACTATTAAAATAGTTTTAGAAAATCGCATTTATTAATATTAATTTTCACTTTTTTCATTTTTTTTTTTTGAAAAAAAAAATTTTGACCTAAATACGTTATCTTAATAATTTTTAAAAATTTAGTCGAATAAAGGCATTCTTCATTTCAAATAAAAGAAAATTAAACATATAAAATGAAAAAATAATCATAAAAATGGTGTATAAATATTTAACTTATTTTTTTATTCCCCAAGCAGTATAAATTAATTTGTAAAAAAGAAAAAAATCTTAAAAAGGTAATTTTATATGTACATAAAAAGTGTAATGTTAAAATATAAATTATTGTATAAAATCGAAATCAGTATAATTTTCCCCCGTGTTTATAATAAGAATGTAAGTTGATGATACAAAACTAATTTCTCATTAAATAAAAATACATATTTAAATTTAATAATATTATTGTATTTTAATTATTCATATTGAAGATCTTTTAGAACGGTCAAAATTAGCAAAAGAGAATCAATTATATTAACAGAGCACAAACTAAAACACAATAATATTGAATCTTCTGAAGTTAGAAACAATTCAAATTGAAAGCAATTCCTTTATCAAAATTCAACAATAATACGCCTTGTAATCTCACAATTTCTATTCAACCTCTCTCTACAACTTCTACTTAACAACTTCTTTAAGAATCGAGCGTGCTTTTATGCCCATGCTTTTAAAAGTGGTTATTATGTCTCAAAATAAAAAGTGTGTAATAAAAACAAATAAAAACTTTTTTTTTTTAAATAAAATCTTATGCCCCTTATAGAGTATTAAATGAATTTATGGGTGTTTTTAAAATATAAAGATTCAAATTGTCCAAAATATGAAATAATAATTACCGAAATTATTGTTTTCTATTAGATTCAGACCACTTCTATCTTTACATTTTAAAAACTACCGCTAAATTTGTTATTTAAAAATATATAAAATAATTTTTTATATAATTTTATCAAGTGATATCTTATGCAAACATAACACGTCTCGGCGTAGTATTATAATATTACATCGATGGTTATCAAGAAAAGAAGTGTCGGAAATACTAGACTCTACGCCTAGTATAACGAAAAACTAAAATTCTAATTGAAAAAATACTAATTGAAAAATGTTAAGAAATTTCGTATATTTATCTAAATTAAAAAGGTTTGAATTATAAGACAAAAATTATTTTGAATCTTGTAAATTTTTCCAGGAAGTGAACAATTTTTCGGTTAAACTCTTTTGGTCTCCCTAAACGTAATATGTTGTAAAGAAGATGATAAAATATTTTTGCAGCTTTTTATCACTTACACCTCTACATGAATGATCAGGAATTATATCACCATATGCTCAAACAGCTGAAATTGGTAATGTTGGAGGAAATTTAAATTACGGGAATAGATTTCAGACGAATAATTTATCTTAGATATAAAAATTCCAAGTCAGATGCGGATGTAAATCTAAAAATAATTTATAGGCTTGTTCTTGTCAGAAATAACGTTAATTTCTTATTTATAAATAAAAATATATACCTATTTATATATTTAAATTAAATTCTTAATAAAGTGAACGTTGTATAAAAGCAAATGTACAGTACTACTCACTTATTTACAGTTGAATAAGCCCTCCCCATTAGATACATAAACAATGTAGCTGTAGTTAAAATAACAATGTTTTTTTGCACTAGTCCGATACTAAAAAGACATTTTCAACGAATTTCGCACCGTATTTTTTATATCGTAAGCAGAAATTTCCATATTCAATTCTTTTGCAAAATAAAGTTCAATAATATTAAAACTCTAACAGTAAAAGCAATAAAAGTTGAAAAACCTTTTAAATCTTATGAAATATATTTTTTTATTTATCATATTTCTAAATAAAATTATTATTACTTACATGAATTTTTATATTTTGAACTGAAATTTTTTTTTTGGATAAAACATGCCTATCTTATATACAAAATATTATGTACAATTATAATGTTTAAAGCTTACACGATAATAAAACTTAAAAGAACCAATTTTTTAAAGTAAAACTTATCATAAAGGGTAAATCAGCTCAATTCGAATGAGTAACTGTTAAAAAAGTTTCATGGCACACATCATAATTAAAAAACAGTTAATCCTCCGATTCCTTTTCTAGCTCTTTTATTTCTTTTAAAAAGGCCTTTTTTTTCTTCACTTTTTCAATCTTGTGGGAAATTGAAAAAAAATAACATAGGTATTAATTAAAAATTGCTTTACTCTAAAATTAAAACCTACCTGATCTTTATTAGGTTTTTTAAGCTCACCAGATTTGATTTTTGCTAAAATTGTTTTACATTTTATTTATTAATGTTTTATAAAGTAATATTACCTTCTATAGCTTCTATTTCTCGTAATTTCTTTTTTAATTTTTTCAAATTTTTGGCAAGCTCTTGCTTCTCATTCAACTCTAATTCATTTAATTCAACTCTTATTTCCTCTTCAGAATCTAACTTATCTTGGATGTCATTTTCAACATTGACCTCTTTACATTCAGATTGTTTAACTACTTCAGTATTCTCCTTTTTTTTAGATTTTGATGATGTGACTGTTGAGGTATTTTGATTAACCGAATCGAATAATACCTTACAAAAAATTACACCTTTTTTATTTTTTTTGTCTTGTTTTTCTCGTTTCTCTTTTGCTGCCTGCGCTGCAATTGGACACATTCCTACTGGAAAGTCAGACCGCTTAGCGGCAAATTGTTTCCCCTTACTTTCATAAAGTGGAACTTCCTCTTGAGGTACATAACCTTCTTTTACTATAATAACAGAAATATGTATGTACAATATTAATGAACACTTCCTAAAAAAACTGTATTATTTAATTACATATATACCTCTTCTAGCTTTCCTCCAAGTTCCATCAGGTCTTTGGGATGCAGGAATAAATTTTCCTAATTTAAAAATAATTTAACTTTTTATATTAAGATTTTCTGAATTTACTTATCTAACTTAGTATAAGATTAACTTAGTTTAAAATTTACAAATAAAATGCTAAAAACATATTCATTTAAAGGACTTTTGAAATTAAAATCATAACCAAAATTTCAAAATTGGTTTTTTTTTTCAATATATTAGATTTATGTAATATGAATGAAATAAAATAATATTTACAACTAAAAAATTTTACGATTTTACCATCGCTATCTGTTGAATATGTTGCCATATCAATTTATAATTTAATTTAAATCAAATTCCTTATTTATATTTCCAAATTCGTATGTACGCTGAAGGCAGCAAGAAAAGAACTTTCATCTTTTTGACTTTGATAGTTTGATGTCAAAAATTCGCTTAAGGGCTGAACAAATTTTGAGAGAATCTCCAAAATAAAATCGGAATATTCGGTTTGTACTTACATTAGTCATATTTAGATCAGGCAAGTCGGTTTGCAAACTAAAAATTGTCTGCCTAGGTAAAGCTCAAAAAATTTATTAAACTCATTTAAATCTTAAAAGGGTTTAAAAATTTAGCTTAAAGGATAGTTTTAAAATAACTTGAATAAAAACTATGTTTTTGACAACTCAACGTATTATGTCAAAATTAATATGACTTGTCAAAAAATTAAAAAATTGTTTTGGAAAAAAAACACTCACAAGACAGAGTTTATTATTTAATAAATAAAGTGAAATGAAATATTATGTGTTCGCAAAGCCAATATGAGTTTCTTAAGAAAAACGACAACATCAAGCGATTTGATGTTGTATGGGAAAAGACATACGAATCATGACTGGCAGTAAGAACAATATTTTCGGCCCACAGTTAAAAAAAAACTAAGTTTCAATTTTTATATCTTTTAGAATACCACCAAAAGTTGCCTTAATATAACATAATATTGATATAACAATTACTAATATAACAGCAACAGCATCAAATGTTGTTACACTAAGTATAACTATTATTGCGCATGAATTTGAATTATTGAAATATTGTTCATGAATTTTTGTTGATCTGATTAAACTTTGTTATATTAATATTTTGCTACATAAACGTCCGTAGATTTTGATCAACTAAAAACAAAAGCTATATGAAAAAGGAGGTTTTATACGAAAACTTTAGGTTATGTATTACGCCGGAAAAAACCGTTCCATTTACAAATTGCGCAATTAATCTAATGATTAGTTTGAACCTGTAGATGAGACATCGCTCATATCTAACGCTCTATCAAAAGCGATCGCTTTCGCTCTTAAACTGTATTGTGCCTTATTTGGTCGAACACTCAACCGCTGTGAATCATCAAGCGCTGCAATAGCAATATTGAAAATATTCGATTATCACTTTGTAACATAGCGAATACAAAAAGAAATCAAATTCGAAAAAAAATTTCTTGGGAACACACTTTTGCGTTAATTTCAACAAAGTTTTTAGAATTTTTTTAATGATTTCTATCCAAAATTTACATATTGGAATTTAAATTAAATTAAAATTCAGGCTTTTTTGCAATCAATTTATAAAAGTCCTTGAGAACACAATACGCGGGGCTAAATATTTTGCGCGGATTTAAAAAAAAATGGAAAATTCCAAAAGTAAGTTCATAATATACATATAGCAGTTAAGCACTGCTTCACTCTAGTAAATGAACAAATAAAATACAATATCTGATTTTGTAATATTTCACAGGATTTCAAAAAATTCCTTGTAAACCTGAAGAAATTTTAGAATTAAAACCTAGATATCAGGTAAAGTGTTTTTATTTTGAAACGATGATTTTTAAAATTGTGATATCTTTTTAAGGCAGTTAGACAGAAAGCATTAAATCTTTTAGAAACTTCTTTAAAAAATAGAAATGACTTGAATAAACAATCTGAAGAAGGTCATTATTAATATATAGATATTAAAATTAATAAAAAAAATTTTTTCACTTATGATAATTAATATTTTAGCATGTAATAAATCTGAGCCTAAGTCGATAAATATAAGCGATATTTTGGCAGAAAATACTATAGTTTTGGATTCACCTTTGAAACAGAATCAAAAAAATGGGATAAGTCTAGAAAAAACAATAGAAAATAATGAGGGCGAAATTTTATTTAAACCCTCTGAAATAACAGGCAGATCAACATTATTTAAACAGTCTGATTTGTTAAAAGATAAAAGTGATGTAACTGTTGAAGACATTTTAGCATCAAGTCTCTGCGATAAAATTCGACGTATTACATTAAGTGAAAAAGATAATTTTAAATTATCCTCATTTAACTCTATAAGCACAAATTTTTCAACTGATTCTAAAATTAACGAAAGTTTCAAACCTGGCGAACTTATGGCATCTCAATTACTTCGTGATGAATTATCTTGGGAAAATGATTATTTACCAATACCAAGTGCCGAAGCAATAGTTCAAGCTGCTGAGAAAAATAATTCTTATTTATGCAATGTTGAAAATTCTTCAAAAACTAATCAAGATTTGAGTAATATTTCAGAAATAGAAAACTACTTTTTCAAGCGTTCCAACCAATTGGAAAGTATTATTAATCCTGATGTATCGAGTCCACCAAAAAGAAGCCCCGTAAAACTAGTAGACGATGAAAAAGAAAAGCCTTTGCAAGAAGGTAATGCGATTACCTGCCCACCTATTATAATTAAATATAAAATAAATTTTGTAAATATACTTTTTAGATACCTTTTTAAATATGAACACCAACAACATTACTTCATCTACAAAAACTTATACAAAAAGTCCATCCGAAGAAATAAGATATTACAAAGAAAAAAAAAGTAACCAAAACGTACTTACAATGTCAACTATCGAAAATGTTTTAAAAAAATTAAATTTCAATGACATGAAAAATAGTTCTGAAGTAAATAAGTTTTTAGAAAGAAGAAAAGATTCCGAAAAAGAAAACATACAGCATAAACCGTACGATGACACTGTTACATTTTCAGAATCTATGTTGGACGATTCAAATGGTAATAGTTCAGTGGTTTCAGAACAAATTTCCAAAGGTAAATTGTATTACTTTATAGAACAATGTAAGCAATAATCCAATAAATTATATTGTTTTTCAAACCCAGTTTTAAAAAATTCAACAACGGGAGATGTAAGATTAGCCAAAAGCCAACCAAACTTTTCTCAGCTATTTTTGAAAGAAAAAGAAAAAAATATATCAAAGAAACGATCACGATCTGCTAATAGATGTCTTATTCCAGAGTCTTTGCAATCTACTAAATCACTATCATCCACATTATTAAATGGTTCCAAATTCAAAAATCTTTTAGAAGTTGATAATAAAATTCAGCCACCTATTTCTCCTATACGATCAAAAAGTATTACACCAAAAAAGAGGCAAGATAAAAACCTTCAGAATTCACCAATTTCGCTCAATACTACTACAGCATCTGACCGGAATTTCCTTTGTATTGATGATAATGAAAAATTACTTTCCCCTATGTCGAGAATATCCAAAAAAAAATCAACATCGCCGTCCATTTTATCAGAACCCATAGTTCAACCATTTGCAGGTTCCTTAGCATCAATAAAATCTCGCTGTAACTCTCAATGTTCAACTTCCAGTGAATTTACGCATAGAGATGGACAATCGTTGCCGATAAAAGCTACATTCAAGCAATGTTGCTTTGGAGCGGTCAAATTAAGAACAATTGTAAGAAAGTCAGTTGGAATAAGAAATATTTCCATCAAAAAATTGTCTTTCAAAGTTGAAATCGAAGGACCAGGTTTTCAAATTGAAAATATGGAAAACAATTCAATTGTAGTTTTGCAAGGTCAAGAATGTCGTTCGTTTTCAATCAGTTTTTGTCCCACTATGTTAGGATCGGCTATCGGAAAACTTAGTTTCAGCCCACCTTACGAAGGTTGGCCAATAGGTATGGAAAATTGAAATATGAAACAAATTTGTGATTAAAATTATAACTCTCAGATAAGGTCATACTATTGCAAGGATATGGCGGTCATGCTAGCATCAGAGTTCGTGATTTTGAAAAAGGACCTGCAGGTCCACCATATATAAACCTGGGAGATATTCAAGAACTGTCTCAACCTCTAATAAGAACTTTCACAATTTATAATCGCGGTCCTTTGGCTGGATTTGCTATTGTAAGCTTGAATTCGTCTGGTTTAGTATTTTCAACCTTATGTGAGTGCATCGAAATTGAACCTAAAAGAGCATACATACCCCCAGAATCAACTATAAGATTCCGAATTACTTTTCGTCCACGCCGAAGTGATATTAAAAAAATGTTATCTAAACTCTGTGAAGTAATGTGCATTGCAAATATCAGAATTATAACAGGAGACGATTCAACTCGTCAAAGAATTCGTAATATCATAAAGTTACATGAAAATGAATTACCTGAGCTAACCCAGTCAAAATTATCCAACTGCTGGACAATATTAAATAATGAAATCGCATTAAAAGATGTAAATAATTTCACTGAGAGCCCGGAAAATGCTCTAGAATTGGCAAGTGGTTTTCGCGACTGGGAAGGAGTTCTCACGATTACTCACAATTGTATGGATAATACGAAAAATTCATCACTAGTTTTTCCGGATCTTGATGAAACTATTTTATTCCGCACGATGATTTCTGCTAATTCTGGGTCTAAGCAAAAAAGTCTTGCTGTTGAAGATGATCACCGTAAACTTTCAGAATCTTACTCAGTAAGACCAAACGTCTTACGATTTGATCATCGGACAGAAATTATAAAAAAGGCTACATTTACAATTGAAAGTTTCTTTAAAATTGAACAATATTTCGAAATTACTTCGAACTTTAAAAATTTATTTAACATACATCCAAAAGAAGGGAAAATTTTTCCGGGCCAAATTGTAGAAATTGAAGTGAATTTGCTGGACTGTCATTTCACTACATCAGAAAATATTAACATAATTGTAAGGATTTTAATTTTTTTTATTTTTAAAAGATAAAAATTAATTTTTTTAGGTATACTTTGAGCTTGAAAAGATAAATATTCCGGTTATACTTAAGGGAGATTGAAATTTCCATAATTGCTTTTTTCGAAAATTTTTAATATACACGTTTTACGAACATTCTAAATGAAGATTTTTATTTTTAAATGACGATTTTTAGCAAATCATTAACAGTATCCATCAAAATTTTAAGCTTGTTGTTGCATATTTCGCTTTCTTCTTTGAGATATAAATTCTGGTTTTCAGCTACGAAAGCTAACTGTTCAATAGCATTTACAAAATCATATAACAAATTTTCTTCTTCTGTAAATGCCTCCACATTTGATTGATCATCATAATTTTTTGTTGTCGCCTCAAGTTCTAAAATAAATTTCTCGACTTTTTCTATTTCATTATTATAAGTTTGGAGATTTTTCGAATTATTCTTGAAATATCTCATATTACTTTCTAAATTAAGCTTACATTCTTTGAAATTATTAAAAATTTCTTTAGGGGTTAAACTGCAGTCAATTTTTAACGCAGTGTTTCTTTTCGTACTTATGCCTAATGTTATATTGGAAGCAATTTGAGTAGAATTGCAAGGTGAATTATAAAATTCCTTTACTGTACCTCTCCTTTGGATCACAGTTGCATTCAACCTTGAGAGTTCCTTGTTTTTTTTGTGACGTTGCAATTTGTGTGGAACATGATCGATTTCTTTGAAAAAATCTTGAATTTCTTCAACAGTGACTCCGTCCTTCGATGGAGTGCAATCTATATCATTAATTTCTTTTTCCAGCCTTTTTTTAAATGCTTCTAAGTCTATTAAATCTGGATTAAAAACTAACTTTTCTACTAGTAATTCATATTCATTTAAATTTAAATTGATGGATTCCGCTAATTTGTATAAATTCGAATCTTTGTTTGTATCCATTCTTAATTTTGAAGAAACCAAAACCACCTCAACCTGATTTAATTAATATTTAATATACGTTTTCCTTTTTAAAAAAGTTAAACTGACACTTCCTTTATAAATATTTGACGTGCGGAAATTTAATAACTAAACTAATCGAATTTATGTATCGATAGTAGTCACAAAACTCAAGTAACTCAAGGGATGACCATTACAAAAATTAATTTTTCAAATATTTATTTACGATTCAGGTGTATTTTTATTTTCGCTTTGTGGATTTCAAAAGATGCCATTTTTCATACATATATTACGAGTAAATTTTTTATATATTACTAGAAAATTTTTATTAATTAAATTTATGATTCAAACAAGCAATATTGGCAACGGGAATGAAATGTATAATAATGTAAATAGGTATATGTATTTATGAAAAAATTTATGTGAGTGGATATTCATGAGTTGGGTTAATTTTTATGTAAAAGAGAAAGAGATTTATTTTATTTATATTACATCAAAATTTTCTTGAAGGAAAATCAGTTCATTTTAATTAAGCTTTCTACTGTTTTTTTTAAATGTCTATTATTTTTTAAAATATCTCCTATGAAATTTGAAAAATTTAAATGTCAACACTTGACAGATACAATAAAATATCGATTTTAATACTTTGAAAAATAATATTGCCATTGCAGTTTCGTAATCTCGGTGATTGAAATTTGTAATTACTGGAAAGTCTACTTAGTTTGAAATTCGTAGAATTTCATCACTATAAGGGTGACGAAATTGGTAATTTTTTCGATTTCAGTGATACGAGAAGGGTGCTGATGTCAAACTTCCATTACACATCTAAAGCTTTACTATACCCAATTCGTATTGTACTACCTTCTCTTTTCTGCAAATATGCCCCTAATTTCATCAGATTCAGACAAAATCTACGATTATTAATCTACTAAAAAGCATTTTCGTTTACTTACATATCTATAGATTACAATCTTCGATTTAAACAATTCGAAGTAAAATAAACAAACTTCCAAAATTATAAAATTTAGAATTGTATTTTGACCAATCTAGCACAATTTACTCAACCAAATATCTCAACACTGATTTCACCCGGCCCTAAAAAAAACGTAAAATTTTTATATTTTACTACTGCACTACTTGGGATCTACCATTGTTAAAGACAAAGAGTGTCTGCGTTGAAAATTAGTTTTGTTTTTTTAAATGCATTTTTCAGATGGCATTTACCAACCGATTTTTTCGAATTTTAAATTTTAAGTTAAAACAAATATGTAGAATCAGTAGAGCTAATAATATTGATCAATTTCCTTCACACAAATAAATTCCGACACTCCTTCCATTTAAACCCATATAAATTTGGAATTTATTTTTGATTTGCTCTCGTAAGCTTTGTGGCCTGTTAGATATATGGCATTAATTAAAACACTTCTTTTGTAATATATATTGCCGTTTCCGAAAATTTTGATTTAAAATTTATTTGATCTTTGACAAGCAATTTTAATCATATTTTAATACTTGTAAAATCTTATAAAGCTTTATTTAAAAAATTTCATTAAAAACCCATAAAGGTTGCTACTCATACTTTTAATAGCCTTTAGGATTAAAAGCATGCCGTTGCAATACTTAAAAATTTATAAAACTGAAACTAAAAAAATATTGACAATAATTTTCTTAAACTTGTACTGTTCTTATGTAAAAACTATATTAAAATTTTATAACTCCTAAGATGGCGATTGTTTTAACAAAAATGAGGTAAGATGGTTATTGATATTCCTATCATACAAACATAAAAACATTAAAAATTTAATAAGATTTCATATTGTTTGGCAAACTATTATTTTAAAATATATTGGTCAAATATTATACATATTATTAATAATTGTTTACAAAATAAAACTTAATATATACTTAGAAAAGTGTGCTTATGTACCAAAGTACATTAAGGTATACATACATGACCATTTGTTTAAAAAAATAAAATGTAAATTTTGATTAGATTGAACATTATTGAAAAACAAAATATACGTATTTCCAAGATGGTAAATATTACAAGTTTTCATAAACAAATATTTAATGAAATCATTTAAATAAAAGTTGTAACACAAAAACCTGATTTCCTCAAATTTGAAAATATTTCCTTTTACGCCCTCTTTCACATCAAATCACTTTTTTTCGAGCAAAGATAATTTTAATGAACTATATGTCCTTCTTCTTTACATTCATCATCCCATTTAAAATGTCTCTCTGGGACAAGATTGATAATCTCAACATGTATTGCTTGATGCTTCTCAAATTTTGGAGGAATAGCACACAAACGATAACTAACTTCATCCCCCGGTAATGGAACATATTCACCTTCTATGCTAAATTTGTCATAGAAATAATTTGATTGTAATATTAAGTGCAATATAAATTAATGTTAATTTACTCTGAAATATGAACAAAAAGATCCTCCCCACCAGATTTGGGTGTGACAAATCCATGTCCTTTTCCTCTGCTGAAAGATTTTACCACGCCAGTTTCCACTGGATTTTTCATTGCACGAGCACATCTGCAAATAAATAAAATCAAATCTCAATTGAATTGCTTTAATAAATTTGTTAAGGAAATTGATTTTTCATTATTTTGAAAAGGATACCTAGTCTAAATGGAAAAACTTTTTAGAATTTGTCACTCATCATGGTTTTTATGTATGCATTTTATACCTCCTACTTACTAAAAAACTAAAAATAAAAGATACAGGTACTAACAGGTAAATTTTAATTTATTATGTTTACCACGAAATAAAAACTGTTATTCAAGTTGATATGAACTAACACAAAATAAGTTGATATTAACATAAAAAGTAAATGGGATATAAAGAACTAAATAGGTTCCATTCAATAATGTTGATATAAAGCAAATGGAATTTCTTAAAAAATCAGTCTTAATTAGAGATATTTTTGCTTTAAAAACATTCAACAATAAGTATTCAATATATACTTACTTATAATTTTTCGAAATCCAATTTTTTTTAATATTTTTTAATATTTTATAATATTTTTTTTAATATTTTTTTTTAATTTAATAAAAAGAACTTCATTTAATTCGAAAGACACTATGTTGGTGCTTATATAAATATAATTCGTGCATTATACACGCACTTTATGAGGAGAAAATGAGCTTTGATAAAGAGGACATATAAAATTCAATAAAGTGTCTTCTTTCTTCTTCAAATTAATGATTCAAATTTTCTATTATTTGAAATATTAAAAAAATATTTTATTTTTCTATACAGATAAATTTCCGATTTTCAATTTGCAGCTAAATATAAATTTCCGAAGCTGATTTAAGTTTGGATTATTTCCAGATTTTCAGGTCGACATAACTTATAAAACTATTTTTTTGTTAATAAGTCCTATCATTTCTTTTATATTAAAAGCCAAATCCTTGACACTTTGAGAAAAACTTAAGTTGAAGAAACTTATAGGTATTATCCTATTTACAGAAAACCTTATCAGTAATAGTTTGCTTTCTATGACCAATCTTTTGAAATTATGTATAAATTTCTTCTGGGGTTTTAAATTCAACGTAATTATAAACGATGAAGTGAAAATAAAAATACTTACGTTGATGCTGTTCTAGTCCTTCTTGTAATTATTGGGCTCGGCAACTGCAGTAAGCTTGGACTATTCCCATTGTCAATATTATTTTTTGTTGGAGATCCTTCTGGGGTCAATGTTTCGGACATATTTTAAAATATAAGATTATTGTAATTACACTGAAAATTTCTCTCCTTAATTTTAAGTAAAAACAACGTTGAAATATTTTGAATTATGAAGCTCAAATTAATATATAATAATAGGCTAATGAATTTTATCCAATAATGTCAATTGAAGAGCAATGGCGATTAGTGATACCCACTATCAAGCAAAAACTATCGGATTTTTCGATATTTGTATAATAGCTTAATTCTTTCGATAGTTTTTAAAAATATTAATAAGGAATACATTACACGCCATTTACAAATGTCACTTTCTACTTTTACCAGAAAGAAAGAATTTTTTACAAGATTTAAGAACACGATATAATTTTTTCTCTGAGAAATTGACCTTTATTTTAAACTAATAAGAACATATATGCACGAAATTTATGAAGAAAATAAGAGAGTGCACGAAATTTATGAAAAAAAAAATTAGCAGTTGTCAAATTTTGAAGTGCCTCTTGATTATGTTCATACTTTTATAGATTAAATGGGATAAAGTAGGATTACTGAAGTCTTGAAGAACTTTTAAATAAAAAGTAGGAAGTAATACAATATATCATGAAAATTATCAGTAGTTTTCATGCAAAGAATAATATGGAAAACACGTAAAATCATGCAAATAGATAAAAATGTTTTTAAGTTGCAATGGTTCAATTATTAACTGTCGATAATTGAAATTCCTCATTAGTTTCAGTCACGATACCTAAAAGCAAACGTAATATTGGTGTTCTTCAAATTCTTACTGAATATATTACAACTTGCAATATATTACTGCGAGTACTTAATGCCACTGGTAAAGTATTAATGGATTTCGGGTTCATATAAACGTTACTTGATTTGAAATTATCAAGTTAAATTGATCCAATAACATTATTAGCTTGACTTGAAAATCGACTGCATATACGAAAATTAAAAAAAATTAAAATTACAAATTATTATATACATAATGCTTATCAGCTAATGTCAAACTCAAGTTAATTTCACAAGAAAAAATAATTAACGTTTTTGATGAACTTTCATACTGAAATTTCAACTTAAGTCCTTGATCCGTCATAAAAACGAAGTGGTCAAGTTGTTATTTTCGTTTGCTACGTTATCATCAATCTTCTACTGTCCGTATTGTCATTTATTATTTTTTTTTTTGATTGGCACTAAAACTTATTAAACTTTTCAATTGTATTTATAAATCTAGGAAAAGATTTTATTAAATAATATATTAATTAATTTAAAAGCAAAATTTTTTATATCGTCATAATGATTTTACAAAATTATTTTTTATAAATAAAATTTGATAAAACAAACTACCCAGAAAATGGTTGAATATATTAAAACTTTCTTCTGTATTTTCACAAAGTCGTAAAATTTTAAAAAATATTTAAAAAGAAAAACTTATGTAAAAAATATTTTATATATATTTTTATATGTTGCCTTAAAACTGTCAAACATTACAATTTACATATTTCGTATTTAACATAAAATTAATTTTGTGAATTTTTCGCAGTTCTGGCACATTTTGATTACATTGGTGTCAACACGTCTAAGCAATAGAAGAAACCCTGTATTATGAATTATGATTAGTTTAACATTTGAATTTAACTAGATCATTTTAAGTTTTTATTTACATTTTTTCCCGGGAAGAAGTCTTACTCCGTTTCTTTTACAAATAAGTTATTTTCTTTAGATATTGTTACAAAAAATATTGACAGATATTGTCACTATAAATATTAGGATTAGGTATTTTTTAAAATAATATATAATCAGATGGAGGAGGTACATATTCAATTGAACAACGACAACCCCGGAGTTTTGAACCTTTCGTTAAGGAATGAAATTAATACAGAAAATGAAACAGGGGCAGAAGAGGCACTTCCTCAGGTACCTGTAGATTCAGTGGAATTTGCACCTCCGATTGCATCTAATAATAGTTTACCGTCGCCAGACGTGATTATTGTTGACAACGACAACAGTTCAAGAGCCGAAAATTTTACGGTAGAAACTGAAACTCCAACTAGTTCAAGGAAAAAACGTAAACGGTAAGTTTTTATGAAAATTTAGCAGCCATATATTTATAAGTTAGTATAAATAGTATGTACGTTTTTCGCAGATAAAGGGTAAATCTGTGTCCTTTAATTTTGCAAAAAATCCGTGTATTTATGCGATTCTAATAGTCAATAGGCCATAATAGAACTTGCAGATTTGAATTTTTAACTTGAAACACTTGATATGTCTTTTTTCATCATTTTTTTCTTTTGAATTTTAGTCGGTCGAAAAGCAAAACGTCTAAGGAATCAAAAATTGACATATCTTTAACTGAAGAGGACGATGATGGTTCCATATGCATGATATGTTGTGAACACTATACCATGTCGGGAGAACATAGATTAACATCCTTAAAATGTGGCCATCTATTTGGTGAATCTTGTGCGCGTAGGTGGTTGTCGCAATGTGGAAATGCAGCTACACGTTGTTGTCCCTTATGTAAATCAAAGGCAGATTTTCGGGATATTAGACATATTTATGCAAAAAAAATAGCTGTGAAAGACAACACAGAAGAAGTCAGGTTAAGGGAAGATTTAAAAATGGAGAAACAACGAAGTCACAAATTGGAAACCGAACATCAATTAATGACCTTAGAATTGAAGTTAATTCAAAAAAAAGTTGTAAAGTTGGAAGCTGATATAGAAAGAATGCGCAGAATAGCAAATGCTAATGCTAGTTCAAATGCTAGTTCCATTACAGCATCATTCATAGATAAGCCTACCAAATATTTATATGATCATAAAATGCACATGATAAAAAATTTAGAAATATGTTCAGAGCCAGGCTGCCGTTGCTTAGCGTATGCGTCGAGTGAAAAGCAGTTATTTGGTAAATTTTAGTGTCAACCATATATATTACAGAAACCCAAAATTATAATATTTTTTTTAACTTCAGCTTCTCAAAAATCAATGCAGAATCTTTTTCGAGGTTACGGCGTTAAATATATTGATGTTGCAACTGACTTTAAACCCACGGCGTTCTTATATACTTCAACCAAAGTTTTGAGAGACCTATCTTTAACTTCAACAGAAGATTTAATTTCTTGCGCGTCACAAGAAAAAATAATTAAAGTTTTTGATGTTAAAAATAGAACAGTAATGACAACTATCACTCCATCAGAAAAAGATATATGGTCTTGTGCATTTGATCAAGATCAACGTAGTCATTTATTATATTTAGGATCACAACATGGGAGTACGTACATATACGATATCCGCAGTACCCACCAATGCTTGGAAGAAACATCAAATGTTGATGACACAAGCCCTGTGATAAATATTTTTCCAGTACCGTCGTCAGATATGTTTCCTTTTGGTGGATATCTGGTCTGTAAATTACAAAGTTTATGGTTTTATGAATTTTTGCCTACTCAACGGTTAAGTCCAAATAAATTAGCTGTAGAAGGACCATTTTTGTCAATAAATTATAATAATATAACGGATACTATATTGATATCAACAAGAATCAGCGCAAAATTTCCTATGTCTAAATATATTTTAGGTAAATTAAACAAAATAGATAATATAGTTATGTTTCATATAGAACTAGAATTATTCGGCTCACGAGTTATACGCATCATGTCAAGATGCACACAAATTCCAATAAAAGGCAATAGCTTGGTTGCAGCTTATATTCAAGATTCAAAGCAATTAACATTATGGAATGTAGGAGAAAGTATGAAAATACAGTCATTGCCATGCGTTGACACGGTTTATGATACATGTCCGATAATAATTGATGGAAACAATGAAAGTACCTACTTAGCAGCATTGACTGAAATGAAATGTAGAATATATAAGGTAGAATCAATGTTGAAGTAAAGTTAGAATTTAACACACTGCATACCATGATATTTAAAACAAATTTCTTTGTTTAGGTATTATTGTATGTATTCCAATTTATGTTCAACTAAATGAAACATTTTTTTTTTAATATCTGAAAGAATAAATCTGTGAATCTTTAAATTTTAGATATCATTACGGTTTGTTTTCTGAAACTTGTCTAACCTTTAACTTTTTATTATATTTCAATAAAATATTTCGTTTTTTTATGAAAAAATTTTTAATTTACTTCAAATAAACATGGTATATTTGAACAACTATTACATATTATACGATACCATAATATACAGGGTGTTATATAATTTGGAATTCGTATGGAATGTATGAAATATGACTCACACATTTTTCTTAAATCATTATCGTAACAGGAACCATTGGTCTATCTGGCAATACTCTCTTCGCCATTTTAAAGTCACGTTAGCTGGCATCCCATTCATAATATTGTCTCAGTTCTCGACCACTGTTGATTTGACCAATAGAATCGAGATCAAGACGTTTTCTGCTGTTTAAACTTCTATGGGTGTTCTCGTAATTGTTTAATATATCAACCCTTTCTTTATTTTCGAGTTGATCAAGTTTGGTCTGTGGTTTATTGCCATCCTTAGTATTTTTTCTTCTTTAGTTGGGACGTTTAGACCTCTATGCAAAGTACTATCGCGCACCGACGATCTGCCTTAGTATTTTATTTTGTGATCTTTGTATTATGTCTGTAGTACTCCCACTTGCGCAGCCCCACAGTTGAATGTCATAATTCCAGAATTGTTTTGTTATTTGCTCGTATATCAATAGTTTATTATGAATACAATTTAGAATTTCTGTTCATTAGCCAATTTAGTTTTCTCATCATTATGTCGATTTCTTCTTTTTTTACCTTACATGAGTTTTCCATCTTAATTTGGTATCTAAGGGCATTCCGAGATATTTAGCTTCATTTGCATGGGGAATTGGCACATTATTCAAGTTTGTAACAGAAACATAATTTCAGAGAATATTTAAGTCACATGTATTGATTTCCCTTCATTTAACTTTATTCTCTATTTCTTAGTTCATACATTTACCATGTCAATAGTTCTCTGCAGTTTGGATGCACACTCTTGAGTTCTTTCTCCCACAGCGAGAACAGCCGTGTCGTTGCTGGCTCTGTTTCACCAATATTGGTATCATTTAATGATGTCCGGATATCTCCAAAAGGTTTTGGCAAGTTTAATTTCATTTTGTGAATGATACCCTCATGCCATACCTTATCGAACGCTTGAGCCACATCCAGGAAAGTAGTGGACCATATTTTTTTTGTTTCAAATGTTTCCTCAATGATATTTGTTATGCTATGATTTTGGTCAATTGTGGAGTGCTTGCTTCTAAATCCAAATTGATGATCCGGGATGAGCTTGCTCTCTACTATGACAGGTTTCAATCTGGCTGATAGCAATCTCACATACAATTTTGATATTATTGGAAGAAGAGATGTCAGTCGATTTGACCCTAAATTATGTATTGGTTTACCTGGTTTTGGAACCAGGATAACCTCAGCCATCTTTTTCCAATTGCTGTGGAATCTACAAAAATGCATTTAGCTCAACCATTAATGATAGATCAATTTTAAAATTATCCCAATCCGTGGATTTGTTTGTCAATCTTGGTGGTTCTTGTTTAAATATAATTTTATCACCAACTGTCAATATTTTCAGTGAGTGGTCACAGCTTAAATCATAGTATTCACTAACACTAATATAATGGTCAGAAATACCCTTGGTTATAAAAAAGTCAATTATAACCGAAGATCTGTTTGGATCAGTAAGTCAGTTTCCAGCTTCATATAAAGTCCTTCATATAAGGGTGTCTTTGGCATTACAATCACCACCAAGGATAAAACTGTTTCCTAGTCCGCTAATCATAATTTAATTTTGCGTTTAGGTGCGCAATATATATGTATGTAGCTGAAATTTTGAATTCTTTGTTCTTGGTTTTGATTTTGATGGAGGTTATTTGCATATATTCTAATTCGATTTTCCTACCCTCGTTATGGTTTGAGTTACTTTAGTTTACAATAGCTGATCCACCTCTGGCCCTATTTTCTGGATGTTCAACGTGATAACATATATAATACTTAATGGTTATGTAAAAGTTTTTCGTAAAATGAGTCTCGGAAATTAGGCAAATGTCAATTTTGTTTTTGCACAGGCACAATTCTAGTTCATTTAAATGATTTAGCAGCTCGTTGGAATTCCATGTCAATATTCTGAATTTATACATTGTTTTTACTGGGGTATTAACTTAATTACTTTTTCTAGCTCGTCGTTTTAAGTCTTTTAATGAATTTTCTTTGAATCATCTCATTTATTTGACTTAATATTAAATTTAAAGTATCTTCTAACGTAATTTTATGTGCTCCAGAATCCCGTATTCTCCTTGCGTAGGATTTGGAGTAATCCACGCTCCTTACGTTTGAGGTCGCATCAAATCTCGCATACTCCATCACTGGGGTCCAAGCGCCATTGGAATTAAATGCAGATGAGGGCCGGGCTGCCGCTACTGGGGCTCTTGTCTTTTTTATCACATGAGTTGCTTTGTACCCTTCCACAGAACTCAGGCAGAGAAGGAGCGCCTTTTCCTTTATTGGAAAGGGCCTTTCCAATATCCTTCTCTAAAGCTCGCGCATTACATCACACCCCTGCAATTAGCCAAATGCAATTCGCAGTTGGCACATTTAGATGGCTGGCTTCTGCTGATCCTGCACTCCCTGGAAATACACTCGTATGGTTGAAACTCTGATATCTCTTGCATTGTGGGATAACCTTTGCGTTTATTTAATTGGTTCTATTTTGACTTCTTATTTAATTGGTTCTATTTTGACAATCTTATTTACTATCGACTTTATGCAATAAAGTTTGTCCACATTTTCGTTCATATCAAACGCCAGAATAAAGAGTGGTACCTTTGTCATTTTATTCCTAATTCTGTTACTACTGTCAGTTACTTTTTCTTTTCTCATAATATTTACTGTATCTTTTATCTTGAATTCTTGATTTCTTAAGTCCTGTATGATATCTTCTTTATCACATGACCATAGAAATTCCCTTGCAACTACCCTTATCGGCCTTTCATTTTTATTTTCGTATGTATACCATTGAGCCTTTATCGATTCCAGCTTCTTGACTAGGGCTCTGTAATCATCGGAAGACTGATCTAATTGTTATTTTTAATTGTAACAATTTTAAAGTTCTTAATCAATGAATCCATTGTGAAAATGTCTATGTTAATAGGGGGTGGTTTCCGTTTCTTAACAGAAAAATAAAAATGTATAAATAATAAATTCTTAAATTTTTTCATTGTTTTTTTTTATTACTTTCGTTAGTATTTATCTTTATCCTAGACCTAGGTAGCAGACTTAGTTTCACAACCGGATACCTCCTCTTCACTAGAGGGGAATGAAATAGATTTTTTGACTTGCCGCTCTTCGGTTTCAATTCAATTTCGAGTCTCAGAGCCTCCTTGAGGGACAAGTTCTAAGAGCGCAAGTCCGTAATTTCTCTGCTTAACTTGGCAATCATGTCTTCAGTCTCGCTTAATTTGGATTTCAGCTGTTCGTTCTCTTCGCCTACTTGTTTAACTGACCGATGGCTTGCTAAACCAGGTCCATCTTCACATATTAACTGACAGTGGAGTTCTTTTAGTTAATGAACTTCTAACGTTGAATGAGAGCTTATCATTGTCTACCGGTGAGGTAAATTTCTGTAATTATGTTGGGAAATACACCTCCTTAGAGGTGAACCAGATCTTTCATGTTGATTGGTCAAAATGTTCCCTCTGACAGAGGAAACCTCGTGAAGGTGAGATATGGCGTTGGATAGAGGAGACTAGGTCGATGTTACTGCTTCCCACTAACTGTATTCGCATTATATCCCTTCCCTCCCATGTTGTCAAATGAAATTTTTTTATTAAATTATTTTAGGAGAATGACATTTTTCAATTATAATGATTCTTAATGACTCTTATCAATTTTAATTTTTTTAAATTAAAATATCAAATTTTGTTTTTCATTTGACAAGAAAATCTAAAAAAAAAAAACATTCACATATTATAGACGTTAAAAATATTTAACAACGTTTTATTCGTTGCAGAGTTGTAATAAAATATGTTCTTTTCCATTGAAAACAGACTTGTTTCTCTTTAATATAATATTTGTTTTAAATCCAAATTTACCAACTTTTTTAAAAATACATATATGGAAAAATGGAATGTTGCAATCGAACACAAAACATGCTCTTGAATGATGCCTTACAGCATTCGAAATTCATTGATGATGTCACTTCGTCAGAAAAGAAGACAATTATGTCATTATTTGATGTCAATATGTCATTCAAAAAAATAAAATTTGCTTAATAATAATTTTAGAATTAGCTATGTTGAGAACTTTTTTATACAAAATACCGATTATCGAATTAAGAGATTAGAAAATTGATTAGTGTTAATATGAACCGGTTTGAATATGTTCCTGCAAAACTTCAAGAAGATGAAAGCTTTGTGGGTAAACATGATAACATAAAGATTTACAATGGGCATGAGAAAGTACGTATTTAGTTTATTACAATGAAGTCTAAGGAATAATCCTTAAATTTAAATAGACTCATTTTGAGGATGGAGAAGTGGTTTTGACGACACATAGGTTATTTTGGGGAAAACCAGGTCAAATATCTCGAGGAGAAGTTATATTGTGCCTTCATTTTAAATATGGTACTGCAAGTGATAATTAGTTTATTTAATATTTTACTGAAATTTTATCTTTTAAGTTGTTGGTATTGATGAAGAACAAGCAAGTTCTTTTATATTTGGTAAGAAAACACGTGTTATTTTTAATTTACGGCCTCCTTTAGAAGACAAGACACCGGGACCCTTTGATTCAAGTAGTGCTCATTTTATTAAACTATCGGGAAGGCATGGGTTAGCTATCGAATTTATCGAAACTATTAAGGAGACAATAAACGCAAGAATTTGGGAAATAAAATCTACAAGTGTGGATATGGTAAGCGTTACACAAAAAACTGAAGTGGTTCCTAGAATAAAACTTAGAACAGGCATAACTGGTATTGAAAGATCAATCGTTGAAAAACAGAAACAGACTGATGAAAGTATAGCTGCTGCCTTCCAGGATTTGAAGGTTCTTATGACAATGGCAAAAGAAATGGTTGGAATATCTAAAGCTATAAGCCAAAAAATAAAAGAACGAAAAGGAGAAATATCAGAGGATGAAACAGTTAAATTTAAGTCTTATCTTATGAGCTTAGGAATTGATGATCCTGTTACACGAAATAGTTTTGCGAGTACGTCTGAGTACTATAAAAGCTTATCTAATGAAATTTGTGGGATACTTCTGGACCCTATAGAGGTATTTTAATTACAAATACATTGTTATTTTAACTCTTAGAACAATTTCCAGGAAATTGGGGGTATGATGTCTTTAGCGGATGCCTACTGTAGAATTAATAGAGCTAGAGGTTTGGAACTTCTTTCCCCAGAAGATGTACTAGATTCCTGTAGATTATTAAATGGACCCATCAAATTAAGGCAATTTCCTAGCGGAGCTATGGTATTAGAACTAGAATCCCAAGAAGAAAAATATGTATCTATAGAAACTGCCGAAAAGGTAGAAGAACATGGATCACTTTCAGTTGAAGAATTGGCTAAACTCTTCGGAATATCAATGATATTATCAAGAGAACGTCTTTTAGCTGCAGAGCGTAATGGTAAAATTTGTAGGGATGAATCAATAGAAGGCTTAAGGTATTATCCAAATTTGTTTCTTAGATAGATATTGTTTTCCAAACACAAACAAGCAGTTGCTTAATAAATTTTAAGAGCAAATATTATTGTGTTTTATATTTTTTTATTTACATATGTATGTACTCAAATTTTTCAAGATGCAATAATAACGAAGATTATTTGTCTTTAGACATTAATGTTTTTCTTGAAGTGTATTGCGTTAAACTATATTGAAACTTAATAATTTTCTTTTATTTCGAACAATAACAAATTAAATTTAAAACGATATATTTAAATATGTTTTATGCCTATTAATATAATTAATTATCATGTACATATTTGCTTTTTAAAGGGTTTTTTGGGGGATCAAATCGCTAATTGATATCGAAGAGAAATTATGTTGTAAAAATTTCGATACTTTAATTGTAAACACAAACCAATTCAAGCAAATGATTCTTGTCTATAATACAATTGAAACTTTTACGATATTTCTCGTATACCTGCAGAATATTTTTTAAGTTACCACTTTACGATATTTCTCGTATACTGCAGAATATTTTTTAAGTTACGCAATGGCAATAACTTTTTGATGCGTGGCTCAAAATATTGGTTTCTTGTCAGACATTTTTCCTACAAGATAATGCACAAAACTTAATTTTTTAAATAAAGTCCAATTTAACCCTTAAGAATTTCTTAATTTTCCAGAAAGACTTTAATCTTCTCCAATTTTAATTGCGTTGTTAATAATTATTACAAAAGAAGAAATCAAATTCAGAAAGATTAAAGATGAAGATCCTTATAATTTTTATGAAATAAATTAGGGCAAAATAACCAACTAAACAATTGCGTCAATTCAACCAATGTAAAATTTACAAACTGTTTGATTCTTGACATTATTAAAAAATATGTCTGTCAGCCGTGGTTTGATTGCATGTATGGAATATATACTCGACATTACATTACTCACAGACGCAAATGTTAGGGAAACTCGGTTGTTAAGTTGAACATTTGTAAAACAGTGAAGAGACACCATTTTGGACGGTTGTTGCAAATTTCATTGAAGAAAAAAATTCAGTATAAAATAGCATTTACAATACTTTATTTTTCTCAATAACCCCTAAACCAGATCAGATAGCGTGATAACTCATACACCAAATTAAAGCTCAGTAGTCAAGGTTGCCCCCTGTGCTAAATTGGCGAAAGCTCCTATGTTACATCATCTAGAAAATGAACGTTTTTTAAAAACGTAGGTCACCTGGTCTTGTTTTTTATAAAAATGGAAACAAAATTTAATAAGCAATTATTTTATTATACATAATTCACTTATTATTTTACATATTAGTCTGTTTATGAGACAAATCTCTAAAAAAGGACTCACATAAGTTATAAGTTCCTGATAACTGGGATCATTTCGTTCTTTTACAAAGCCGACACAATTTAAATATCAATAACTTATAAAAAAATATTACAAAAACACAATAAAATACACAACAAAAAGTTACACTCTCAGACAAATGATATAAAAGAACACATTGTCAGATAAAGGTATCAAAAACGGATTGTCAGGATTTATGTTATAAAAAATATAACTAAGTTATTTTATATGAATGCCTAAGTATGTAGTAAGTAAAATTATGAAAAGTTGTCAAAAAATAAAATTAAAATTTTTGATGAGGAAAAAAGTTCACGAAATAAAACTTTATTTTTTTACGTTTTCTATATAAAAAGCAATGTAATGTCAGTGGACTAAATATTGACATTTTATGTGTTTTCATTCCAGAATTGTACCTACATAAGAATTTGTCGTGCAAACATGGCTATATAAAACAAAAAATGAGACTAGTAGCGCCTCTAAGAGAATTGTTTAAAAGTTTTGAATAATACCTAAATGTCAAAGGAAGGGATATAGATTTTCCTTTTCGTGAAAAAACCTCAAAATGGTGAGTTGTTTGAGAAAATTATATGTAATTTGTACCTGCAATTTTATTAAACATCCATTCATAATTTTACGATTTGAATAAGAAGTTGCACTTTTTTTTTGTGCAATAAATTATTAATATGATTATTATTTGTGTTCTTTTAAATATTCTAAGAATATAAACAATTATTTCAGTCCAACCAAAAAAGAAAGAAGACAAGAAAATTGAGAGGACATGTCAGTCATGGACATGGTCGCATAGGTAATTTTTGGAATATTTTACATGAAATTTAGAATTAACTAAAAGAAATGAAAAACAGGAAAACACCGTAAACATCCTGGTGGACGTGGTAATGCAGGTGGTATGCATCATCATCGCATTAATTTTGACAAATACCATCCGGGTTACTTCGGGAAAGTTGGCATGAGGAATTATCATTTAAGACGACAATATAAATTTTGTCCAACAATTAATCTAGATAAGTTATGGTCGTTAGTACCAGAAGAAAAGCGTCAACAATTAGAGAAAGAGAAAGAAAAGGCACCAGTTATTGATTTAGTACAATTTGTAAGTATTATTTTCATTGCTTATTACTCTTACGTTATCAGTAATCTTAAAAACCAGTGCAAACAATTGGACCATATTCGTAAAAAAAAAATATATTTTAAATTATGTGATTTAAATTGTTTTCAATAACAAAAAATTAATGTATACACGATAATGTTTCTGAATTAAGAACAACGCGTTTGATTATGAAAAATTAAATAAGAAAAATGTACATAAATATTTAAAAGTTTTTTCATACTTGTAGGGATATTACAAATTGTTAGGAAGGGGTCACCTACCTAAGAAGCCTATAATTGTAAAAGCGAGATATTTTTCAAAAAAAGCTGAAGACAAAATTAAAAAGGCTGGTGGTGTTTGCCTGTTAAAAGTTTGAGAATTTTTAAGTATAAAGGTGATTTAAATTTGAATTATTTTATATTGTTAAATATTCTTTTTATGAATGTAAATTGTTTCTAATCTACTTACAAATGAATATTTTTGTCAATTGGTCAATGAAAAATATTTGAAGGTTGTAAATTTACATTCATAAATTGAGCTTATATTTTTTGTTCAATGATGTTTACATAAACAACCTGTCAGAAAACTGTGAATGAATCTATTATTTACCATAACTGAACTGAGACTTAAAAAAATACTAAACAAAGCGAAAATTTTAATGAAAAAGGCTAATGAAACATTTTTATTCCAGATGAAAAAAACACCTTTCCGGACTGGAGAAAAAAACTTAAAAAATTTTTTAAAATAAAAAGTATTTTAAATGAAAATAATGAATTTTTATTCACAAATTATTTAGAAATATGGCACTGTAAATGTAATACACAACCAATTTTGCTAATACATATTTACGTATCTATAATTCTATAAAAATAAAACTATTGAAAAGATAAAATTATGTCACAGAATCTTAACCAGTATCAGGCTGTTCAATTTTGATCTTTAAACGAAGTTGCAGTCGTTTCATGTTTGAGTTGAAGGAGTACATACATGCATACATGTGTGTTTATACAATGTTAATCTACTTCACAAAACTACATACTTATGTCGGTACATTTACCATATTGTGTTTACATTAAAACGAGTTTATTATAGTTCTGATTAAATTTATATTAGTTTATTAGTCCATATTTAGTTCTGATTAAATTATATAAAACCGCCTTTTTCTATTTTGATATTTTTCCTGGTATGTATTGACAAAAATCCCGTACAATAAAATTTTCACTACCCACATGCAATAAACTAAAAAAAATTATGCCTGAAAATTTATTTTCATATTTTATATCTGAAACTGTTATTGCATATTAATTTTGAAGGATCAAGAGACGAATGCTAAGTTTATTTCTGTAAAAAAATAAAATAGAAAAGGTGTAAAATTTACTACTAACATCCGTTACTATATACATTTAATAATTTTAAACGAATAACGCGGAAAACAACTCTATTCAATTTATGTATGTATATGAAGGTATAGAAGTACAAACATTGCTTTGCAAATTTTCAAAAAATTTTTATTTTTACATAATCTTTAAATTTATTAATAAGAAAATAAATATCTTTTATTAATAAATTGCTTTGGGATTGATTGTCACACAAATATTTTTGCAGCTCCTTGTACGAAGTTAGTTAATGAACCACATCCAGTAACACACTAACCCATATCACTTTTAAGAAAAGCTAATAAGTTGTAATTCGCAGTTTATTCGTAATTGTTTTACGGTTTAAGCTTTACATTTACTTTACATACATCATGCATAGGTATGTAATATACGTATATTATGAGTATATCACTTTTAAAATTGGCCGAAAGTACTAACTTAGCCCTAATATTTATGTTAAAAAATTTATGATATTGCATCTAAATAGGGTCTTATTATTCAGTAATACGTAGTGCAAATACATTTGGTTTTTTAAGAGTTACATGTACATATATGTATATATATAACATTTATATGAGCAATGTACTAAATATACATAGATAATAATTTTCCATTATTTTCTAACATGGTAGAAAAAATGTGGCAAGTATTAAATGAATATTCTAAATTAACATAAGTTCGCTTTATTACAAACGTCTTTACTAATCACATGATATTAACATACATTTTTAAAATAAAAAGGACGAAAAATCATACTGTTCTAAGTTTTTATTTCTTTTGTGTATAGAGTGATACACTTAATTACAATCTTTTACATTTATTCAATCTTTATTGCGTAGAAAAATTAAATTTTATGCGCACTGGATAAGTTTTAGAGTAAAACTTCCAAAAGCAAATAAGTTTTTACAAATTTTAACATAGGTACATAATATATGTGTATTATATGAGCATCTTTCTCCATTAGCACATTCCACCGCCTCCATTTACTGTAAGCTTTTAAATCTTTCAATAAAAGGCATTCAAGGAAATAATTAAAATAAAAAACGTTTATTACTTTAACGCTAAAAGAGAAAAAAAACTACGCTTTTTCCTAATTTTGCTTATAAATAAGGCTTGTTTGTTACATTACCTTGATAAAAATATAGGTAAGGCATTATTGTTTATTGTTTCAAAATAAATTATGAAATGTCATTCAAAGTTTGTGGGGATTTATTACTTAAACGTACGATTTTTTTTAAAGCATTCCAAATCCTTTCGAATAATTAATGGCCTTCAGAAGTCGATCTTCCAATTTTTCTCGATTTTCGTATTCAGGTAGTAGTAAAACATTGAAGCATGTGTGGCTGGTAGGTAAGCGATCGCAATCTGGCCCGTTTCTTGCAATTACCTTTAAAAAATTACAATTAGAAATATTTGATACAAAATAAAAATGTTATGAAAATTTTCAGTATTACCAATTTTAATTTGCTTAAACCTCCTACTGGTACTCGGTCCGAACCTGTTGTGAATTCTAAGAGTTTTCGTTTGGATTCCATCGACAAACCATGCACTATATTCCAAAAATCTTTAATTATTTGAGAATTTTCAGTATAGCCTCCCTCATATTCAGTTGACTTTTCTAATTCTATGAAATCGAATTTCTGCAGATTAAACAAAAATTAGTCATTTTAACTAATATGTTAAATAATAGCTTCAGAATATTCACCCTACTCCCGCAAACTAATAATTCAATCTCTTCTGGTCTAAATAACAATTTTAATGGTGATTCATCTGTCACCATTTCAAAACCTTTTTTAAATGCCTTAAATTGCCTGTCTATACTAGTATTTAATAAATAATCGGCATACAATTCAATAAATTCTAATTTATTTTCTTGGTTAACTAAAATATCAGCACCGCCTTCTTTTAATTCGTGTTCAACAAGATTACCAAAAACATCTGTATAACTTATTTTAAAAGTTTGCATGAAAACATCTTCCATATCAACTTCAGTATAATCTAACATAGATTTTAAACTTTTAAAAATTATTGGGTTAAAGTCAGCCAAATCATAAAATGAGCCTCTACCGCCCATCAACTTTCGATAAACAACCATTGGGAAATTCACAGCCAAAATTACATTATTATATATAGCTAAACCTAAAACAATCCCTATAAGTGTAAATTGGGCATCATTTTCGAAAGAATTTGAATTAAACCTGAACAACAAATTTTTAATGTTTAAATTTTCAAAAAGTAATTGTGCACATTACATACCATACAGTCTTTGTATCTTCTTGATGGACAAACATTCCAAAATCCGGATTGAAAATTTCATCGACAACTAATTGGAAAAATTCCTTTGATACGCCTCCTTCGTCTATACCTTGTTCGTCAGCAAATTCTACAACTAACTGTTTCTTGAAATCTTTTGGAGTTGCCATTGCAACCATCTCAAGCTGTAAATACATAAATTGCGTGTTTATAATTATATATCATACTTTTCTGTGTGTTTAAAAATGATAACTTTTCCCAACTTTACAAATTTCAATTAAAAAAAAAAACCGTATGTAAATAACAGATTTTTTTTGTTATTCAAGTGTGAAACAAATTTAAAACTAATGTACATACATATATCAAGTAAGAGTACGTTGCTTCAATTTTTTTATTTATATTTTCATATCGTATTGTTAGTAGTATACAAAATTCTTGTAATTATTTTACTTACTTCTAAAAGAGCATCTTCAATTAGTTTTTCGCGTCGCACCCTTATCTTGAGGTAAGGGTTTGGTCCAGCACCATTTCCATCACTAATATGTTGGAATATCGTTAATCTTCTTTCACTGTACATTCTTACACGACTATCGTAATAAAGCGCAACTACTTTGGTCGCTGGTGTCAATATAAAGGAATATAACATAAACGTAAATTTTCTATCTGCAATAAAAAAAATTTAATTTAAAAAAAATCCAATAAATTTTTTTAGAAGATCATTAAAGTACTTGGTCTAATATCCATTGTATAATTTTTATAATATAAATAATCATTGTCCATTTCAATAGTTTCACTTAAAGGTTCATTATAAAATTCTTCAAATGGTATTAGTGGAATTCGACAATCCATGGCTGAAACACCCAACTCCTTTTCCAAACTATCTTCTATTAATTTCTTTTCACGATTTTTCAAATGCGTGTATAGCATAAAATCATCATCATCTTGAAAGGTATTTGTTGGAGAGTCTTTACCATTTTCGTTTTCACATAACTTTGTTGAATCTATTGTTCCAGCTAATATGTTTGCATAGTACAGAATCTGTTGAAAAAATTAATTTTTGGCAATTTGTTTGAAAATTTGCTAATAAGAAGCCAACCTTTAAAACTTTTGTTGCACTAGTTATTACTTCACTATTTTCAACATAACGTGATCTTCCGAAATTTCCTGTAATAACTTGCAAGCTTATTAACTGTTGTAAAGTTTGAAGAAGACGGTTTAAACTAGATTTGCAGTGTTCTGCCCAAATTCGAGCCAATTTCGCTTCAGCCCAAACCGGTAAATGCGCTGCAGCACCACAAATATTAGGTAAAGCATTCTCCAAAAATTCACTCGGTGCTAATTAAAATTCATATATTAGTTAAAAATAGTTATCAATTAACACAAAAAAAACTTTCTCATACCCATGGCCATTATTTCATAGACGAGTACCATTATATATATAACATTCTCGATATAATCTTTTTTTTCTGTTGTCATTAAATCAACTGTCAATAATATCGATAAACTATGTAATCCATTATTTAGAGCTTCATAAATAGGACAATCAAGAGAAAATAATTTCTCCATTGATCTTCTCAAGCTTTCTATATCTATTTTAAATTCTTCCTCTTCTTCTATTGCATTCTCTGAAGCACAACTATCTTCATCTTTATCAGGATCACTTTCAAGTGAACGTATATCCTCCTTCTTTAGACTTTTTAAATCCGCAGAAACCTTTTCAAGAACTTCATCTATTTTTGTCTTAGGCTTTTTACGAAAACTTCCAGATAGTAACTGAGTTGAACTAAAAACTTCCCCGATTGTTCTGATTAGTTTTGTGTATGATTTGACACTTTTACACTCATCAATTAATTGAGTAAGTTTTTCTTCATCAAGAGATGTTATAGGGACAATTAAAAAAGAGGTGGGACTTGAAACTGGTTTCCTTTTAATTTTATGACTAGATGACGACAAATTTAAATCACTAGAACTGCTTGTCGTTCCACTTGATGCACTGGCACTACTACTATGACTAGACGGCGTTGTCGCATTCGACGATGATGTGGATCCATCGTTTCTATTATTTAATTTATAAGTATTTGAAGTAGTTGATCTTGGGTACGAAGTGCTAAAAAAGAAAGTAAAAAATTTATAGTTATGTATATTTAAACAAACAAATTAAGCAATAAAAACTATAAACAAAAAAAAATAAATAAACTCGTTAGATATTTGAATAGGAAATGCTTTATGTCCTTGTTGTTAGCTTTTAAATGTATTTCTTCAAAAAATTTTTCAAGGAAAATGTTGATATTTTTCCGAAATATGTATAAAAATTTTTTTAGGTGTGGGAAAAGAAATCTCTCTTTTCTGCGACGTAAAATACTTTTATTCTTGCTAAAATATTTCTTGTACTGCATACGCATTTTTTTTATTAAATACTTACTCATTACTTTTTTTAATTAAATACTTACTCATTAAGGTCTCTTGAACTTTGTTCGGGATTATTTAATAAACTATTCGAATTATTACTTTCAATTGAAAAAGAACTAGATTGTCCTGCATCAGAAGTATTTAAAATCTCTGATACATTCGAAGAGGATGAAGGACTTGTTCTAGCTATTTTTGAAGGTTGGATTTGAGTAGTATCACATAATTTTGCATCTTGAGAAAATAATTGTATTGCCCTAGCTGCAGCTTGATTTGGTGTTAATTCTTCTATTTCCCCGCTAGATGCACAATATTTGTTTTTACAATTTGAATTTCCGCAACCATGTAAGAGTTGATAAAAATAACGTTCAATTAATTTTCTAGCTGCTGCGCGTTTCATTTCTTCTGTTTCTTCTAAACAATTACTTGAATGATTATTTGAAGAAGTTGTTACAGAGGTGGGTGTACAATCTAAACTATGTTCAGTAGCAGGAAAAGTTTTGAAATCGTTTGTTAAAACACCTTGCTCAGAATCTGAAGGTGTTTCAGAATCTAAATCGTCCTTATTAGTGATAATATTTCCTAATAAATTTGGATCAGTGACGTTTAATTTATCGTTTTGAGTTAAATTTGAGTCACAATTTATTTTTGTGTTTTGATCAATTGGTAGTATTGTTTCGCTTGACTCAGAATTATAAATATTATTTACTTGATCGGGCTTATCGCCAACAGACGACGATTCTTCAGTATCTCTGATTAGAAAAATATGTAAAAAATTTTAAGAGTTGCAGATTTATTTGTTATTTGATAGAGCAGTTATGACTTTTTTAGAGCATAGACAACTTGTAATATTTCATAAAGGAACCCTTTCTCAGAACAAAAATTAATTGATATTAAACACTTTTTGATTAATTTATGAAATTAATTCTTTGTTTTTACATTATTACATACTAAAATTTAATATTACACTTAAATATGCAGATTGAAATTTGCAATTATTTTTAAAATTAACAAAAAGATTCGTTTATCAGTCAAATAGAGAAATCTCTCATAGATCTTTCATATAACAAATAACCTTACGTCTGTAAGTTTATTTGTACTTTCATCCAAAAATTTTATTACTATTCAAATCAGTAAAATAAACTTCAGTAATCAGTAAGTATACTTAGCTTCCAATAATTTATAAAGCATTAAAAAATTATAGTTTTTAAAGTACTTAGAGAATTTTGTAGCTAAAAAACGAAGAGATTTTAAAACAAAGAGTCGTTTATTCTTTAAGTACATCACTATGAAAAACAAAAAAATGGGTCTAAGTTGACAAGTTAATGATTAAAATAACAAGTTTGATAAAATAAAGATTTTCGTGAAGAAAGAAAAATATTTCCGGAATAGAAAAACATGCAAAAACATATATGCATACATATTATATGCAGGCAATTTTGAAGGATCTTAAATGATAAATTTAAGAAATAACAAATAATGTTAACAATAAATGGGGGAGAGTTTTTCTACAAATTTCATACAGCAAAACTACGAAACAGAAAAAAAATAAATTTTATTAAATCGATTTTTTAACTATTAATTGAGTTAAATTTTAAAAATGCATGATAACGATATTTAAAAAATATTATGCAAAATGTGAAACATAAAAGGTCCTATTCTTACAATGAAATGAAATATACAATTTATAAACTTTTTTGCAATTAAAGTAAGGTAAATTTTAAGTTAAAAAAAGTATGCAATTTAGTTAATTTCTTAATATTAATATTAAGGATGTTATATAATAACAGTATGAACCCACATACATACATACATATGTAAATTATTAATTTTCATAAATATTCAAAAAATATTTTTTAGAAATAGTTTTCCTTCTTGCAAGTCACGTTCATTTTGATTAACTCAAACTTTTAACAAGATTTATAAATTATTTATGGTTTTACGTCTTTACATTTTTCTTTTAAAAATAAATTTTTAATTCAAAACAAAGATAGAAAAAATTACTAAAAATAAACAAAGTAAAAGTATTTTTTATAAAAAGATTTAGATTTGAGCTTTAAGTATGGAAGTTTTTGAATATTCAAAATCATTTATTCCGCTGATCCAAAAACAATATATTGTTTTCCTTTGTTAACGGATATTTTTGTAAAACAATATTTTATGATTTATGGACAATATTTTTACCAAGAAAGATATGTAGGTTTTTTCTTTACCTTACTTTTATCCCAGAGATATTATGGAAAATTAACGAAGAATGATAATTATTCTTCATAAGCACATACATATAGAATTTATTTTTTTTTTTATTTTTAGTTTTTTGCAAAAGAAAATGTATTACATACAAACAAAAAAAGAAACAAATGAAAAAGTTAAAAATAAAAATTTTTGAATAATTAAGTAGAAACTAGAAAAAAGTAGGAAGCTTTTCATATGGAAATAAAAGCGTAAAAATATTTACATATATAATATATATGTATGTTTGTATGTATGAACAAATATAAATTATTATACACTTCCGTAAATTTATGTAAGTTGTACATATGTACATCATTACTTAAAAAAAAGATAGAACAAACCAAAATTAAATGAAAGTTCACTTTCATCAGGGCATTGAATCTACTTTATGTACAGAACACAATAAATACGTGCATGTGTGGGATATTTAAATAATCATAGATACCTTCATACGGATATATACATACATATATGTTATATCTGAAATACATTGACTAAGTATGTAAAATGCGGTCGAACTTTACTTGAAACGAAAAAGAAAAAACTGAGTAATTATAAATATATGAATGTATATAAATTATAAATATTTAAGCATACATACATACCTATATCAATGTCAAAAACCGTATGTTCAGTTTTGTAAAATAAAGCATTTTCAAATTGAATTGCAAATATTTAGATGGGACATGGATATATCCTTAATCAATTTTTTTAAACAATTATACTTTCAACAAATTACGAAATATTTAATCCTAATGTATTCATCATTAATTCGCATAATAAAAAAACTCAAATTCGTTAATATTTCATTTTATAAAATAAAATAATTTATAATTCATGCAGATAAATATTCATTTTAAATTATTAATAGCCATAAATTAATTTAACAATTTCCTATTAAAATTATATTTAATGTCGCATAATTGTTTTATATCATCAGTACCTTATATTGTAATAAAAATAAAAAAAAATTAATGAATACTTTTATTTTATTTTGAAAATGAATTGGTGCATTCACCTTAAATGATATTTTATGAACTAAAATATTAAAAATATTGAGTTCATTGTAGGACTCAGCCAAACATAAACACAAAACAAAAATGAAAATCTTATAAATTTTTTATGAACTTTTTTATAAAATTTTAAAATTTATAAGAAAACTCAAAAAACTGTTCTCAAAGAATTTTATTTTTTATTTAACGTTTTAAACTTATTCAACGCATTTCCTTTTTTTTCTTTTTATACAAAATAAAATTTCAAACACAATTTAGCTGCAATACTCTTTTATTTTCAGTGTGATATATTTACATATAATAATTTAAACTATAGTAAATATGTAGTCAAAATGTAAGAGCAGATATGAAGTTATTAATTTCGAATTTTAATTTTAAATATAAAAGATGTTTTTTGAAGTACTGAAAAATTAAAAGTTACTGAAAAAATTTTAAAATTTGCAGTCATGCATTTTTCAAAATATTTGATACGTTTTTGTGATTTTTATATAATTATATATATGATTTAATTTATTAACCTAGATACCCAGATTAGCTAAAAAACTAATCGTAAAAAAACTATTTCAACTTCGATAAAAATTTTTCATGAAATCTAATCTAAATTTTTTGTTTCATGCCCTCAAACATTGCGTTTGGAATTTATCACTTTTTCAAAATTCATAAAGCAAATAAAATTTTAAATATAAAAAGAAAGTTTTGTTAATTACGAATACTATAATTTATTTATAATTAGTTTATTATTTGAAATTATACTCACTAATAATTATAATATCGCATTTTAAATTTTGTATTGAATATTTAAATTTACAAATTTTTAAAAATTTCTTAATTTCACACAATTTTAAGTTTATTTTCTTAATTCGATAAATATTTATTTACTGCATGTAATACTATTTAACGTAATGACAATTTTTTTTCTTGCTCTTATTTAAATAAATTAAAAATTACGTTTCTTCACTTTCATGGTATATTGTAAACTATCTAATTAAAATGAAAGATATTTAAGATAATTTTGCAAAGCAAAATGAAATTAAAATTTCGTTTCTGCTAAAATCTCTTTGTGTATCTTTTCGGTATTGTAAATTATTGTTTTACTTTTTAAAATCTCTTTAAAAGAAAACAAAGAATATAATAAGTTCACCATGAATCAAAATTAAATTCAATGAAATTAGAGTAAAAACAAACATTAAAAAATATAAAACTTAAAGATAAAGAGATTATAACAGAAATAGCAAAAATATACATGGATATTATTTATGTAAGTAAAATACAATTTTAAATATGTATGTAAATATACAATTTAATGCTTTGTTTATATACAATACAAATGATTTCTCTCGCGAAAATCCCAAGAAACTGTTTGCAGAAAATATGAAATCTTGTAAATTATTTATTAAATTGTTTGTGTGCACAACATTGATATATATAATGTTTTTTATGTTTAAGGTAACAAAACAAAAATATTTGCAACTGATTTTAGTTTTAAAACAAAATTAAAAACATATATGAATTATACATACATATGTGGGTATGTTACTGATAAAAAAAAGTTTTTGTTAAAAATATGAAAGTGGTCCGTAGATCCGAAGATCCGAGATCAACAAAAATTAAATTAACATACTGAGTACAGCTTGATTCAAGACTTCAAGAATTTTATATAAGTAAAAATAACCTTGACTTGTAAAGATTTCCTTAACATTGAATACAAGTGAAATTTTTTAAAAATTCGGATTTTCGAAATAAAAATTTTATCCAATTTTGATGCTCTAAATGCATATAAGCCGTCATAAATGGTTTGAATGCATTTAGAATGAAAAATGAATTTTCTGGTTAAAGTCAGCTGTTATTAAAAATGCATCACGCTTGGATTTATTTTGGGCAGTTTACAGGTATACCGAATTTTCGGCGTTTTTTATATTGATCTTTTTAAATATAGTATGTATTTTATTATGAAATAAGCTAAAAGCAATCTCAGCAAAATGAGTAGCAGTAGATACAAATTTGTGTGCAGGGATTTATGTATGTACCTATGTATATGACATTTGACTTGTTATCGAAAATCACTATTTTATATCGATGCCTTTTCAAAAATTTTAAAAGGTTTTATGAACCGTTGTCTAAAGATCTATTATCTATAATCACTTGATAAATTGAAACACGATAAAGTTATAAAATGTCGATGTAAATATGCGATTGACAACATTGTCAAAAACATTTCAAATCAGTTTGTTGTTGCATTTAATAGGTACATCTTGCAAAATAATACCTCTAAATAGCTACTTATTATATCTTATTTTTTTGTTATTCTCTAAAAAAGAATTGGCCAATATTAAATAATTTTTTTATAACACATTTAGTTTTACAGGTTGTCATTGCCCTAAAAGTATTTGTTTTCTTTTAAAACATACCTTGAAGTTTCGCCGTCCAAATTTTCCTTTTTTTCAGAGTTCATAAGTATATCAGGCTAGAAAAAATCCAAAAATTTTGTTATGGTCTTTATACTTATTGTTACTTTTTGATATCCTCTCGTATGAATTTTCTTTTTTTTACACACACTTATGCAATAACGAAACCGAAATTGCTATATATTAGGAACATCCAGAGTCTCTTTTAGTTTTTTAGATAAATTTCACTTTTAAATTTTTTTCTTACTGTGAAACTTATTAACACTAATGATTCCTCTCTAGAGACATATTTTTTTAGTGGATATTCTTCTAATTTTCATCTTCAACCTACTTGAACCTAAAACTTTCAAATAAGTTTTTAAAACACATTTAGTTTTTACCTTGAGGCCGTAATAAAAAAAAGCACTAATGTGTTTTAATGTTTAAATTTTTCTTTGTTTATTAAAATTAAATTTTTCGTATTTATTTAATTGAATTTTTCAAAATATGTATAAAATTACATTGAGCTTTTAAAATGACATTACTGAATTGCAATGCAAAATTGAATTTTATTCTATGCTTACACTAGTTTACTAGGACGAATGTCAAACTCTTTGTACATCTGTCAATCTTATAATAGTAAATGATTATACAACAGTTATACCCTACCATATTACTAATATAGCAAAATAATATTGCAAATTTCGAACTTTTAGAAATAAAATAATATCCATGCAATTAAAAAATACCTTAAGTTTCAAATTTGATTTATATACATACATATTAAATAATGTATTTCGAACAAAATTCAAAATTATTATCTTAAAAGTTTTTTAAAATACATCTATCTAAATAAACGCTCACGAATATGTCAAAATGAATTGAATCCATATTCTTAAGTTGGAGCACGAAATACGTGAGACAACTGACGAGGTGTACTTTACGCATTACTTTTAAAAATTACAAATTGAAAGGATATATACATTTTTTTGTTCTTGACATTTGTTGTTCATTCATTGTTTTTGTCGCAACCCTAAAAACATAGGTTAAGATAAATAAGGCGAAAACGGATTTAATTTTTTTTTTTATTATTATAGAAATTTTTGGAGGGTTTATTGGTTTTAATAAGTTATACTTTGACTAAGATTGATACAGTCGAAAATAGTAAGGATTCCATGTCAATGCAGTGCCAAACGAAGGGCTATAAAAATGAGCTGTCAAATAATGCGATGATCTAAAAAGAGCACAGCAAAAGCGTTAAGTAAAACATGTAAAGCATTTTTCCAATAAAAATATTAAATTATGTTTCAAATAATTTGTGTTTTTAACTTTATATTCCTTCGGAATATATGTGAAAATAGGCTGAAGCAACACCTTTTAACGCGCTTACAAAAAGTGCAACAATATTAGTAAAGAGTAAGGTATTTCATTTTTTTCAAATTAGCTTGCATTTTTTGGGCAGATACAAAATAACCTTAATTCTCAACCTTTTAGTTATTCTTATTTCCTAATTTTTTCTTAATTCCAAAATTTTTTATTAATATTTGTTATTTAAATTTTAATATTTATAGTTTTTTGTTCTTTTTTTATTTATTTTTTTAGATAAAGTCCACTTTGTTTCTTAATGTGCACTGTTGAAAAACTGATTCATGCACAAAATTTGTAATAAAATATGACATACGTTTTTTAACACAAAGTTTCAAGAAAAATTTTTCTTTTATTTTCTGTTAAATTTTAAAACGGCAGCTCTGGAGCATATAATGATAACTGTCATCAAAACAGTTCAATAAAGTGAGACAGCATCACTTAATTCAGAGGAGAGAAAGCAAAAGCAGCTCAGTCAAATGTATTCATTACTCCGTACTGTAGAACGGTAAAAGAATTTGACTATATTTATTTTTTCTATCAATTGAGGCAAAAAAATGAAATCTGGAGATTTAGAAATTTTGAAATCTGGTGATTTAAATAAAATAAAAATAATTTTGGACGATTTCAATAAAAAGGTATTACAGATATGTGCAAAAGTTTAGCTTCTAATATTTTTGATTTTAGTATGAAAACTTATTTGAGTTTACAGAGTTTAATGTTGATGATAAATGGAAAAAAATATGGATTTCATTATTTACACTTTTAAGAGAACCAAAAAATTCTGCTATATATTTAGAAGTACTGACATCAATTAGAATTTTAACTAGAGATAAAAACAATTTGAATTCTATAACTTTACAAAAAGATCTAGAAATTTTGTTAAACATTGCAGATTTGGGTCCAAATAATGTAACGAACATGCGCAAAAGTTATTCAGACGAAACAATCATAGCTTCTTTAAAATGTATTTGTAATTTAGTATTTCAAAATACAGAATGCCAAAAATTGTGTCTTAAAAATTCTGCGACAGATGGTATTTTACGTAGAGTACGAAGCCCTACAGCTCATCATCATGAGATTGAGTTCTTTGATATGAAATTACTTTTTTTAATAACAGCTCTCGAACAACAAACAAGGCAAAAAGTGAAAGACGATCTTAATGGTTTGACTTATCTCACTGAATGGTTGGACGTTAAAGTTAAAGAAACTAAGTCTGACAAGCAATCAGAATTAATAAACGAAATTTTAAAAGTTTTATTTAACATAACAGCGAATAATAATTCAACAGACGAGAATGTAACACTTCATAATAGATTGATAATTGTGCTGAGAAATATTCTATTTTCTTATGCAGATATGGACTCTGAGAAAAATATTTTGGTTGTAAGTAATACAGGTAATTATTAAAAAAAAATTCAGTATCTATAAAAAAACGTATATTAAATTCAACTTTTTGTAGTTAATTTGCTTACCAATATGCCTACAAGTTCGCTTTCGGAGCTTCTAATTCGAGAGGAAAAATGTAATCAAAACGAAAAAGCTTATGAAGGCCAATGTGTCAAGAGTCTGGAAGTGCTTATAGAACATTTGAAAATTTGTCTCAAAAGTGCGGATAAGGAAAAATTAGCTCCTATGCTATCTGTTCTAGTCAAATGTGTAAGATGTAACTCAACTATGAGGCACTACATACGATCTGTAATTCTTCCGCCTCTAACTCATGTTAATGAAAGGCCAGAAGTTGGTAATGATTTACGAAATCATTTATGTAGGTTTTTGACATCAGTTGATACAATAATACGAGACTTATCTGCTGAACTTTTATTCGTATGTTGCAAAGAAAACGTTGCAAGAATGGTCAAGCACACTGGTTATGGTAATGCCGCCGGATTATTGGCATCAAAAGGCGTATTAGATGGAAGAAAAAAAGAAAACACCGAATATTCATCTGATAGTGAAGATAGTGATACAGAAGAATACAAAAGAGTAGCACATAATATAAACCCGATTTTAGGGTGTTACGAATCGCCACGAAAGAATCCTATGGAAGGCATGACTGAAGAACAGAAAGAATATGAGGCTATGAAACTGGCAAATCTTATGGACCAATTATATAGGCAAGGAATTGTTCAACCATGTAGAATAAACGAAGATGGAAAGCCGGAACCACTTGAACATATTTTACAACTTCAAGAAGAATTGCCCAAACAGCAAAATCAAAATAAAAATAAAAGTTAAGTGATGGAAACACATAGTTAATATACATAATTCTTGTAGTATCCTATTTAAGAGTTTTCCAAAAACATTAGAACAAATGATTTGGCCAAAGAAGTGTAGACTCGCTTGAAAATCTTCATATGTAAATTGGGTATAAACGATATATATATAATAATTAAATGCTCTTGCGCTATAATGGATATGCAACAGTTAAGATACACGAATCCCTCCTTCACGTTAATAAAATAATATATTCCAGATTGCATTTGCGAACTTTCTTGTTCTATTAACATTTTCAATTACAAACTTCAATAAAATTTAAATAAACTTTAGTTCTTGCAGTATTTGAATAAAATATTTCAAATTAACGTATTATATTAAAAAATTTTACTATATAATAATAATTTATTTACAATAATGAATTATATACACAAAAGAAAAAAATTCTGTTTATACATATTTTTATCTATATTGAATAAAACTTTTAACCACTTTTAGATAAACTAAAACAAAAGCAATAATTACATGTTGATTGTTTTTTCATATTTTGCTTTGAGCTCAGCAAATGTTATTTCTGATTTTAAATTTTCACAGTCCATAAAATAGTCATCTTGTTCAGCTTTTTTCTTAGCTCGTTCAAAAGCTTCTGCTATGCATGACCTAAAAAATATATTATTTTTAAATATGTATTGGATATCTATAAAAATTATTTTAAAATTTGATTTTATTTTTTAACAAAAATACATGTAAATAAAATATACTTTTCGCAAAATAAAAACTTAAAAAATAAAAATTCCGAAGAAAACTAGCTACGAAAACGTATTCGTTAATTCAATAGATTGATTGGGATATCAACAAAGAAGTCACATATGTTGGAACGAAAACAATTCAGGTTTATTTCAAGAAAAAGCTAAAACACTTTATATTAAGTAACTGTGTACTTAGATTTAAAACAATTGTTCCATTACCGAAATAACTTTTGGTGTAAAACATAAGCTGAAACGTGACCAGCGTCTAAGTATCTTACTTCTGCACCTGGCCAGATATCTTCAAGATTGGTACATCCATCCCGAGGGATATAAGCATCATCTTTAGCACAAACAGCAATAATCAAAGATGTATCGTATGGAACCGAAAAATTTTTCAAATGGGTACACTCATCCATTACACCTCTCATGAATTGTAGAGCCTCTCTTTCCCACCATTTGATTTTTTTCGTATCAATACGTTCATGCTTTGACTTGTCTTGAGACGATGTTGGCAAAATGTAGCTCATCAAACGTGTTAAAGAAGAATCATTTTTCTGAAGCTCTTTATTTTGAGAGATTGAAACTGCAGCAGGTTCTTGGTCATTTTTGTAAAATTTCTGCAACTCATTTTTTTGCTTTTTTTGACGTATTTTTGCCTGAATCAGTTTTATCTTTTGATTGAGCTCATTAATTTCAGTATTACTTAACTCATAACGGTTCTTTGACATTAACTTATTATGCAATGATTGACTTAAACCCAAAACATTTTTTTCGTCTAATTGTATAATATTAGGATCATTATGCTCTGCAGGAGATATGCACATTAGATTAGATTGTTTTTCTAAAGTTTTTATTTCCATTATATCAGATCGAAGCTCTTTCATTGATCGATTAAAATTTTTTACAAATTTTTGACCTGCTATGAAAGCATCGTCTACGACATGAACCATCTTTGAAAGTCTTTCTTTATAGTTTCCGTCAGAATAATATTGAGTTTCCAATTTATCCCAATTGATCGATTGACTCATGACACCCTGAAACAATTAACGTTTAAAATTGAACTAAAAATCGGTTAAATTATATATGTGTTGTTGTACCTGTGTAAAAACGGAGGATGCTGTGGACCAGGATAAACAGGGAACTAAAACTAAAGGTTTTGGCCAATTTGTGGCAGCTAAACTTGCCATCTAAAAACATTGTTGTTGTTCAAGTCTTTATGATAAATTAATAATTCTAACTAATATTACATGCCCACCCATAGAAAGACCTGTTACTCCTAATGGCCCAAAAGAATTTTTTTCACACCAATGCAAAAGTACCAATGATTCAAGAATCAGACATCCACCCATGACAAAAATATCAGAAACATTATGCAGATTTGATCGTCTGCGTAAACGTAATTAGTTATATAGCAAAAAATTTTTAACAAAGTCAATAAATAGGTATACATTTGACCTTCAGGTTTTCTGATTCCATAAAAGGGGTTTTCAAGAAGTATAGCACCAATATTAGCTTCTCGCAGTAATGGTTTAGCAATTAAATTTCGCCTTCTCCAAAAATACTAAAATTATTTATGAACATAACAAATTGACCGTAAATTATTAAATTGAATGCATACATGATCCCCAGTTCCAGCTAAATGAAGGCACATTGGTTTATGCTTACTTTTCCACTTGTTTGGTAAAATGACTTGAAAATGCGCTTCATGCAATTCTTTTGGCATAAGACCTGGTAAATGTAACTCAAGTGGCGAAAAAAATTTTCCATCAAGAATCGTGCAATCCGATGACTTTTCTTCCTTTGTTATTTCCACTGGATAATCAGGAGGAACCAATTTGAAACATGTTTTCCTATTTGATATAACTTTGCGGAATTCAAAAATCCTGGAAGGCGGAAAACAAATTTTCAAAATATGCAGAAAAACTAGTTTTGAATAAAATTGCACAAAATTCATATCTTGTAAATTAAAAATATGCACTTGTGTATATATATAATTGATACATAATTTGAAAAACATATATGCACATTTATAAAATTACCTTGTTAAAATAAAATTTAGAAAATTTTTGTACTACCAACTAACTTTATGTTATGGAGTTAGTTGTTTATTCATGATTAGAATATTTTTTAAATTCGAAAAGAATTTTAAAACAATACAGTATGTTTCTAAAATTTTCTATTTATTTCATAAATAATTTACGTAAGATATGTACATTTTATTCACCTTTGCAAATTTTCTGGCTTTCCCCAACCTTTCTCGAAAAACCTAGTAATAAGTAATCGTCGATAAAAACCATCTAATTTACTTGGCATTTTCGCATTAATTGTTTTTAAATTTTTTGCTTTTCTGCAATTATGTATGTGATAAAATCTTCACCAATCTGCAGGTTGATTTCCAATGTAAACCCTGTACAAATTATAGCTGAGGAAAACCACATTTAAGATAAAAATTAAGCATTATTTTTTAGTTTTGTGATTATTTTTAATGGATGTATGAGATATGTATGAGATACATATAGTTTAATTTACTAGATCAGTGTTTCTTAAAATTTTTCTATTCGCGACCCCATTTATGACTACGAATTTCCTGGTGATCCCATATAAAAATAAAAAAAAAGAATGTAATTCATTTAAGAACATAAAATATAAAATTACGCAAGTAACATAAATGATAGGGATTCCGTATTAAAGTAAGATAACATGAAAAAATTTAATGTGTTGGATGTGCCTCTTTTTTATTGCATATTGTTATTTGACTTGTCTAACATTTGTTTGTGAAATACACATACACGGTATGTTAAAAAATTACAGAACTAAAAAAAAAATCAATTTTTTTGTTTTCAGTTGAAATTTGTATATTTTTTTTGTGTATTTAAATATTTAATATTAAAACCTTTTGCAACCGCAGTTTTTTTAAGCGATCCCGGGGTCGTGACTTATAATTTAAGAAGGCTTGTACTAGATTAAAAAGCAACATTGCCAAGTATAACAAAAAACTTATTGGTTAAAAAATTAGCATACAAGACACAGAATGAGATTAAATTTACTATAAAGTTTGATCAATGTTTATATATCAGACCGAAATTTTTGATAAATCAAATTTTACGCGAAATTAAATTTTCGAATATGCTACGAAAATTATAAACAAAATAAAAACCAGTTGATCACTTTCCAAAACTTTTTTAAAAAATTAAATGTCGCGATTTTACTTTTGAAAAAAATGTGAATGTATCCATGAGATAGACTAATTTCCATTATTTGCCGTCAAACAAAATATGATGCCTAACGTAGGTTACATATACGACTCTCAACACACTCAAATTAAATGGTAGATGAATCTACTAGTAGCAGATTAGTATTAGTGGCATATAATAGTAGAATATCTACTATTTAATTTGAGTCATGAATTACATATACATACCAATCTTTTAGAGAAACCAGGAGTGATTTTTTTTGTTATAAATTGACTAGTTTTAAATATAAAATAAAGTTTTTAGTCATAAAAATTAAAAATAATTTTAGTACCCTTTTTGATAAACGAACAGACCTATTGTTTTGTTTATATCATGTAGCAAAACATTGTAGCAAATAGCAAGCTTTGTTAATTTGCTAGGCTACCCAACCAAATGTCTTCATAATTTGCAATTTGTTGTTTTTTTAGAAAACAATCGCAGACGAACAAGAAAAAGGGAGAAAAACGAAATCCAAAAAATTAAATAAAAAAAATTAGTATAAAGGCTATTTTGAAATTAATTAATACTTGTAGTTGGGAGTGATTTGATATTACGATAATTTCCGTTTCATATTCGTGTTAGGGAATTTTGAAAACTTTTAACAAATGCGTAAAAAGATTCAAATTTATTACATGTCCATGTTTTAACTATAAAATCATCTATTAATACATTTTATTATTAAACATAAAAAAGCAACTTGGAAAAAACAAACAGATTTTGTTTTTTCTTATAACAAAGAAGTAGCTGAATAGCTAAAAAATGACTTCAACTCCGATTCTTAATTTAACTGGTAAGTAAAAATAATAAATGACAAATCCTAAATTAGTTATTCTTTTGTGTGTACGTACATATTTACTATACTACATAAGCTTTGGTAACAAAACAAAGAAGGCAAACAATTCAAGAATATAAATAATATGTAAACAAAACAAGTTTGAAAAAATTATATGTATATTATTATAGGTATACCTATGTATGTAGTTATATATATGTTAAGTTTACAAACATGTATTATTTCTTAATGATTATTAAACTTGCTAAGAAATGTATAGAAGTCTTTAATTTTTAATTTTAAAACTATGTTGTACATATTATGTATAAATCAGTACATTTTCACAATATTTCAGATTCTTGGATTGAACTTAGTGGACAGAATACTCCAGACAAAATAACACCTCTACCATTTTCTTCAGGTGACGAATATCTAAGATTGTTGCGGGAAGCTCAAAAAGAATCAAATCAGTCAAGTCGCGTAGTATCCTTAGCTAGTTCTCGACGCGATACTCCACGCAGTAGCCCAAAATCACCACCAAATAGCCCTAATACAGAGTTGTGTCCAGATAATGAACTCAAAAATGTTTATATTAATTATTGCTTAAAAAAAGATAAGGATGCAGGAAAAGATTCCGAGAATTTTAGCTTGGATTGGATATGGAGATGGAGTAGTCGACCAGATCAAAAGCGTATCAAGTAATATCTTACATATGTATTTAAATTTTTGTATTCAAAACTACTTTTCCTTAAATTTTGTAGAAGTCAATTATAGAATCTGAAATAAATTTTTCTTTCCTATATTCTACTGCAGGGATTGGAATTTTGAGCATCCAAAACGCAAAATCCCACCAGGGTATTCCATTCGTTCAGCTAAAATTGGTAACTCTTCAATATTTTCAAGAAATGTGATGTATTCTCTTGTATTAACAAACGTTTTATCACTTCTCCTTGGAGCTGGACTTGGGTAACTCGTAATAAGTATATTCTTCAATTATATAAAGGAGCAAAAATTTCTTTTTAGCTTGTGGTTAAGTAAAAGAGGACTCCTTTTTACTCGAATTACTATCGAATAAGGCCAACAGTATATTAAAAGTATTTACCATATTGCATATATATTTTACTATATTTTTATTATATATGATACAAAATATAGCACATTATTTAAGTATGTTGACTGATAACGAGAAGATATTTCATAAATTTTGATATTATGATCGGCAGATAATTTTTTATATCCCTTTTTTATACATAATCACAAAACCGAATAAAAGATATGTTGAAATTAAGGAAAAAATATAATAATAAGCTTATTGTAAGGTTTGAAATTTTTCTTTTAAATAAAACTACAATTGGTTAATTGTCTAAAATAAAATATTGATTTCTTAAAATGAACTGGAGAAAATTTCTGTTTATTTACGTCTTTGCATAATTCTATGATAACAGGGAATACAACTATAACTCAATAATATAAATTTATCAGGAGAAGGAAAAAACGATATGTGTATATACACTTCTACAAATTAACGCTTTAAATAATGATAATCCAAAATACAAAAAAACTCTTTAAATATTAATTATCCATCAGATATCAGACCCCATAAATAACAAAATTAAAAAATCTGCAAGTATCAATAGTGAAATATTTACTTTAATGCGACCCTACTGGCGGATATGCAAAGCTCAATAGTAAAATATTCATTTTACTTATTAAAACTAAACTACTTAAAACTGTAGGCTTTATTTTCTGTATTAAAATAGCCATATTTCTAAAAGAGGTCGTTAGTCTTGCCATATTTCTAAAAGGGGTCGTTAGCTAATGCCATGAGAGGTGTTTTTGCAATGCAAATTGTACATTTTTCGTGCATTTTGTTTCAACCGCTCCCGGACTATGTGTAGACGACTCATTGTAAGTATGTTACGCGACTTTATTACTTTATTTTGTATATTACTTTTTGAACAAAAATTACTTAAAATGATAACGTCATCTGTAAACATGCTAAGAGAAAAAGTAATTTTGAAGTTTTGTTAGTGGCGAAGCTAGTGGGAGCTTATATGTAAATGACATAAAATCTTATCGACCTATTTCTCTATTGCTAATTCTATTTAAGATTTTTGAGAAACTTGTACTAAATCGAATGAAGGAAATAATTGAAGGAAATCTTATTCCAAATCGTCAATTTAGCTTCTGATGCAAACCTTCCACTATCGATCAGATGATCAAATATTGACGTATTAGAGAGATCGCTCAAGAAAAAACTTATAAGTTTAGGTAGATTTCTAGATATCGCAAAAGCCTGGAGAATACTCAAAACTAAAACAAATTAGAACAGGAATTCCGCAAAGAATCTTTCAGGACATTGAACCTGTCGGGAGACTTAAAAGAAAAAACTACACGATTTAGTGATTTAGCAGGGAAGAAATAGATTAGCATCTACTAAAAAGTGAGTATCACAGGATACATGCCCACCACCCCGAGAGTTAAAAAGGCGAAAACTAATTTGCTAGATAGCTCACTCTGACTTAGTTGCAGTATCAATTAGAAAATAAAAAAACTGAACTTAATCAAGATCATACCGTTTTTGTTGCTGTTATATCATATTTTGAAGTTTATGTCGTTAAAGTGTCAAACAAACTGAATAAATAATTATTTTTACTAAAATACTAAAGCATGTATTTGTAGAAATGTATATAGATTTTTTCATTTTTTTACAGACTCTTTATACTCGGATTATTACTAAATATTGTTGGTTTTTCGGTTATGAAAGTTATGCAGCCTAGTGCATATACATATTTGCTTGTATATATTTTTTTGTTTATTTTGATTTTTTATTTGACATTTTTTAGAAACATCAGTAAACAAATCCCAAAAGGAGCCACTAATTATTATTTTAATCCAGTTAATGATGCATTTATCTGTAATTTTTATTTCGCAATATAAATTTTTCGCTAGGTCGTTCACTTAAAGGAATTTTTTTTAATTTATTTTGTACCGATGTATAGACAACTGCTAAAATGCTGACCTAGCGCCAACTTGACTAATTCAACAATGTAATTTGAGATAATTTATTATAGCCTGGAACATAAACATTGTTTATCTTACTGCTTTATCTAATATGAAAAAGTAATAAGTAAATATTATAAATCCTGATGTCATTTCTGTCTGCCGTGTAATAAATGCATACTAATTTCAAATTTGCAAACTCTACCTAAAACTAAAAACGTCAAATAAAATGAAAAGTCAAATAATGACGTATATATTATAATATTTTTTATTATAAAATAGGATGAAAGATTACTTGATTTATAAGTACTTATCACTTCTAAATTTGTTAAATTTCGAAAATTTTCTGTATAATGCAGTATGAAAATAGTTTAATATTATTTTTACGTTTGTTAAATGTTTATCAATAATTAGCAACTTTTATTTGCTGAAATAAAATAATTTCATTTTAAAATTTTCATCAATGAAACTTCAACCAATAAGAAGAAAGTGATTTTTGTATTCATCATTGTGTTACCTTCACAAATTAAAGGAATTAAATTAATCGTATTCATAAAGTGAAATTTTTCATAATTAGTGTCAAAACTCTGATAAGGAAAATATAAAATAAAATATATTTAAACTGAGTAATGATAATGATGATTAGACAAGTGGATCTGTAGTAGTGCAAAATAAATACACGACGAACTTTAAAATTTTCTTTAATTTATTTTTTTTGGGTATGTAGAAAAAATGTTAGGAAAATCTAGTATTGAGTAACCAAAAAACATAATACTACCGTCCTACTTGTGTTTTTTATTATTTTAAATATATTTTATTCTATGGTGTTTTGAATAAGTAGATAAGAAAGTTAAAGATAATATTAAAAGGCAACCTTTTTTAAATCCAATCATATTTGAAAAAAAGCGATGCTGTTAATTATAAAACCAAAAATTTTATATTTATATTGATTGAAAGCATTGTTTTAGATTTAATATTGTAACCAATAATGAGTTGGCTTAGGGGGAGCCCGTTAAGGCAAAGTTTGACTAGAGGGAGCAACAACACGTCGAACTCTGGAAGTGGAGGACGACAAATATCTATTGATACTGCATCTAATTGTGATCCTCGAGCTTGCTATGATAGTTTTTGCAAGCATTGGCAACAAGCACATGAAATAATATTAAAAGCAGAGGTAACGTTTTTTTAGCTTACAAAATAAAATAATCTACTTTAGTGTAGAAACTAGTACTTTCGACTTCTTTTTTAAAAATTATAAAATTAAATTGACAGAAGTTTTGTTTGTTAGTTTTAACCTAATTACTTAACTTACTATATTTCTTAAAAATTTGCTGTTAATATATTTTTAGAATAAAAAACCAGCTGCTCACGATGATGTTCTTGGAGTTGTGTCGCACCTTGATTATATGGTAACTTTACTTTTAGTAGAATTGCATCATGTACATAAAATTAGTTTGCCAACACCAAATCAAACACCACCTCCTGCTCCATGTCTAGAATATCTTCTTAGTGAAAATTTATTAGATAAATTATATGAATGGGGAATAACAACAGGGGGATATGCAAATGCTGTTCGTTTAGAACAATTAAAACTTTATGAATTACTACTTAGTTATTCAAAACACCAATTGCTCTGCCATGAACCATTTTTAAGACCATTACTGAAAATGTTAGCATCAAGTCAAGGGGAAATATTTCCTCCTGATGTTGAAAAGCGTTTAGTTATACTTTTAAATCAATTGTGTGTCGTTTTAATGCAGAATGTCCCATTACTAGATTTATTTTTCTTTTCATCAAATCAACATGGTCAAGGACAAAATTCAACAAAGTATACAACTAAACTAATAATATATATTAATATGGTACATGTAAAATATTATTTTATGTTTACAGTTTTATTATATTTTCTTTGCTAATACCGTTTGTACATCGAGAAGGAAGTATTGGACATCAAGCTCGTGACGCTTTACTGTTATGCATGTCTTTGTCCCAAAAAAACGCGAACGTGGGCACATATATTGCACAGTATTCTTCCATGTGTCCTTTGCTGGTAACAGGCTTAGGAGGACTATATTCAAGGTTGCCAAATACTTTAGAAATAAATGCAATTGATTGGCACCGAATAACTCCAGATGATGTTACAGAAATTCCTGAATTAACTTTATTTATGAATTCATTAGAATTTTGCAACGCGGTTGTACAAGTTGCGCACGATTTGATAAAGCAACAACTTTTGGACTTTATGTATCAGGGATTTATAGTACCAGTTTTAGGTCCGTCGATATTGCAGGTAAATATTTTTATTTTAAACTATTCTGAAGTATTTCGATGTTTCTGTTGGTGTGGGATCTGACCTGTTGTCAAAATTTTCTAAATTTATGTTTTTATAAATTTTACTGTGATGTTCCTTCAAAAATGTTTGTTAGTTCTGTGATCTTATTTTCATAATATTGATATATTATTGTAAACTTTTTATTGTAAAGTTTTGTTATTGTCAATTTTAACTCGTGTTTAAGTGAAAGTTAATTACATTATGCTAAAAAATGTCGCCTATTTATTCATAAGAGCATAATTTTAATATATTTTTTTAACAGTGACACAAGATTGTATTAATCAAAATTTTATATAATATTGTAAGCTTATCACTGCTAAAACGAATGTTGAAAAACATTATATATTTGTGGTACACTGGATTTTTAGCACTTAATAAATTTTTAAAATAACAAAATAATGAAAACATAAATTTATAATACTTATGTATGTATATTGCTTTTTTTCATTCATTTTTAATAAAAAACAAAATTGAACAAAACTAACCACACCACGTACAATTCGGGATTAAAAAATAAAAAATATCTATGTAATGTATAGATATTTAAAGGTAACCTATTGCAGACAAACGTCGAATCGCAAATTTCAGCTATGTCTTATTTAGATTTAATTCTGCGATCTGTAACCGAGCCTGGACTTTTAAAAGCTTTTGTAAGATTTCTTCTCGATGAAGAAAAATTCGATGGGCAGCGAATTCTCGATGTGTTAGTTGATAGATTGTATGCAACAGATCCAAACGTAAGTGTTAATATGTGTTTTTTAAAGTCATGTTACATCAAAATTTTATACACATATTTATAATTGTAGCTTTGCATGGTAACGCTGTCATTATTTGATACTTTAATTGGACTTTACTGTGAAGATCTTATGTTGGAATTACTATTGAAATTTTTATTACCTGGCAAACATGTACCAATTTCATGCAGACATAAAATAAATAAAATTGATTGTTACGCGAGCACAGTAGATTTTTTCTTAGAACTAACTCCAGATGTTATGAAACACTCAACTAATTTTAAGAAGTTACATCAAAGGTCGATATCGAACATAAATATAGCATCACAAGCACAGCAACAGCAACCGTATATAAAACAAGAAAATTCAATACAATCTCAATCTTATAATTTTAATATAGCGACGGCACCATCGCTGACCGTGAGCAAAACCATTGGTGCCAATTGGAACCATTATGGACTTTATTCTGGTGATAATAGCTTGTATTCAAATTTTCACGCTTATTTACTTGACGCACATTACAAAATTGCTCAATGCCGTTCAGGTTGTCTTGATTGGTCAAATCAATATAAATATCAAAAGTGGCCACCACGCCGTGGAAGTGCTCAGCAACAACATATGGAGAAAATGATTGAAATGGTTAAAACTTTTTTTACTGAATTTGGTTCGAATGTTTGTCCCAATATTATGCAAAGCGCTACGAATGTAAACAATGAAACACAAATATTTGAATGTGATAAAAGTAAATATGATAGCTTACAATCAATTGGAGAATCTAGCGGCTACGAGTCATTTAAATACAAACCTGATGATGAAACGGATATGACAAATACAGCAAATAATGTAAGCATGGGAAATATCCACAGTGATGTTGAAGATAATGGGGCAAAAAGTAGAAGTTGTGAAACTCCTGTTTGGAAAATTTCGTCTAAAAAGGATGTTTCACTTTTAGATTTAGATTTTTCAGAAGACTTATTTGCGCAAGGGACAGCAACTTTAGGTAAAACTTATACAGATATCACACTCTTTTAAAAATTTTTGAAATCTTAGGCTTTCGTAAAACTTAATTTTTTTTGCTTTCATTTTAGGTCCTTTTATTAATGCTGTTTGGAGAAAACTCGAAACATTTACAAGCAATAGTTTTTACGTTAACTTACACTTAACTGGATTAATAACAAGACTAGCTTGTTTCCCATTACCTTTAATACATTCACTACTCTTACGTCCTGACATTGTTACAACCTCCGATGCACCATCTTTTCATCAAGTTTTACGTATTCTTAAACAACAAATTGATGCAGAATTACCTCCAACAGAAGATTCGCTGGAGATTATTGATGTCGCCAGATCATGGCTTATAGATCGTGAATTTCGTTTAATATATGCGCGTAAATCTGCTGTTGAATCTTCAAAAAATCCTGGTAGAAATGGGCTACCATATAATCAAACAACATATGCAAATATTTCCTCGACTACTCCCCCGCAATTGACACCGTCTTCGTCATATGACCCTTTTAAAAGAACTGATTCAAAACGAAGAAGTTTTTCAAAATCAATATCAAATATATTTGGAAAGAAATCCATTGGTAAATATACTCGTTTTGCTTTTATTAAAAAAAATAGTATTGGTTAGGTTAATTATATTTTTGGGATTTTCGACAATATAGATTCACTATTCGGAAAAAAATGTACTCACTAAACCACAAACTTTTTATTTAAACAATAAATTAATTTTTCCTTTTTTTGTTTATCAGCTTCATCTGGCTTATCGCAAAAATTTATGCAATTCTTCACTGGTAAATATTCAAATTAAAGTTGTGATTATATGTTATACATAGTGTTATTTCAAATAGTAGATGTTACTTTTGTAGTAGCTTATTTTTTAATTTAATACAAACTTTACATTATAATTATATTATATATTGTTTAACAAAATTTGAACTATTGAAAGCTTTTCTCAATTTGCAAACTTTATAACATTATGTATGTATACAAGATTCACTTTGTAGTTCTAAGAAGTAATGAATTATTCAAATTGTACAAGGTACTTTATGTTTGAGTTTGTAGCTTTCTGAGTTTTTCACAGTTAGTCGTATTGCACAAGAAGAAACGGTATGGCCTTTTATTTATATTTAGTTGTTTGTAGTTCTTTTTTGATCAACTTACTGGCCTTTAAATTCTTATAATATAATTTATTATTTCTTATATATGCATGTTTTGGTGGTGTTTTTTTTTGAAGGTATTTTACGCAATTTCAGAAAATAAAGGTATATGCATGCGTCTAAAGTCGCATTTTTTAACCGAAAAAATCCAATGATTTTACTATGTATGTACATATTTATTTTATTGTTTTTGTTCTCTAAAAATTATGATTCTTTTTTGTCTTAATAGAAAACCTTTTTATTTCTTTTATAGATTTTTTCAAATATATCCTTACAATAATTTACATTTAAATCCCAAAGAAATTTAATCCCAATACCCTGCACGATTTTAAAATTTGTAGTTTGAATAGTTTATTTAATTGAACGCTACGTCCTCCTAACACTATACTTTTCTGATTTTTAAAAGCATTTATTTTGATTTACATAATTTAAAGAGAAACACAGTAAGAAATTTGATTTTAGGTTCTCCATTTTCTTTAGGATCATCGACAAATCAAAACATTTCATCAAATAATGCTGTATCCAACAATGTTTCCACAACATCTTTTACGAATACACCCTCCATGTCGTCACACAGTTCGTCTAATACCATCACATTACAAGACATACCTTCTTCATCTTCTTCGTTATCACAATCTGCACAAAGCTGTAGCCAAACAACTTTAAATAGTGATAATAGTTCTATCATAAATAGTAATAATAACAATAGCGGTAGTAGCAGTATTAATAGTACATTATGTGGTGGTGGAAATTCTGGGCCAAATTCGCTAGATTCAATTGGAGTAATTGGAAACACTAGTGGTACAGAAAGAACGCGAGATTTGTCACTTTGTGCAGTTTTATTAGACGAATGGCTCAAAGAGTTAGCTGCTATTTCACAAGAACAATCTGTAGTAATGCTAAGTGACACTTTATGATAATTACAAGCTCTAGAAATTATTTTGGCGAACAAAAATTTATAATCTTAAAACTATTATTAAGTTTTATATATAATTATGTATATATGTGTACATATTTGATATCTGTGTAATATTTCTTATTTCAACCTGAATTCAACTAATTTATAAAAAACAGAAAATCAATAAGAAAAAATGTTAGTTAGGAATAATGTAAAATTTTTTTGTTTTAATATCCCTACACATTTTATGTTGGTTTATTATGGTTATTATGTATTAAGTTGACACAAATTTTTTGATTGAATACGTTAACATTTTATTCAAATGCACATTAAATATTTACTAATTGGCGATAAAAATTACGAGACAAGAATAATAAAATGTATATTTAGTTATATTTTCAAAATTTCGTATAAAATTTAAAATAACCAGTATTCATTATTTTTAGTTATATAATAAATTTGTTTTAATTACAAAATGCTCACAAAGTCTAAATCAGTAACATAAATTGTTCTTTATAACTAATTGTTAAAAATTCAGTTTGTTTTTGTTTTTTAATATACAGATTTGAATTTTTGGGAAATGGGTTTAGTGGCATGTATCTAAGTATTCAAAAAAAAAGTTTTAACTATTGCATGTTATATTTTAGTTTCTTAATATTTTTATTAACAATTGTAAAAATTATGAATAATTTGAGGCTGCAATAATTAATAAAAAATATAACGTCCAATTTTGCTAATGATTTTAATCAAGCAAAATAATTTAAATAAAAATTAATTTTCGTATAATCTTTGATTGTTCTGTCTAAAGGTTTTTCAGGGCAACCTCAATTTTTCACATTTTCAAATTAAATTTTCACATTTATTGTAATATAAAAGTATAATATGTGTGTGCAATTTTTAAAGTTATACTAGCAGATAAAAATAATCTTCATTGCATGAACCTTTGCAATCTAATATTCGAAATTTTATTGTTGTTTGTTAATTTTACAAAAATATTTTGTTACGAGTAGAAATGTTTCTACAAATTACAATTTTCTAAAGATACAATCTGTAAAAGTTAATCGGTTAGTTGGATAAACTGAGTTTCAACAATCCAAAACTGCCCCCATAGATTACATAGCATACATACATATATACATACATACTTACGTACTAATTGCTAATAAAAATTTTTTTTTTGTTTTTTAAAAGATTTGAAAATTAACTTTTCCAAGTTCGTTAAATAGATTAGTAATTGTATATAAATTTGAAATAATAAAGCAATTTTAGTATACATATTGTACCCTTGAAATGATATTTTTGTATATTAATTTTTAGCGAAATAAACTATGAATTTTGAGTAAAATATTTTATCAATTCTTGTGTAATGTATTTACTTAGGATTACGTGTTAAAGGAACATAAGTCATGCAACTTGTGATTTGTCTACTTTTAACAAAAAAAAATCTGGTAAAAAGGAAAAAAATACATTTTACCTACAATGTGTGTAATTTTGCAAATTTAATTTCGAATAAATCTAATTTCTAAGAAATCTTTAATCTATGAGTAGGTATAAAACAAATTTGTTGATCCAGGTATAGAAAAATGAATATGTACGTGCATTTAAGTTTCAATTGAAGAGGTAAGTGGACAAAGGGGTTAACTTACTTTGGCATTGAAACACATTTTTGCATTAACAAATTGTAAAACTATTAAATTTTTTGTTACTTATTTCCTATGTGCACTGTTAATCTTGTATATTAAGTTTCTAGCTAATGTCTTTATATCTAACAAGTCCCAATGCTCAGAGAGAAACTTGAAAGCACACCTTATTTTATATGGCCTTTTTTAAATCGAAGTGGCTATTTTTTGAGAAGAAATATTAAAATAAATTCACACTTATTATAAAGCAGGTAAAATTTAGAACATATATTTGAAAAATCAAAAAAATACATTAATATTTTCATTGATAATTATTTTAAAATTTAAAAAAAGCGGAAAAACAACAAACACAACCTTCGCCTTTAACGTTTTATTTGTTACTGAAAGCATTTCATTATTTTTAAGTGAACAGCTTTTTTTTCTCATAGGGTAAGTTAACGCAAGATATGGGAAGTACTTGTGGTGTCAAGTTGAAAATATAATTAATGAAAGATAATTCTTAAATATTGATATAAATACATAGTAAAGAAAAAATTTGAAGAGGGAATTAGAAAATAATATCTAAAATACAATCAAATATTATTTGTTAAATACAAATTTTATATAAACTTCAAAATTTTACCTCTATTTTTATTTGAAAAAATATTAAAAACTTACTATCATTTATATCAATTACCTAAGAAAAAAAATATTTAAAATGTTTGGAAAAAACAATCATATATTTTTATGACCGGATTTGAATATTTTTCTATTTTTGAAATAAATGGTATTTTACCAAATGACTCGAAAATTCCGACTGTAAAATAACAGGTATTTTAAAATTTTTGTTCAGGTATTTTAAAATTCTTTCCGTTTAGAATTAAGATAGATCATACATACACATGCAGGGACATTTTATAAATAGATTGCTCTTGTTTACCTGCTAATAAAATATGAAAAAAGAGCACAGCAAAATTTTTGAAGCACTCAATATAACATGTTTGAAATAGTTTAAAAATAATTATTTAAAAAAAAATTTATTGGAAGTAGGTACATACATATTTATTTTTAATAATTTAAAAACTAACTGAAATTATTTGAAACAATTTTATAAGTAACGTATGAATAATCGAAATGGGATAATTCAAATTGTTGAAATGTGTCAACCTATATTACTTTTAATAACATTTTTGTTAGCCGACACTACTCAACTTACCTTATTGGGAAATACAAAATGTGCATAAAAAATCATACATCCTTCCTCATTAACATTTGAAACCATACTGAAATATGAATTTGAAATTTTTTTTCATTTTTTCTTTCCTCCTACCTTTCTTTCTTTTTCGTGCATTTAAAGAATTAATATTTAATTTCGGGCATTTAAAGAAAAAACCAACAACGAGGCCAAAAATTCGTAACATTTCGTAAAAAAAATTGAGTATTGGGACTTGTTAGATATAAAGACATTATTCTAGCTATAAGAGTAATCACAATTGAAAATATAAGAAATTTAATGGTGTTCTATCCGAAAAGCTCGACTTTCGTCAAAATGTTAGTTAGCCCCTTACCGCTAACCTATACAATTACTAAATTACTAGTGACCGAATTGAAAACAATGATAGCAAAATTCTTGGTGGGTTTTTCCTCATTCGACGCACGACTGGCAGAAATAATAATATTTTCGTTATGTCAAGGTTTGATTAGATTCAAAAAAGTTTATAAAAGCTGCTAAATTCCTAATCTACTTCCCCTTTCAGTTCTTCGTTTTTGCTTACGAGTATTTTTTATTTAACAAAAAATACTTGTATAGTTGCATCATCATCATCTAATTCATTTTCATGTTCGTTTTCGTTTAAGCTGAATACATTGGTATGACGCATTAACGACTTACAAATAAATGCACATAAATGTTAATATTATATCTATCAGGACATAGTCTAAATTTATTTTCCAAAATATTGCGAACTGAACCATTTACAAAACAATCCTTAATGTTTTGTTTCCGAAGTAAACATGTACATAAGTATGTACATATTTTTTTTTTTTGAAGTTAAATTTTTGAATATTCTTTGTCCCTCATTTTTTTATTACATACATTATGTAGGTACATACTACATATGTTTTAAAAGTGATCTAGATTATACGGGTCACTATTTATATTTCGGGTCTAGCAATAAAAAACAAACATCATTGGAAATGGTTTTATTGTTTTTCAAAATATTCCCCATGAAGATCAATACACTTTTGCATGCGCTGAAACCAATTTTCGTAGCACTTTTTCCACTCCGATTGATACACCTCCAAAACATGGTTTTTGAACGCATCGACTGCTTCTTCAGGTGTTGAAAATCGTTGTCCACGCATTTTTTTTTTGATGTGAGGGAATAAGAAGAAGTCATTGGGTGCTAAATCAGGACTGTACGGCGGATGACCCATCAATTCGACATTTTGAGTGCTCAAATAGTCCATTGTTTCAGCTGATTTGTGAGAGCTTGCATTGTCATGATGAAGAATGATTCGCCGGCGCTTGTTTGTTTTCCTTATTTCTTCGACAACACACCTTTTTCACGGCAAGATGTTCATGCAATATCTTATGTACGCTGGTGGAACTAATGCCCAAGGATGCCTCAATCTCACAGTATGTCACATGCCGGTCCATCATTATCATTTCGCGCACAGCATCGATGGTTTCCGGCAAAACGACCGAAATTGGCCGACCTTCACGAAATTCATCCTGGAGCGAACGGCGTCCGAAACCAAACTCTTGGTACCAGCGATTTACAGTGGTTTTTGATGGTGCTTCATCACCAAAAGTCGAAACAAGTTGATCGAGATACTCTTGTCTCGATAATCCGCGCCGAAAATCGTAAAAAATCATCGCACGAAAATTTTCACGGGACAATTCCATTTTTTGACCGAGATGAATTTTTCAAGTCACTGTAAACAAAACAATTCGCGCTCGAATGACAAAACGTTCTGAGTGAAGTTGTCCTAAAAAATGTCAAACTTTCCAATGGAAGTGTCAATTAAGTGCACTTTTCGAACGAATTCACCAACCGATTTTTTTAAATTTAAATTTAAAAAAATGTGTAGAAATAGAGTTTAAGACAAATTTCTGTAGAAAAGAACTAAGAATCAATTTCCTTTTCAAAAATAATTTCTGAAACCCCTTCTATATAAACTCAAAACAAATTTGGAATTCATTTTTGATATCGTGGGTATTATGGAAGAGTCACGAAACTGCTTTTTTTGTGTGTCGAGAAAAACGCACTTGAAAATGTACACAATAGTGTCAATTTGCATATACGTGAAAAATTTTCAACGTTATTTTTCCTAAAATACTAACGTTAGAGTCACGTAGGTTTTTCATAAAGACTATTTAGAAAATTCTGAATTTTTCTGTATATACATATAACTAAAAACTCTCAAAAATTAAACGAAATGTAAATTTCAACCGACGACCAGAGTAGGCTTATTCGTCAACGCAACGCGGAAAAAAGTGATTTTTTAATTCTTAGTTTTTAAAATAAATAAACAATTATTTTTTTTTACTTAAATAATTAGTTTTTAAGAAAAAGCATAAGCAAATGCAAAGGGGCCATTTTTTAAAATAAGTCACAAATATATATTATATTTTGCTAAACATTTTTAAAAGCCTTCATTCCTTCGGTAATATGGAAGAAAAACTAGACCCCTATTGTGCTCTCCGATGATCGATTGATAAAAGCAATATCGACGTATCTGTATTATGATGTTTGAATTTCTCGTTGAATGTCAATCCTGATATTTTTCAACGAACTATTGCTGTTTCGTATTTACGAGAAATAATAAAAAATAACTTATAAATAATTTTGAAATGTTAGATTTTTTGTATTATGGTAATCAAATATTTATTTAAAAATTTCACATTAAAAAATATGAGACTTTATTTAAATTTAACCCGTTTACCTTAGTAGAAAGTAGAAGGCAACTTTGCGAGAACATATTAAATTTTGACTCGATTTTTTAAAATAATAATCTCAATTAAAAATAATAAGTTTTGTCTCGTGAACGTGTTTTTTTTCATCAAAAATTATCATTTAATGCTTCAATGTGTACTATTTTTTAATTACAAAACAAAATTTAATTGAGTGATTTTTTAATTTTTGTCACATGAGAAGACCTGAGCATTTGAACCAGGAAATGAATCAAAAATTTTTCATATGCTTTTACTTAAGCATTTTATTATTTTTTCCCTTTGTTTGATATTTGGTTTTTTGACAAGCTGTACTAATTTTAGCACATTCATTGACGCCAATGAACGTTATAACACACAATTAAATCAACATTATTTTGTATTCTAGTTATTTTAAATTTACCTCCAATGCTTATTATATATTTCTGTAAAATGAGTTTTCCAACATCGTTCTTTTTTATGATTTGTTTGAAGGTGTAAAAAAATGTTTATATAGCATTTGCTTTGAGAAATTCTTTTTACTAAAAAAATGTTTAAACGGAATGAAAAATCAGCTGATTGTCAAGAATTAAAAGTTTACTGAGTTACTTTCTAATTTTTGTTTCGTGAAGCGACTTCTTACTTTTTTACATCGAATTGAGTTGATTTGTAAAAATTATTGATTTTAGATTTTTGGTTGCAATAAAATAGTGTTTCTACTGTTTAATGTGGAACACGGCCTAACTATTAGTATGTTTTGACAACTATAGTTGAAGTTTAAAGTTGTTAACCTGCTTGTTCTCCTTCAATACCGAATGAATAGATACAAAGCAACTTTGAAAATCTTGACATTTACTATTGAAAACAAAATTCGATTAAAAATTTGTAATATTACTTATTTGTGCGTTGCAAATAATTTTTCGTGGTAAATAGCTTCTTGTGGATACTAAATATTTTTTTGGTAAATATTTATAAAATTTGCTATACAGTTTTAATTTTAGAAGGACCTTAGAAATCGAAAATATTTCAGGAAGAGCTTGCATAAAGATATATATATAAATGGCATTACCGGCAAATTATAAGCAAATTGCTTCCAATTTGCCAACAACAACATCGACTGGCCGTAAGTAATTGAAAAAATCTATATAACTAAGTAGGATTAAAATAAATCGGCTGTTTTGCATAGGGCATAAATACATACATACATATGTACATGTACAAAAAAAAATTAACATTGAAGCTATACTAACCAATTTACTAAACAAAATTATAAATTTGTAACTTTTTGAAATGTAATATAAGATTAATTTATTCACCTCCCACAGTAACTGTATACATACCTACACATATTTTTATACACATATATGAATCCGTATTTTACGAGATATTTTCAAGTTGTACACTTGCCAAATTTTACTTTTTGGAGTATTGTTGGTATGCTACTCACTGAAAGCGTGGTAACTCGAGCTTTAGATTAAAGTTTTCTTATATTGTTCAATAAACAATTTTATACAAGTTATTAAACGGTTTTAATTCTTTTTGTTTTTTAGTTTGAACTTTATTTTTAATCTATTGTCATTACTTCAGAAGCTCGTTAGGTGAGAGCCAACGGTCCTTATCGCTTAATTATGTTTCTAATATACATATTAATATTTTATTTTACATAAAAATAAAATATTTATTGAAGTTAGTTATGTATATAATGTGGGTAAATTATCTGTAATGTATTAGAGTTATTATAATATATTAGAAATAAATCGTATTTAGTAAACTTAGAAAATTCATTCGCAATTAGCTATTTTCAATACTATATACTATATATTTATCATAAATTTGCGCCAATTAGGCATTTTATAATTATTACATAAGTATGTAGCTTTAAAACTTGTTTTATATTGGTATTCAAAGTAATTTTAATTGTATATTTGGTTATGGCAAACAGGAGACAACTCAGTATTTAATTCTAAATGTTTGTTTAAAATATTTTATAATTTGGACTTATTAAATTACACCTGGTTTTAAACTTCACATTTGAATTGGTTGGATTTAACGAAAATTAAAAAAAACATTTTTTTTTTTTTCAAAATTTTAAACAAAATTTTCTTTTTTCCAAAATCGAACAAAATTATTTATTATGAACCAGATATGATGTCGTCTCCAGTTCCTCCAACCTTCAACATTTTGAAAGGTAAAGTTAATTGGAAAATAAAATGGAAAACATAGTGCTAGAGACAAACTTTAATTTTTTAATACAAGTTTAAAATGACTTTTTAATATTATGAAATGAAATATATGCTTTAAATTAAATTTTAAACAAATAATTATGTACTAACGTAACTAAAATTGCATTAAATAAAAGCACTAAATTACATTTTAAATAAAAAGTTATATGCTAACAAAAAATTTGCTACAAACGAAACTTTAAATCAAATATTGTCTCTAGTTCTTTTTCCTATCAAAATTATTAGGATTCTACTTAATTCATTGCTTTTTTAATTTGCATTTTTGTTTTATTATATCAGTAATCTTTTATTGTAACACAAGCATCATTTTTTTGTTATTGTAATTTTTAATTTTTAGAAAGACTCCGAGCGCCAGAAGGAACAAAAGCATCAAAAGAAACGAAAGATACAACTCCAATATTTTCTCATAGCAACTATGGTAATCCCGCGTTCACACCTCAAAAAGCAGGAAAATCTTCAGTAAAGTTTTTAAAATATGCGTACTAATGAGCATTCTAATATTTTTACAACTTTATTTAGAAGCAACAAGCTGCTGAAGCAGCTCGCGTACCAAAACCACCAAAACCACCAGAAAAACCAATGATGCCTTATATGAGATATTCAAAAAAAATGTGGGATTCTGTGAAGGCTGCAAACCCTGACCTGAAAATTTGGGAATTAGGTAAGAAAATTGGTGCGATGTGGAAAAGTGCTTCTGATTTGGAAAAACAAGAATTTATAGATGAATATGAAGCAGAGAAGGTAATTAACCATTTTATTGAATTCTTTATTAAAATGAGGAGCTTGTAAAGCGAGTGTAAATAATTTCTGAAATAAATTCATATTAAATAAAAAATTTTATTTCATCAGTATTTTCAAAAAACTTTATAAAATTTTAAAAATAATTTGTTATGCTCGGTAATTTCAAAAATAGACGTTAAAATATTACAGAAACTAACTACAGAAAATAAATATTATTTTTAATTATTTGTATTAAGCAGATATTTTAACAATAATACATATTTTATAAAACAAAAATAAGGTTAAATATGAAGAACTAATCAAACAATATCACAGTACACCAGAATATATAGCTTGGATGAAATATAAATCGAAACAGAGAGGTACAAAATATTTAATTAATTGTTTGTTGACTCTTCATCGTCACCACTTTATATATTAATTAAAAGATTTTTTATGTTTCATTTTTCACCATTGTAACACATTATGCTGTAGTAGAATTATCACAGTAATTTTTACAATACAACTAACTTCACATTGTAGGACAAAAATTTTTATAAAATATAAATACAAAAATACTTAATTTTTTTACGTTTGGCAAAAATGCCAGTTTTGTAATAAGGTTATCCATATATAATTTTTCGGTATATTTTGTATTTTATTTTTTTATTAATTGCAAAGGTTTCTAAACTTGAAAACATCTAAAAATTTTGTTTATCAAATAATTACATTTTTCGTTAAGCTTATGTGTGACCCGTTTTTTTTTTTAATTTTGGTGTGAAGCGAAAAACGGGGATGGAAAACGGCCAAGAAATTTACTTATTCGTTACATAAATTCTTTACATATTTAAAAATTAACAATTTATTCTTAACCCATATTTCCACATCAGTATTCAAATATTAACATCAATTATTGAAATAACCGTTGTTTGACCGTTGTATTGTTTAAGAACTTAAAAAAATTAAAAATTGAAAAATCTAACCAAATATGTATGCATATCACTGCCAAAAATTTATTAAGTACATTTCAAACTATAAATATTAATTTATTTTTAACTTATATTTTCTTGTTTTCGTTTTATCAATAATTTTTAGATAATAAACACTTAAATAGAGCATTAAAGAAATATGAAATAAAGGGCAAATAAATATGAAATAAAGGGAAAATAAATATGAAATAAAAGGCAGCAATTCAAGTTACATTTTATTTGCTCGACAATTTAATTGATATAATTTTGTTTTTTGGGTAAAAGCGAAATATTACCATATATTCAAAAACATCTCTGTATAAGCTCCTGAATGATATTAACATTGGTTATAAAAACATAATCTATGATTTACGATCAAAATTTACGTACACATGTATGTATGTTACTAAACTGAATATTTAACATTAATTCGAAATTTAATACGAAAATTAATTATGTGATTTAACTTATCATTTCGTTTGGTGATATCTAATCAAAAATTTTGATCGTGTGTCATAAATTAAACGTTCTAGATTATAATTAGCCAAATATATATATATATATTTTTCAATTTTTCATGTTAATATTTTTATGTTTCTTGTATTGGTTTTTTTTTCGAATAATTTTCATATTTCAGATTGAATATGAGAAAAATTTACGAACTTATCATAATTCACCCGCATATTTGGCTTATATAGCTGCTAAAAATAAAAAGTCTGGTATGTGTTCATTTATACTTTAATAGGAATTTTCTAATCTTTTTAATCCCTGCATTTTCATTTTGAAAGTTTTTTTTTTGATCACCATATTTTTAACTTTGCTTTATATACAATTAAAATTTTTTATAAAATCACCTCTTAATTAAATTTTATTATTTTGCTTTATTAATTTTATAAATAACACTTTTTTATAGGCAAGAAAAATATAAACTATTTCAATATAATTCAACCTGTAATAATTCATGCATGCAGTACTAATCGTGCTATAACTTTGTTGTGTAAATAATTTAATATTCTTTTCGACATTTTTTTTGTATTTCAATTTTATTTGTATTACTAATTTTACTCTTTCTTTATGTTTTTTTATATTTAAATATGATTACGTATAATATTACATTTTTTTGTGCACCTTTTTTCAATAAGTGTAATCCTTACAGTTAATCAATGATTTTCCAGATCTATAATCATTAGAAATATTAATAAATCATATTAAATTAATTAAGTTTAAGTTATTAAATAAAAAATATCAGTACAAGTTATTATGATGTTCTGGAGGCAAATTATCACTTCATTTTTCAAATTGTTCAACATTTAGTGATATTTTTGCTGTAATTATCGTTTTAAAATGAATTAGTCAAGCAACAACAAAATTGTCTATTGTGTTTTCAGACAAGGTTTATAAAAAGTGGTTTTTGATTAAGACTAAAATAGTCTGTTCAATTAAAAAAACGTATGTAATATTTTAAAAAATGTATTTTTGCATAATCAATCAAGTTCAATGGATTTGTTATTCCGAAACCCAATACATATTAATGTGTTGAATTTTACAAAAGATTCCATTTGAAAAGTAATGTGATAAATATCATAAGCGAAACAAATTATGCACATATGAATTAAGCAGAAGGGTATAAGTGCAGATACATACATACATGTATGTACACTTTTCTGTCGAAAAACAAATTGAAAAAAGCTTTTCGATTAAAAGGTACCTGAAGTCTGAACAAATAATCAGTTTCAAGCTTTAATCTGTGTTTATATTTAAATTTCATAACGGTATAAGTAAAAATATTAAGATTAAAAGTTTTTTGAAAATTTTTGGAGCTATATTGCTCCAATATTACGGTCATATTATCTCGAAAATTAAATATTGCTAAAAATTTCAAAAATTTTCCATTATAAAGTAAAATTTGATAAGCTTGCAGTTCTTTAAAAAACCACAAAATTAATTTGCCATGTTCAGTTGTATGTCGAGAAAAATTTGAAAATTTTTAAGAAACATAATTAATCTGGAAACAAAAATTACAATAAAATAGAAATATACAAACCCTTTTAAGATATACAAATATTATTTATTGAATAGATAAAGGTGCAAAACTGTAATATAATATGTATATTAAACCAAAGTTTTTAAAAGCATTTAGTCTAATATGATAAGTTAATTTAGATGCAGATGTTCATGAAACTCCTTCAAGAGCTGGTGGAAAAGGACAGCAGGAACGAAGAATAGATATACAGCCAGCTGAGGATGAAGATGGTAAGTTCATACTTTGATTATTAGCCTTTTTAAATTTTTTCTAAATTTAAAAATCAAACAAAACTTAACCTTTAATTATACATACATATATACATTAAGGCTTATATGTAAAATTTCTAAATACGTAAGTTGCAAAATTTTTTGTCTGGAAGAGTTATTCTTTAATTATTCTTTAGAACAAAGAACAGCTTATCAGCATTAATTTATGTTAAAAATATACATATTTTAAAAAATTAGAAATAGCTATTTTTATATATTAATAATTTAATTTTATTCAAACAATTATTTAAAAATAATTTATAAAATAAATCGAATATGCAAAGCATTGTACAATGAAACTCCGAAAAATTACTTCGAAGTGGGATAATTAAAAAAAATTGTAAATGTGCTATAATAGCATACTTAAAAAATTCGTAATATAATTTTTATGTCGTAATTTTAAAAATATAATGGATAAAATATAAAAGTACGTTAAATAAAATAAATAATGATGAGTACTTTTAAAACTAGAAGCGACCTCGTATTTGGTTAATCCAATCTAAATAATATGAAACTCTCACATAAACACCGGGAACATTTCTTTGACCACATCCAATCCCCCATGATACAATTCCAACCATTTGCCACGCGCCACCACGTTCACATACCAGGCTGCCGCCACCATCCCCCTTACAAGCATCTTTACCTTCTTCACCACCAGCACAAATAAAACCAGGATGCAATCTGTAACTGTGACCTAGTCGAGTATTTTGAAGTTGATACTGACATTGACTTTGTTCAATAATTGGTACATCTACTTCTTTCAAAATATTTTGGTATTTTCCGTTGTCACCAAATGCATCTTTACCCCAACCTGTAGTCCAACACCGGGCTCCAGTAAAATCGCTATATTTATCTGGTAAACAAATTGGACTTATATGAGGGTTGTTGGTGAAGTCAATTGGAATCGCTAGCTTAATAATAGCCAAATCATTATCTAATGTTCCAGCATAATAATCTGGATGTATCGTAACCGTGGAAGCATCTCTTTCAATATACGGGAAAAACTCAACATCATGATTAACATCCCATTCTCCAAGACGAATTTTTAAATCATAACCCTGATAAGGCTTAACACAATGCGCAGCGGTAAGTACGTATCTGTCATCAATTAATGTGCCTCCGCAAATATATACAGATTCTTTGGGATCTTTTTTCAAAATAGCTATTTGCCATGGATATTCACCAAACTCACTATCGCCGTCCACAAATACTGGCGTTTTTATACGTCCCGTAATACCATGTGCATTTCTAGTACCGCATTGTCCCAATTTTGAAATACCAAGTCCTTGTGGATTTCGACAGCAGACTTCATTAAATCTGCATTGTTGAACTTGATTGCGGCGACCGCGTCCCTCAGCGTCATCGATGTCAAGTGATTTTTCTTTAGCTTCATCAACGTTTTTTATTTGATCATTTTTCAGAGGCAAATTTCCAAATCCATCATTCGTGTCCCTTTTTAAACGTTTCGATTCTGTTAAATTACTGGATAATGTTTCATTTTTAATTTCTTCCTCAATAGCTTCGATATTACTATTTAAGTTGCGCGGATCTAATGGTAAAATTAAATCGTCTTTTTTACCAATACGTTCTGCGCCGGGACATTGCTGATATGGAACGCAAACACAGTCTCCAAATTGCCTGTTTGTAATTGCATCGGTGTAACCATTTGTATATTTGGATGTCCCACTAAATTGTGAGATAGAATTAGGTTTGTTTGAATATTCCGAAACATATTGACGTTTGCTGTACAAATCTTGTTGTCCGGAAGCGTATGTTCCGTAATTTCCTAGACCACTATTTAAGTATGTTTCTTTTGGTTTAAATGTTGTGTATAAATTATTATTTGTATTCCCTAAACTATTTTGAAATTCATTACCTCCGTTAAAGCCAATTTTATAACCAGAAGCTTCATTGAAACCCGCTTTAAAAGCAGAACTACTACCGAAACCTTCATTATTGCTTCCAACAAAACCTGAATTTGAATCGACATTGAATAAAGGCGCTTTTGAACCATAGTAATCATTAGTACTGCCAGAATACAAACTGTTCACTCCTTGAAATTGTGTAATACTGTTATCAGTTTGGGTATTAATCGTTGATAGCTCTCCAACTGATATCTTTCCATTTTTATTATCATTTTCTATATGATGATAGTGATGATGAACATGTTGTTGTAATGTTGATTTATCATCAGAATTCACTCCACCAACACTTCCACCAGCTACTATAACAGATTTAATTGAATTTTCTGGCAGTATTGGTTTATAAATTGGACCAGGATTATATGAAGATGAATCGCTAACATAAATTTTACTAGTGACTTTATGATTTTCAAATTGATATGGACTGTCTACACCTACACCAGCATTTGCACCATTAAAAACTGGTCCTGGAGGTTTCGATTCATAAATTAGAGCTCCTGGTGGAGGTTTAGAATATATTATATCACTGCGAGGTGGTGGTGGTGGTGGTGCTGAAATAAATGTTGATGGTCCATTTGAATAGAATGGTGGTTTATTAACAAAAGCATTTGATGGTGATTCATAGCCAACTTTACGTGGTGGTCCAAATTTTGTTGAAATAGGCATTGGTCTTGGTGGTCCATATGGATTACCAATACGATTTTGATTACAATTCATTAAACCAAGAACACATAATTTTTGCTTAACTAAACTTCTAGCTTTAATATCATCACCGTTTTGTAAACTTTGTTGTAAATCTTGATCATTTTGTATTTCTGAATATCCATCTAAAAGACGGCCCATTCTTGAACTATGTAAAATTGTATCAACAACTGCGTCAATAGTTGATTCTTCAATATCATCATTAGCTTCACTATAAATTTCTTCATTTTGATAAATATGTCGTCCCATTATATTTTCATTTTTATGCTTTTCTGTTATATTATCCACTTTTATTTTTTCTGTTGTACTAATATTTTGTTCTTTTTTATCACTCTCGTTACTCTCTTCGACTTTCCAAGTCCATATTTCGGTAATTAACAATAAAAAAATTGAACATATTAAAAAATTAACGTGAACTATCCTCATTTTACTTTTTATTTATTATCTTTATTCACATAAAAGTGAAATAATCCAGATTTGAAATGAGTTTTGTTTTTTTTTTTGACAATCACGTCGAGTAAAATTAAATTTTTTTTACTTTCACTACAAATCTTAGTTAATATTTTGTAATTTTCATAATTGATTACCGCATAAGAGTCTTTTTTTTATTTTTGTTTTTATTTGCTTATGTAAAAAAAGATTTGTATTTTTTTTTCAATTCAAAACGCGCACTATAAAGATTGTTATATTCCAAGTTGTTCCAATTTTGAAAATAATGAAAAAAAAAATTATTTTATAGTTTAAAATATTTCGAATGTGTTTTTGTAACTGAGTACGTATTCAAAATTTTACTGCTTTATAATATAACGAATCCCACTCTATTTTGGATGTCTATTTTACTTATTTTTTCTTTACTGTTATCGTATGGGGATAACAATTCAAAGAAAATATTGCAAAAATAGACGTACAACCTTATAAAATATTCAAAATAAAATCACCATATTAAAAAAAAGAATTGAGAAAATTTTAAATTTCCGTCAAAATGATAAAAAACTCAATTCAAATTTGTATTTTGTATCCGTTAAGTGCATATGTATGTATGTATGTAAAACAGATTATTAATCTGCATAATATACCTGGCATATTTACATATTCGTAATAAAAAAAATAATTAATGTATTCTTCTTATGACAGGTTCTCACTTTTGTTACTTAAAATTAAAAATTATTCTATAATATCGAAAATAAGTTTTAATTATGTTTGTTGTCCTAAGCCAATTCTTATATTGTGGGGGTTATAAAATTTTAAGTAAGAGTTTTTTCACAAGAATTTTTTTTTCTATTTGATAATAAAAACCGTTAACTGATTTCTTAATAACTTTAGACTTAATCAAGAATCAAAGTCTTTAAAAATTAATTAAAAGAATTCATATAGATTTGTTTATAGGTGTGCATACGAACATACATATGACAAACAAAGACACTTTTTGACAGCAGAAAAATGGTTGGATTTCTAATTAAAATAAAATATTCTAAATTTATAAATTATCCAACGAAATATGATTAAAAAAAATTTCTTATGTTTTTGGTAAATTTGATATAAAAATACCCATATCTCTTCTTATCTCTTGAATTTCGTCTAATTTCCTTTATTACTTAACATTTTATGAATAACTACAAAGTTTTCTTATTTTCAAAAATAAAAACAAAACCAAACAGGCTTAAAGATGTAGAAAAAGATTTTACATAACATTTTCATATTCTATTTTCATTTATAATACCTACCTATTTTTCGAAATTATAAAAAAAATTAAATGGTTTATTCATTCTTAATTATGTGCTATTATATTTAGCACATAATTAAGAATGATATAACATAATTAGACTTATATATATAGTTTATAGTTTAGAACTATTTTTTAATTTTTGAGGGGCTCTAGTGATTATTAAGTATTTTAATTTAAAATAGGGCCACTCAAAAAAGTAGTTCTGGTGTGTAATTACAAAAATTATCTTCTGTATCTCACAATAAACTATATATGTACATATGTACGTAGCTATATGTTCTAAAGTGTATTTTATATACTAATTGTTAATTAAGGCTTAGTATAACTGATTATGCTTAGTATAATAAATTGATAGATACGAATTTTTGTACAAAAATTTTAAATTTAAATAAATATAAATTTACGCATACTAACTTGTTTTACGTGATAAGACGTTTAGTAAGATTCATTTATTTTCATCTTACGAACGAAATCATTTAAATGGAGCGAAATATAAAAAAAAACACAACATGTAAAACAACAAAAAAAAACAAAGAAAATGGTAAACATTACAATATATTTACAATACGTTGTTTCTTTTGTTTGTTTTGGTAATCTACTCCCATGATATACAGAAAGTCATTTTGATAAATTTAAATAATTATACAGGGTATTTCACATAAGGGGGAAAATAATTTATAGGTTGATTCTTTGATCAATTTCCAGCAAAAAATTGTATTGTAATTAACTAGTAACAAAAATTTTTGAGAAATTTCGAGTTTAAAAAAAAACAAAAAAAAATGTTTTGCTTTGAACGAACTTTATCTTGAAAACTATGGCTCAAATCAAATTGCTTGTAAGACCGAAAATAAGGAGCAATCAGTCGTCTGTGAAACCAGCCCTCGATGGTAACTTTATGTCGCATGATTCAGATGTTACAAGCATTTATTTATATGCAGGAAAAATGTGGTATCTTTTTTTTTCATCAGACTGTAGCCTGTTCGTTTCCGAGAACGAATGTATTTGCACCCTACCCTTCCTTACAATTTTTTGCTAGAAATTGATAAAAGGATCATTCGTGAAATTATTTGCCACCTTATGCGAAACACCATGTATAAAGTTCGATAATTATTAGTCTATTTTATTTGATTTAAATTATTTTATTTTATAAACGTATAAAATACAAAATAATTACAATTAAAATAAAATTTAAATCAGTCAAGGAAAAAAAAATTATTTTTATCCTTTATTTTAATCCTTTGTCAGTTACTGTTCAAGTCTTCATTTGCTAAATCATTTTCAATCAAATGAAATTGCAATTACAAACGTAATTTGAATTTTTCTATATCAATACAAAATTTTCTTAAAATCAAATAAATCATTTTTATTTTCTTAAAATCAAAAAATAAATAAAAAAGTAAAAAAAACATTGACGAAGACTTTCCTCAACCATTGCAGAATGAAAATTTTAAATTTTCATCCTTCGTTGATTTTGTAAGTGAAAGTTTAAATTTTATGTGTTGTTAAAACTCTATTCAAGTTTATTCCCAAAGTGCCAAAGATCTTTTGTTTTATTTTCTTATATTCTTTTTCTGTTTTGAGTTTTTTCTTTTTTGAGGTTTGTTATTTTGTCATTCAAAAATGATGTTATGTAGTTATTCCATACATAACTAGCCAACATAAAATTTCTTTATTAAGCATTAGGGTTAGTAAATTTGTGACAAAAAAAATAAATAAAAACTTCATCAAAAATATGGTAAATTTAGTTATTTTATTTGCCTTAAAGGCAAAGATATCAAATTTTTTGTAAGTTATTGAATGAAATGAACATTATGTCCGAAAACAGACGAATAGCATTTAATTAAGAATTTAATTTAATTAATTTAATGATTTCACAACTACTCAATATTGTACAACTTTTTAATATTTCCCGACAGTATTTCTATACTTTCTTGAAAATTTCTTGAAAAGATTCAAATGTACCTATGCCTATACCAATGTAAGAAAAATATTATCATAACAAAAAAAAATTGTATTATGTACTTAAATTTTTTTTTTTGGAAGTGAAAAATATTCGCGTAAAATGTCTTTTCCTTTATTTTTGTTTTAAACACTGTGTCTGTATGCATTAATTCAAGATTTAACAGAAAAAAGAAAATGCCAAATTTAAACCCACTCGTCTTACATAATCAACACCGTTTTCATTATATTTAAGTATTAGTGTGTATTAATATTGCTTGCCAGATGAAATTTGCTTTCATTAACAGTTACAAAAATAATTTATTTACTCTGTACCATTTACGTACCTTTATATTCGTTCGGCAATATTAGTGAGTAAAAATACAGTAAAAAAAATTGCATTTATCTTACAGTACATCAAATATTCATACATGCAAACCTTTTTTTTTCTTCTTTACATAACATTATCATGTTATTGTGTTATAATTATACATACTTACATATATGTATGTAGTTTCAAAACTTGGATTTACCCAAACAGGTCGAGGTTAATGTACACTTTAATTGAATTACTGATTTGATTTTCATTTGATATGGCTGCATATTTTGTATAGTATGTAAATGTATTTATATGTATATACGTGTGTTGAATATTAACCAGTAAGGTAACAAATTTACTTAATAAAATGACTCATAAAAATTTACGTATGGGTTTCCTTATGGTCATTTGATTATTATGATAACTAAAGTATGTATGTATGTACATACAATTTTTTTTTGTTTTGTTTTTTTTTTATTGTGTAATAATACATAATATACACGATATATTAAATTTTTTATATAACATAATTTTATTATTTCTTGTGATCGTATAAATGGATGCATTTTATTTTTGTTGAAGTTTTGGCGCATTATATTTTATCCGTATTTAAAAAGTACGTCATAAAACTTAATTTCAACATTTTTAGTAAAGAAAAAAATAAATATTGTTGGACCATCGTAAATTGATATAGAAGAATGATGTAGTAATAAAGGCGTTTATTATTATTATGCTAACTTTTATTTTGTTTCGTTTATTTTGAAGCTGTTTTGAATACGAACTGGTTTTGGCAAAAAATGTTACATCATTTTTTTTTTTTGTCTTTTCTTCGTGATAAAGTTTTAGTCACCAATATTTTTGGCTAGTATATATGTATATGAGCATACGTACACATGTAGGTGCATTTATTTAAATAATTATGTACAGTAGGTCTTATAAATTAGGACAATAAACTTTTTAAATGTTAGATTTATTGACAATTTTTTATTTTGCATTTTTGATTGATTATAAAAGTTTTCTTTTATAATGGTATACATAATTTATAAATTTTTGATCAAAAAATAATTACTTAAATTATTTCAATCAAATTTATTTTCTCTTATTTCTTTTCTAAAGAATTTTTCGCTTTCTTTTTGATTTATGTATAGTTTATAATGATGTGTCTTTAAAATTCGCAGAGTCAATATTAGAGTTTATAAGTAAACAAATAAAAATCCGTATATTTGTTCACCGTACGATGCACTTGCAATATGGTTTTGTTCATCATTAACATAAATTATCCGCATTCGCTATTTTAACCTAAAAAAAAAACTTTGGAAATTTTTCATATTTCAAAATTTGAATGCATCCGTAAAATTAATATACTAGTAACTATCTTTTATAATATAAGAAGCAAACATATTTGTTATTTAAAAATTTTGTAACAGTAAGCTTTAAAAATTTTTATTTTGCTTGGCTTTGCAGAATTTTGCTTTTTCGTCTTTTCTTATTCGGTTTTCTTTTCAACTTGTCAAGGAAAATATTTGTAATATTTTGGAATTTCCAGTTATTTTCAATTATTTGTAGAATTAACTGAATAAGTAATCATTTATGTGTGTATGTGAATCAATTCATAAAATTGCATAAAAATCTTTTTTTTTTATTCATTTGGGTTTTTCTATTTAAATTAATTATTCTTGGAATATAGACCGATTTAATATCTAATGGATTTTTTGAAGGTTTTTAAAGATTAATTGTTCTTGGAAAATTTAATTTTAAAATATTTTTATTTTTTGCAATTTATATTTTCGTAAGGTGTTTTAAATGCATAATTTTGTCTTGTACTTATTAATTAATTTTTTGGTTGTAAGATTTAAATTTTATGTTATTTATGCGGAATAGGTAGTATGAAATTTTAAACATAAAAGAAAAAATAAAACAAAATATAAATGCATAATTTTGAAGTTGATGAAAAACTTAGATAGATAAATTGAGGCTAAGTCACATATTATAATATTGCTGTTAAGTAATTATAAGAATCTTTACAGATCGAAATGTGGTTATTCTACTTTTATCATATTTTTTATTGTCTTATTAAATGGAAATTCAAAGACATGGAACTTTATTTAATGATTAGGAGTGTATTTTTTAAACATAGACCCTTTGTTTATTACAACGAAGCTCTAATTTAATTTGAATTTTAATGATAAATTACATGAATTTATAAGTTATATAAAAAAATTTTATTGACACTATATTATATTAATTTAAGGTTTAATGAAAAAGAATATATAATTTCTTTTTATTAGATCAAGATGATGGTTATTCGGTAAAACATGTTGCTTACGCCAGATTCATCAGAAATCACCGGTTAATTAATGAAATATTTTCTGATGCTGTAGTTCCTGATGTAAGATCTGTTGTCACTACACAACGTATGCAAGTACTTAAAAGGCAAGTAACATCATTAACAATGCATCAAACTAAATTAGAAGCTGAACTTCAACAAATGGAAGAAAAATTTGAAACTAAAAAACGGAAATTACTAGAATCAAGTGAAATATTTCAGGAAGAATTAAAAAAACACTGTAAACCAGCTGTAGATGAAGAAACATTTCAGAAAATGGTTCAAAAAGCTTATGAAGATTTAAAACGTGAACGTTCAAAGACAGATGAACCTTTAGGAAATATAAATAACTCTAATCCACAAAGTAATGCACAAAAACCAATTATGGCAAATTCAGGATCAACAATAAATCGTAATGAGGACACAAAGACAGTAACAAATCAAACATCTGCTTCTAATATGCCAACTCCACCATCACAAAATACTGCATCTAATGCATCATCTTCTTCAAATCAAACTCCAAGCACTCAACAAGTTTTACAACCAACCGTTACAAATCAAACTTCAAGTAATCAAGGTCCTTCGTCTCAAACATCTCAGAACCTTCAAAATGGTGGTCCGCCTGTAAGCCAACAGTTAAATCCTACTTCATTACCTATTCCTAAAATGTCAACAGGATTATTGCCAGAGGCTGCTCCTCCTCCTTCGAATTCGCCAGCAGTTCATGATAATTCAAAAGATCAAAATGAACCAATGGACATGGATATCGAACCACCATCGAAACATGCACCTGCAATCATTCCAGGAGCTGGTATGAAACCAAATCTGCCACCTCCACCTACAATGAACGCTGATAAACCAAAAACACCTCCAAATAATCAACACTTAACTAAAGAAAATCAATTTGGAATCGATTCCCCTAAAGTTAAAGGGCGCAAGACTTCAACCGAAAATTGGGACAAAACTGGTGAAGGCCAGTCTAAACATGATGTGCACAATGAACCAAAAATATCTGAGCAATCTCATCCAGTTCATCCATCGTCAATAATGAATCCCTTGCAAAGTAGTCCGAGTCAACATCGTGGTCCTATGTCACCATCTGGAATGATGCAAACAGCTCCTTCAGTTAATTTACCACCAAATCCTCCACAAACCCCGACGGGTCCTTCTGGACCTCCAGGTCCTCCACAACAACACATGCCGACACAACAACATCCTACTAGTGGACCTCCTGGTCCAGACACTCCTCCAGTTGTTCCGCCTACTCACCACGGCCCTCCAAGTCATCATATGTCACCACACATGGGCAGTCATCATCCTGGCATGCATCCTAATTATGGCGGCTATGCACCTCCTCCTGGGCCTCCGAGATCACCGTATTATGCGCCACAGTACGGTGGCCATCCTCCTCCGCAACCTTACGGACAGTATGCGCCATATCCCTACCATCAACAATACGCTCCTCCGCCAGGACATTATATGGGTCGTCCAGGACCAGCAGGACCCCCAATGCATTATGATCATGGTGCAGGACAACCTCCACCACAGCATATACCACCTCAAATGGATGGTCATCATAATTCATATGGTCCTCCAGCTCAGAATACAACCGCACCACCTCAAGTTGGGCCGCCAGGACAATCTCTCCCCCCAATTTCAAATGATGGTAAGTTTTAAACATCATAAAATTATTTATCTTTAATCGCTGAAATATATGTTTTTAGAAGCAAAGCGTGATGACAGCGGTGCAGATTCTGACAAAAAAGATAGTGAATAAAAGATGCACATTTTTATTTAATATTAAACTAAAATTAAAGTTTTATTTCAAAAGCTAAAACAAATAAATTTAAAAATTTTAAAAATCAATATAATTCGTTTTAAATGTGCAACTGGAAAGTCCAACAAGTACAAAGAGGAAAGAAATACGTAAAAAATATAAGTTGGTAAATTGTCTTGAGAACAAAAATAAGCTTCCTATAATAATACTTAAGACTTTAGTTTTCTCACAAACTCGAAAAACTCTCAATGGAAGAAACATTATAGCTTCCACTGTAGTTCTAAGCCTACAAACTTATATCAGGTGAACAAAAATGAGTGAATATTATGTATTTCTATTGTGTTATCTCCAAGTAAGAACTTTCCATAACTGTGTTATAATTTTTTCAGAAGTGTTAGTTATAAAATATGTAAACTATTAATATTGAATCATTTTAAAATACAATTTACATGACGCGATATAATGTTGAGAAAAAATCTTAAATATCACCATTATGCTTTCACGAACAGTAAAAATGTTAAGTAAATGTTTGACTACTTTAAAGGAATACGAAATGAAATCTTAGAAAAGAATACGATTGTTTTGTTGTATGTTTGTAGCACTTTTCCAAAAAAATTTTGAAAAAAAGTGCTTATTAGTTTGACTCTGTCCGTCCGGGGACATGTTTACAAAACTTCCAAAACCTTGAAGATAGAAAGCTGAAATTTTATACGTACATAGTTCTTTACTAGAAGCTTATTTCTGTAGAATAAAATTTTTACTTATCTCCTTCTCTAAAAGTTATACCCCCCCTAAAAACAAACCCTAAAAACAAAATTTTTGGAAGTGAAACCATTTATTTATTGAAGTGAAACCATAAGTATTGTTCAAATTTTGCTAACGTATATAATGGATGGCTTCTAACACGGCATATCATATCTGAATTTTAAAAAAACAAAATGGCGGCTAAAATTTACCGTTATTTAAAGTCCGTTTTTTCCAAATTTTTGATACCGTTTTTCTTCTACACCGTACTACTAATAAATAGTTCATTTCATTAGAAGAAAATTTTTTCCCATTTCCACAAGCTTTTTCAAATTTCTATTAACGCAGAAAGCTAACGGTAAATTCCATACCATTAAAAAATATAATGTTATAGGCATAAAAAATATAATGTTGTACGAGCATTATGTTAATCCCTCTTTACATTTATTTTTGCTTTATTTCAAAAACTGCATAAATTGTTCATCCTAAATACATGCAATCCTAGTAATAGTTTCGTCTATGAATGAAAATAATTATAATAGTGTGGTAGGTATAGGTATTATAATAGATTGTTTTTAAAAGCAGTATTTTTACTTGTTGAAGGGAAAAGTGCTACAATACAAAACATTGGTTTGACCAAACTTTATTGTTTATCGGGAATATTAGTAGTATTCAGAGCAGGACTTAGCGAAATTGAAAGCACTTTCAGTGTTGAATAATCTTTCCAGTAAATCTCTGTAATACAAACACGTAAACATTTGTATCTTTCAAATTCAATTGATTAAAACACAAGTATTAAATTTTTAGATTTTTTTATTAAAATACAGGTTTATGTGCAAAATTAATAGTGTTTTTATGTTAAAGTTAAGTTATGAATTTATCTTTTTGTTTAAATTTTATTAAAATTATTGTAGAAATAAATGTAAACATACTTCAAGTAAGCAGAAAGTAACAAGTTTTATAGTACAAACATAGTACAATCTTAAAAAAAATTACATTTGCTCATATAATATAAAAAGTTTAATGACAACTTATAAATTGCACAACCCATATTAAAAAAAAGTTGATACTTTAATAAAAGTTATAAAATTTTAGAACTGCTATTTGAGTATAATTTGAACTCAGTTACCTTTTACTAAACTATTTTCAATTTTTTTTTAAATTTTTTTAAATCATTTTTTTACCCGTTTTGTATTATTAATGCAATAAAGATGACTCTAAATAAATAATATGTAATAACATAATATCACTTTAATTGAAAAAAGATCGTTAAGCTAGACTTCCCTATGTAGATATAACAAACATATTATGTAGATTTTTGGGCACTGTACAAAAAATAATCTGCAATAGGACAATTTATAGGCAGTAGACCAGGTTAAACCTTTTAACTTGTAATTTAAAATTATTTGCTAATATTTTGTATAGCACATTTTTATTTTTTTTATAATTATTTTATTATACAACAACAAATTTGGAGCGATTTAGAGTTTTATCAACTCAACAATTTTGCCATATACTAACGTAAAAATTCCCACAAAATGTCATAGTATATGTACATACACATGTATGTATGTACAAATACTTGAAATGTAAAATTTTAAAACAACTTACTACAAACTAAAGTTGAATTTGTCTTTAATGTAATATAAATTGTAGGTATATTAAAAATAAAAATACTACCAGTAAACTTAACTAGGTTTATGAAAATGTTTTACTTATGTACATACATATATACATAGGTCACACTTTTAATACTAAATCTGCGTGGGGGTAATGAAGTGTAAATTCATCTCAAAAAAATTTTTTTTTCTAAAAAGTAAAAGTGCATACATACTTATATTAAATTTAGTAAGACAAATTTCCAAATTTTAAATATTGAAAATTTGTCTTAGAAAACAACTTTCTTAATAAAATTTCTTTATTGAAAACAGTTTGAGACAATTATACATGTTTCCCAACCAAAGTTAACTTGCAAAAGGGTATGCAAAGCTACATAATTTAAATATTTAAGGAAGAAAAAATGACAAAACATAATTATGTTTAAATAGATAATTTTAGTTTTCTAATCATCTGAAATTTTAAAAAATATTAAAGAAAAGCTATACTGAATTATTTTTAATTCTTTGATCAAATAATTTTTGATAATTTTCATCAGTTGCACGGAAAATTGGAGCGAGAACAGGTGAACTTACATTGTATGAAGATTTGTAATCATATATTAACTACATAGTGTTGTGTAAGTTTTAATTAAGTATTTAAAATTTATGAATTGAATCGATGGGAATTAAATATTGATTGTATGAAAACAATTTTATAAAATTATTCTAGTTTTATTACAATTATATATACTATTGTGATATAAAAAAAAATTTACTGCTTTTTCTTGAAAAATCATATTCGAAATGCAATAAAAACAATTTAATAAGTTAAGCAACTGTTTTTTGATATATTGAAACTGTTGGCAAATTATTTTCGTAAAATAAAATTTTAATTCATAATAATTATATAATAAATAATTCATTCAAGTTTTTTAGCGTTTTGTTCACTTATATTTTACATTTTCATTAAAACTTTTTGATATATTTATTTAAACTATTTCAAATATGTGTTACTGCTTTAATCTTAAAGTTACAACTTACACTAATTTTCAGAAAAATATAATTAAAGAAACAACTGGCAGAATAAACGTACATAAAAAAGATAAGGAGAAAAATTGTTTTAATATTGACTGTAAAGCTAATTTTTACAACTGGAATAATTTAATTTATTTAAACTTACTTGTTATAAATAAATAAATGTTATTTACAAACTTTGTAAGCATACGTACATATGTAATTATATATACATGTTTTAACTTCTTACAACTTGTAAAAAATTTTGATTTTTTTTTCAATTGTTAATTGAAACGGAAATCAATATTAAAATTGTTTATATTGAGTTTTTTATGCTATTGATTAATAGTAATATTTAAATAAAGTAATAATTAAATTTTTTTAGTTAAAGATTTTCAACTAGTAAAAAGTATTCTATTTGAGTTGTATTTTGATAAATCTTAAGAGTAAATTAGTTTTCTTCTATATTTTTTAATTGATTTGTAATTTTCTAAATCACATACCGTCAAATGAAGTATTACTGAGTTATTTTTTAGGCTTATTTCTAAAAAGTAAAAATACTTAATTAATATAGTATAATCTAATTATACTTAAAAAAAAAAACAATACTTTCTTACATATTTACATCTTTCAATATGTATAAATTTCAATTAACTAATATTTGTTTATAGACACATTTGACCTACATGCCAGAAATACATAAAATTTGGTAACACGAAAATATAAAAATATGGAAATAAAAAGATTTTATTTACAATTTTAATATTAGATTTTTTATCACCTCTTATTTAGGCACATTTTGTTTTCCTCATTTTTAGACCAAAATAAAAAGCCCTAACTTTTTTATATCAATGTTTCGGTTCTTTTTCGATTTTAATTTAACTCAAAAACAAAAACAAACTTTTCATTCATTCTCTAAATAAAATTTGACAGAAGTATTTTTTCGCTATAACGTTTGTTCGGTTAAAGTAACTGGTGTATCAGGTGTTTCAGCTTGTGTCGAAGGAACACTACCAACTATAAAATCAACGGTTTGATCACCAACTGTTGCAGTACCAACTTCAATGTTTGTTGTACCAGCTTGAACTGGTTGCGTACTAATAGATCTTGCAATTTTTTGTTTCTGTCGTTCTATTCTTTCTTTCTCGCGTGCCAACCTTAACCTTTCAAAATCATCATCTATTTCCATACTTTCTGCAGGATCATTGGTAATTGACTTGTTGTCCATATCTTCAACTAAAAAAAAGTTATATTGCAATAGGTTTTAAAATAATTAAAATATAATATACCGGTTTCTTTGCTGCCGATCTCACCACTCTGGAAAAGACTTCCTTCACTTTCAGCTAACGGTGAAGCTTTACCTAATATTAAATCATCTCGTGGGGGAGCTGATGTACTTAATAAAGCGTCAACACCACCAGGTGGAAAATAGAATGAATGCATAGCTATATCACCACCATGAGATTGAGTTCTAATATATTGAGGAGTTTTAGAAATCGGAACATCGACTGGCTTTGATGGAGGTGGCAATCCTCCAAATATATCCTGAACATGAGGTTTATTTGGATCATGTCGTTGTGATGTAATCGTTAACTGTTCATCGACTTCTTCAATAACTTGATCAGCAATTCTCATACTACCACTAGTTGCCGCAGCGGTACCAGCAGAAGTACTTAAATTTTTTTGTCCTGTTAAACTGGCAGAGCTCACAGAACCTGGCAAACGTGTTCCCATTTGAGGAGTTTCACATGTTGGTGTTGTGGCACCTTCACGACTTAATAATCTTCGCAAAGCCGAGGCGACTGTATTTACCCTTGACATAGTGCCACTTACACTTGCTAAAGATGGAGATGAACCTCTGGACGGCAAGCGTACTTTGCCATTACCTGCTGTAAAGTGTATTCCACTGGCATCATCAGCCTAAACATGTTAATATAAAATAATATGATTTTTTATTTCTAAAATATTGTTGAAATATGAAATGAAAAGAAGTGTTATAAAAACATAGTGCTTGCAAATTAATAATTGTGTTACATAACTTAAGGTTAAATATTAATGAATGTACATATTTACATATATAAGTTTTAAAACACAATAAACAGCCTTTTATGAAGTAAAAAGATTGACTTGTTCAAATAGAGTTTCCTATGCAACAAGTTTGTATGCACACATGTAAATATGTCAACGCATTTATAAATTTTTGTATCCAAAAAAGTTAGTGTAATTTAGTGTTTTAGTGTGGAAAGGAAATTAGAATCAAATAAACCTCACAGAATAAATTTAATTAATGTAATTTAGAGCCAATTGTATGTTTTATTACGAAAAACCCACAATATGTATTAGTGCACATAAGAAATAGAATGATGTAAAACTTTTTAAATAATTTAAGCAAAAAATTTAGTAATTTTTTTCAATTATTATTAAATATTTAAAATTTGTTAAAGAAAATTTGGAAGTTATTTTTATGCAAGTTTAATTTAAAACTTGCATAAATAGGTATAATTTTTTAAAATAAGCACATTTTTAAAATATGTCTTTTAAGTTCCTTAGAACTTCCAACGAAATACTTCCAAACAGATTTAACAGCAAATTTATTTTGCCGAATTTTTTCGAAATTAAATATAATTGCTTAAAATTGGAAGCTACATCTTAAGAAGTAATAACAAATCCAGTATATTGACTGAAATATTTCGAAATGTATGAACATTATTCACCCAATTAACACATATTAAAAAAAACTTCACCTTAATATTTTTCTCTTAATTAGTGCTTTAAATAAAAAAAATATAAAAGATTAACATTATTTTTAAAATAAAAATTAAACACAAATGTAAATAAAAATAAAAGAGAAGCACTTAATAATACAATCAAAATATTATAAAAGTTAATTTATAAATTATTTCTTCCCCAGTTATCAGAATGTTTGTCAGTATTAGAGATCAAAATAATACTTTTCTTATTTTAAATACTATTTTAACCAAAATCTATTTCACCCGTTTACACAAATTTTTTTTAAAAATTTCTTGATTCTAACCTCCTCGTTTGGTTTTGGGAATTCATAATGAACTGACTGTACTTGATTTGAATCATTTTGTTCAACATTTATTTTACCGACCATTTCATCAACACGAACACTTGACATATTTGTTGCCATTGCTGCTTGCTTAGGCACTTCAATTTTTGCAGTTGATGGCTCTGGATGCTCTTCACGAAATCTTTCAGATGCCACGGTGTAAGGTAATTCATTTGGAAATATTTGATCCCAGTATTGATCCTTTATTAATTCGGGATGCTCATGATGCATTTCATCAACGATCATATATGATACTTGCAAATTTCGATCAACAATCCAATTAACCTAATAAGAAATAATGTACAAATCATATGAGTATGTATTTCAAGATTTTCGAATTACATGTATAAAATTTTATTTAACAAACCTCAAAATCATCGTCATCATCACCAAAAGGATTTATTAAAGATTCTGCGACTTTTAACCAACCCATATAAAAAAAAAATTGTAGTGTAGAAAATATAGGAAAATACATATCAATGCGATTCAAATAACCAGAAGCAATTTCTTTATTTTCAACCCATTGTTGCCCCATAACAGCCGTTAAAAAATACGAGTAAACTGCTAAAGTAACTACCTGTGTATATACTAAAGGCACGCTAATTGTATCATAAGCAATTAATTTACCGCATAAGCCACGAAATTTATTTAATTCATCAATAATAGTTTTAACAGCGAAATCATCACGTATTCTACCCTCTTTTCGAGCTCTTGTTATAATACTTGCAGCCCAAACAATTGGCAACCAGTGTTTTGAATGTCTTGGAAATTTAACATTTAATTTTTCAACTATATTTTTTTCATTTTCAACTAGAAGACCCGCTTCAATTAAATTATCCAAAGTAGGGAAACGTTTTTTAACTCTTGGTGAAATATTTATAAGGACCATCGTTAAACAAAGGCAAACATAACGCATTACTGACCGTCGCATTACTCGTCCTCTCTCATCCTGGCCATGAATGTTAGCACTGAAAAACAAAAACAGATCTATAGAAGTCTGGAACAAAAATTAAAAAAAAAAAATCAAATAAGAATTTAAATTAAAAAAAACTCACCTTACAAAAACAGCAATGGGATCAGGCCATGGTATACTTGTGTATTGATTCCACCATCTTGTCATAACAATTGACACATAGAAACCCAAAACAAATGATAATGGGATCAAATTACTATAAACGGCGCAATACTGTACAATACTTTCGAATATTCTAAAATATTGATGTAAAAATTTACGAATAAGTTTTTTTTGATTAATATTCAAGGTATACTTTTTTAAAATTTTAATTTATTACATTTTAATTATATACAAAATTCTAATATAGTTAAATTCTAATTCCACACAAAATTATTTAAATGAGACTCAACTTATCTAACAATTGAAAATATGTATAACTAAGTGATTAAGCTATTTATCTAAATAATGAAATAATTGATGTAAGTGTCATTTACTTACTTTTTTTGATCTGCATTTAATGCTACTCTATAAACTATATTTAAAACATAATAAAGAAATAGGAATGCTGTTAAATCCAACCACACCAACTTATAAATACTGCCACGCCATCTGAAAACAAAGATGCAACTTAATAAACTATAAAAATAAGATAATATAAAGGGCAAAAAATATTGAACTGCAACATACACTCTATTTCATCTTTCTACCTTTTTATACATGGTGTGTATTTTTAAAGATAATATTAACAAGGAGAAATGAAGTCTTATATAAAAAGGGTTCCTCAAAAAAATTTTAAAGCAAAACGTATACTTAATATTGATTTAGAAATAATCTAAATTGAAAGCGAGTGTAGTATGGAAAAAATTAATATCAAACTTTATAGATAAAAACTTTAGGAATCCAGTAAAATAATATAGAATCAGACTCCACTTCTGGTTTAATAATTTTGTATGGGAGTTGATAGCCAGTGTTTATTGTTTTTGTATTTGATAATGTATTATGTAAAATTTTTTGCAATAGAGTTTCAATTAAAAATATTAAGTATTTTAATTTTAGTACCAGAATTACAAACATATTATTATTAAATTCTTTCTTTGTAAAGTTAAATAACAAGTCATTATAAACGGTATACCAAACGAAAAATATGACAAAAAGTGATAGCGAAAATATATATACATATAAATTTATGTAAAATGTAAAATTTTCATCTTGCATAAGTTTTTTTCTAGTTAAATAATTCTTAATATATTTTGCCGTGTAGAAAAAAATCGGTGAAACATTTTTCAATAAAGTTGGGTCAAACCAATGGTTTGTAATGTAGCACTTTTCCGTTAACACTCTGTACTCGTATTTCTGAAAATTTGGAAAAGCTTGTTTGGAGATATAAAGTACCGAAAATTCAAATTTTACGAATTTGGATGTTTGGAAAATTTAAGAAGTGGAGATGAAAGAACTTTTCTTCTAACGAAATAAACTACGTACTTACTCGTATTAACATGTAAAGCTGCTAATTCCAGACTCTTACAAACTGCGGTCTAGCAGAAAAATGATATCAAAATGTGGAAAAAAAATTGATTTTAAATAACGGTAAATTTAAACCGCTATTTTGTTTTTTAAAGTTCAAATATGACATCCTATAAACACCATATTGACGTCCGGACGGACAGAGTGAAACTCCTTTTTTTCAAAATTTTTTTGGAAAAGTGCTAAAAAGCACTTACAAGTTAAGACAAATATTTGCTTTCGTGAGAAAAGTATTGAGACTTCAAAATCAAGGAAAGGGCTTAAAATATAAAATTTTGTACAATTTCAAAAGTTTTTTTTTTTTTAAATCAATTAAACAGTCAAATAGCTAAAACATTATTTACGCTAAACAAAAACATTTAAATTTTACCTTACTAAGTAATTGCAGCAGATTAAACCTAGAAAGTAACCATAAAGCAGTATCTAAAATTATGACAGCTTTCCGAAAATTATTTAATTTTCAATCATATAACGGCAATCGTAAAATAGATTTCATTTTAAAAATAAAAAACATTTTAAACTTTTAAACATTCATTAAATTGCTGCAACTTTTAATAATTGTGTGAAACATCATTAAAATTCCAATTTTTCTTCATTTGAGAATCCTGATCAAAAAAAACACTAGAAAATAATTTTTGTCGTCTCATCATGACATCACGAAATATGAATCGCTTACATATCAACACCTTTTACTAAAACCCCCCATAATCTACATACACATACATTGCCCATTTGTGTAATTGCAAATGTACCATTTTATAATTTCAAAATGCTGATTTTTTTATTATACTCGTACATATTTACAATTTAGTTATCGCTGAAATAGTAATTAAAATTATACAATCATTAGCTTTTTAAATTAATTGTTTTCATAATATTTAATTGAACTTTGTCATGATAAAAAGAATCCGCTTTAATTGAGTTTTTTTTCTGTATAGTTAAGTATTTAATAAAGAATAAATAAATATGTAGTACAGCTTTTTACAAATGTTTTTCATTTTTTGCTGTTTAACAAACATATTGATTGACGGTCATACATAATTAAGTACATACATATATCGATAGCAGTAACCTTCACTTTTCATTTGAAAGTAATTTTTTTAAAAGTAAAAGCATCTTATGATTAGAAATTTTAGAAGGTTTTATAAAATGTGGATACGGAAAAATGAAATATTCTTTATAAATATTTTAAATTTGAACTTTTCATTAAAAGTTGAACAAATAAAGCAGTTTTACTAATACCTAAAACATTGAATTACTATTACATAAACATAAAGGCAGTAGATGATAAATAAGAAATTTAAAATGGAATTTTCTTACTGCATATTTTCTTTATTTTATTTTGTCTAATTTAAAATATTCTAATTTTAAACTTAAAATATTAGTGGCCAAAAGTATACCTCATCTTACTCATTATTTATGCATAGTGTTTTAGGTATGATATTCAATAAGTAAGTAAGTATGTATTATTATAATGAAACGAATATAAAGATTAAAATCTTAGCGTAACCATTGATTTAATTAGTTTTTTTTTTTGGCAAAATATTATAAAAATAATTTCGTTTTCATTTTGCTAAAAATAAATATTCGTAGCTAGATACGTAACGATAGATATTTTACTCTGAGTATCTCATATTTTTTCAATTAAATAAGTAAATAAATATTTAGACTACATGAGTAAGTACATAGAACAGTCAAAACATTGATTAATTTAAAAAAAGTATGAGAATTCAGTTTATTATACAAGATACTTGAAGCCGCAATCATAAATTGAAAATATATATTTTCGCAAACAATATATTTAGTAAAACCCTATTAAATAAAATAATTAAAAATAACTAAGTAACAAAAATCAAATTATTTACAATCAAGCCGAAAATTTCTAATTTATTGCCCCTGATTCATTTTAAACCATATCATTAATTTAAGTATGTGAAGATTAGTGATCAAGATTGATTTTATAATTATATGAGATAAACCAATAATTAAATATGGTTCATATGATTGTTGAAAGGATTTTGATGAATTAAGTTATAATTAGAAATTCAGTTAATAAGTATGTATAAAAAATGTTGCTTTTAACAGTTAGAAGTAAGTAAGTATAATTGATAAGAATACTTACTTATTACTTAACATAAGCTTTCTTTTATTTACTTACACCAATTTATAATTACATTTTTCTTATTGTTTTTACAATTAATAATAAATATACCAGTTTGATGTAAGTTAGTACCTAATTGAATTTTCATTTTTCTTTCTAAAAAAAACATAGAACACCGAAAAAGCCACTTATTTATTATTGAACAAGTTATCCTTATATAAATATTTTCGCTTTCATTACGTCTTTGTTATATTTGAGAGTTGTAGAAGTATATAAGTGTAACATGTATAAAATATACATAAACATAGATACATAATTATACAATAATAACTCAACTTCCACTATTTTATATTATAAAAGAGATATGATTCAGGAATACAAAATTCATATTCAATTTTAAAAGTATTTATGTTCAAAAATGTTTTATAAAGATGTTGATAATTTTCCGAAATTATCTTTCATAAGTATTTTATGTGTATTTTTTTTTTTTGGATTATTGCCAAATTTTTTAATGACTTTTTGTTGAATATTCATTAAAGAGGAAAGTATGTACCTATGTGTTACTTGAGAAATTAACATGCTAACATATGGCATAAAATTTAAATTGATAAAAAGGTAAGGATTTTTTGTACTTTCTAAATCAAAATTATAATTTATTAATGTTCCAAATACTATTGCACTTTATTTACGTACATAAATACAACATCATTTGATCATTCAACTCAGTGAGTAAAATATTCACTAACTTTGCGATTAAACCAGCCCATTCATTATTATTATTATGAATAGACTTCTAAGGCTAGAAAAGAGTATGAATTTTTTACTAACTTTCAATAACCCTTAAAAAATGATATTATTCTTCTGAAGGCCTTTTCTTTTTACTCATCATTTATAAATGGTAGAAATTAATATGCATTTTCGGTAAGTAAGTACATTTATTTGAAATAATAAATTATTATGTACATAAATGCCGATAAGAAATATGCATATAAGTACTTTAAAAAATTTTCTTACGAAATTATCTATTTAGAAAAAACTGAAAAAATAAAACAAGGGAAAAATTTGATTTTTCCTGAAGTTCGAATAATTGGTATTCCGAAGGTACGTAAAATACAGAATCAAGCAGCATGTCTTTAAGACCTTTACTAGGCCTTTTAGAAACTATTTTTTGAAGTTTCTCATCTTTTTCAGAATGGAAGTTATAATTCAAAAAACTTGGATAAGTAAAAATATCGTGAAAGTTCGTTAAAACCCCTGGAACTCGAAAACCCTTGAGTTCCAGCACCCAGTCCGGAACAAAATTTTACCCATTTTCGATCTTCCAACCAATGGTATATGTTGTTGTATAGCTTTCTAAATCACCCTGTATATAAGTACTTACAATGTTACAAAACATTTAAGTACAAGTAATTTTTTCCTTCCTTACTCCACTTGGAACCTTCCACTTGGCTCTAGAGTCAAGATTTAGTTTTACTGACCATTGAGTTAAGTAGGAGGTGACCAGCCTGCCGTAGATTTTTCTTATATATATATTAAAAGATGGTTGTTGATATTTTTAATTTTTTTGTTGTTAGTATGCAAAATCGAATGTTATAAAAAAATGGGCAGTTATGGTAAATTCTTAAACGTCAAATTTTACAAAATCTGAGTTGTCTGAGTTTACGGATACTCTACTACGTTTTTACTCTCAGTCAAAGTTTAAATTCTTAAACGTTTAAAAAAAGTCAATTAAGCGTCAAAATTGTAGATTTTTTTTTTTACATGCAGACAGTCTGACGTAGTAATTCAGTAAATAAATTTGATGTATTGAGTGACTATCATTACGTTAAAAATAATATAAAAAATACTTTTTTTATTAATTTTTAATATGTAAGTATAAAATTATTTTAAATCTAAAAAAAAATTTTTTTTGACGTTTACGGATGATCAAAATTCAAAGTCAATTACGGGTAAAAAGTTTACTACATTTCTGTCCGTAAAAGTTTTAGTTTCAGACAGTTTGCAGACTAAAATCAAAATTTTGACGTTAAAGAATTTGCGGTTACTCTTCTTATATTAACATTTTGTTTTATAATACTGTATACTTACTGAGAAATATAATATTAAGTATAATTAATATAGTGACCTCACTCAGATTTGAAACATTCCAGCATTGGTCAGAAAAGTGCTATTGATTAATGTATTACAAAATTGAATATTGTAATATTGTTAATTTTCTTACCTTTCAAATGAGTTTTTTCGGTTGGGTAATGTTTTAAGTAAAGTAACAAGTAGGTGAGAGTGTTAAATAACATTGTTGAAATAAAATTATGAAAAGCTGGGTTAACCCAATTAAAGTTTCAGGCATCTTGCGAATCTTTTGAATCTTTTATAAAAGAGTTAATCAATGCTTTGATAACAGTTATTATTAAGGTATCAATAATGTCCAAGAAAAAAAAGTGAACAAAAGCGGTGATAAATGAGATAAGAAAATATAAACAGAGGATGAATTTTAAAAGATAGTAAGTACATTGGAAAAGAACTTCAAATTGTAAATTAATTCAAATCATAAACCTTCATTTATAATAATATAATATTGTTTTACATATAAAATTACTATTTTAACAGCAATAAATAATGTCCTTGAGTTTACACTCTTTTTTTTTTTTTTTTAAAATTTATTCAAGTGTGAAAGTCATATTACTTTCATATTCATTTACCTAACTCAACCTTATCACTTTCACTCTATGCACCTCAATTTCATTCCATATACAGTAAAAAAAAAAAAAAATAAAAATTATAATATTGTAATCTGTTGCGAGAATTTATGTACGGATTTTGAAATACATGTGTTTCTTCGTACATATATTGTGTATCGTGTTTACTGGTGTAATAGTATTTTTATGTATATATAAACATATGCAATATTTATACAAGCTGTATAATACTCATAAGTTAAATATAGGTCTTTAATTTTGATTGGCAAGGAAATTATAGGTAAAGGATCATATTATAAAGGATAATAATAAAATTGGCGCCATCTATTATAAATATAAGAAAAACTATATAAAAAAAACAGGAAATTAAAAACTGTTATTTAATTTTTTTACACAAAATAGAACACAAGTAAATAAACAAATAAGATTTAAGATATTTTAATTAAATTTATTTTTATATCAGATGATTGTTTTTTAAATTCTTAAAGTAAGTATAGTATGATACACAAGCTGTTTTCGTGATTTTTGTAAGCAATGATTTGTAACTAAGTAATCGCTTTCATTTATCGAATCGGAAGAAAAAGTAATGGATAAAATTATTAGAGTTAAACGATTTTTTATAGGTCGAAATGAATTTTTGTTTTATCTTAGAAAGCAATACAAAGTATTGTTTTCAATATTAATAAGTAAATAATCCTTATAAGTATTTCACCTATAAAAAAAATTTTTACCCTCAAAAAATGAGATTTTAAAATTATTAATAAAAAGACAAAATGTATTCAAATTTCTCCAAGTAGAAATTTACTATTTCTACATTATTCATTTAGAAGCAAATCTAAACGATTGTGTAATCTAAATGAAATACAAAAAAAAACTTAATTAAGTAAATAAAATGAAATCGTGATATCAAACAATAAAAAGAAACCAAACAAAGTAGGAATTTAGTTACTTAGCGCGCAATTAAAACTTCATGAAAACTATAAGAAAAATACATAACTTTAAAAGATTTCACCCTTTAGATTCGTAGGCATCATATCATATTGTAAATAATTTAAAAAAATAAGTGTGTAATATATGAGTGTAGCTTTTAGTATACAATTTGCAGAATATTTTAATTATGTATACTTATATAAAAGATACAAAATTTTTTATCATACTTGAACATAATTTCCTTATTATTTCTTTTATAATGTACTTATACACATATATACGTATATATATGAATTTAGTAAGTTGAGCATGCAAATTCTTAGCGGTATTAAGTAGTATTTACTTATAAAAAAATTGAATTAAAATTGTTAAGCATATCTACTTAACTATTAAATATATTTCATTTATTTGCTAAATAATATTATTGTAAATACTTAGGAGTTTTCACTCACTGATGTATTAGTGCAAAAGAAAAAAAAAATCATTTTCATCCAACTGGTGAAGGACCAAAGAAAATTTCCGATGTAAAATTGTAATAAATTGATAATTACTTTTCTTATTTCGTAGTTTGGAAGTGTTTTAAAAAATTAATTTTTTTTAATCATTTATAAAATTGACTTTTAATAAAATAACACACAACAATAAAAATTTGAATTATTTTTTAAAACAAAAAGACATTTATTTAAAAGTAATTTTTAGAATTTAAACAATGAAGACGCATAATGATTTAGAAATAAATAAAACATCGTAAAATAAAATCTCTAAAGATATTCTAAATTTCATTTACTCAGTATAAATTTAATTAAATTTATTTTAAAAGAAATGGGTAATTCGGAATGCAATTAATAATAACAAATAAGTTTTTCGGTCTCGGAATAAGTACATACATAAGTAAGTAGATAATGATAATATAAAAGTGTACTTATCAATTTTTATAAAATGTTTATAATAAAAGCTCTTTAATAATATCATAATCTAAATCAAAACATTGTTAAAATTTGTATACAATCATACAGTCAGGAAGATACAAAAATAAGTATAACATTCTTACTTACATACTTACTTTTTTTATAAATGCAAATAAATTAATGTACTTAAGCTTACTTAAATGTTTTCTTTATGTTGTGATATGTTTATTATAAAAAACTTTTTTTGTTAACTATCGATAAAACTTTTTAATAACCTTATTGCTTGCACTCTTAGTACTTTATTTGATTTAATTAAGTAAATTATGTATTATTTATGTCTTAAATATTTATCAGATGAAAGTGAAATGTAAAAGATTATAAATTATAAGTTTATATACTTAATACAATATATTGTTTAGCGAACAAACTGTTAAAATTAATTTTTTTCAGAAAAAACAAAAACAAGGACACTTAAATCTCCCAAAGATTCCATACATAAGACTATATTATGCTCTTTATTTCCAATAAAAGGATTTTATTTAATTGTTTTAGCCCCAATGGCTTTAAAACATTTCTATGCTTAACTAGTCAATTACTTAATATACGTACAAAATTACTGCAAAAATAATAAACACAAAAATAAGTACTTAGATATGTGTACCAAAATATTTGTATATTCATATGTATTTAATTAAGTTTTAAAGAAAATTTGAATTATCGCGGTATACCTATATAATTTATATAGAATGTTATTAAAAAATATTCATATTATATTGTTAATTGTTTGAATCAATGTATGAACACTGAATGCTAATTTTATGATGTAAGATGTGAATAATATTTATTATAAGTACATACTAATATATATATGTATAAATATGTAAATATTTGTATATATTTACTTACTTAATATTGAAAACTTTATGATCAGATTGACATAATAATTTAATCCTTCAATGGCTAGATATACATGGTGTTTCTATTGTAAGTGCATTTCTACATAACTATACAATTTTAAAAGTATGAGGTTTGATATATAAAATTCAACATGCTATACATTAAGTAAGGGAAAATACGAGACAAATTAACAAAATCAACATGTAAAAATGAGCACAGCCTGCGATTTAGAAGCATTAAATTGAGCCAATTATTGCTTCATGTATAAACGACATCATCATGGAGGGAATAAAAATTGTGAATTATTTTTCTTCTAACAATTCTAAATATCTACATTCTTAAGTTTTGCACTCATTCAGAAATACACGAGCCCTTAAATTTAAAAGTGAATATTGTTGAAAGCAAACCGCATTAAATAAATTATTAAAATTATATTACTATTAATATGTAAATATTCTATTGCGTACACTTGTGTAAGTATGTATGTGTTTCTAAAAGTTTTTAATGGCAGTAATAAAACTAAACGAAGGTTTTTTGAATATATATGTGCAAGTATGTTATGTACATTGTAAGTATGTATATGTTTATCATTATATTTAAATAACTTACCGCAATAAAAGTTTTAAAAAGGTACCAAATCCACGACATGTTGCTACTTCGGCAGTATACGTGACTGTCATTTTTAATCACGGTTATGTACTTTTATGTATATTAATTTTTTTATTTCTAACTAATTTTTAAAACAAATTAATCACATTGATTTCAATTAAGCACCAAATATTGATGAAGCACAATATCATTTATTTGGAGGTACATTTTTTTTTTGATTGAAATACTTCAGCGACATTAATACTTTGTTTTTTGAAATATCACTAAAGGTTTTCTTAAAACTCTGTTTAATATTGTCAATTATTTTTGCTTTAATTTAATCGTATTTATATAGTTCAATTTCATTCTTATTTTTGTAATTATTTTATTACAAAAAAAAATATTCTAAATTTTGAGCTACCTATTATATTTTTCCAAGTTCAAGTATATAGCATTCGAAAATCACAAAAAAAAACAACGATTTTATGTATGCAAATATATAAGTAGGTACTTAAGTACTTTTTAATTTTTTTGCAAACTTTTAAGGAACTTTTTTATAAATTTAGAATATTCTGACATGTTCAAATTAATAATTTTATGCGATTATATTATAATAATTTGATTAGGTTATTATAATTTCACTTGCTGTTTAAACCAATATAAATAAATATAAATTAATCTGTAAAAAAGTAAATAGTAAGTAATTTATAAAAAAAAATAACTGTGGAAAATATTCACGTTTTTGATCAAACGTGAATACAATATTACATAAGTTACTCGCACCTTCTAATCTACATTGACGTATGTGTAGGTCTATGTAGATTAGTAGGTAACTAACTATGTGGTAAAGTATTTAGCATAAATTAGCCAAATTTTACATTTAAACGTGTGTAGCTCTTCAAAACAAAAATAAATTATTTGGAAAAATTTCGATGAAGATTCAATTTTGATGAAATTTCTGCAAAAATTAATAGAGCCTTAAATTTCAAAAAGAAATCACAGCAAATATGTATATAACAGCAATACATGTATGTACATGTGAACAATTCTGCTAGCCTGTATAAATTAAAGAATTTTTATTTTTAATTTCAATCTTACTGAAACTCTCTTTATTATATTAATTACTCATGCCACTATTACTAAGATTCTTATGAACTGGTTACAAACCTAGATATAATGCATACAGTTATGTATATATTATTTAAAAAAAAAATTATTTTAGTTTAAATTATATTCCGAGAACGGTTCAAAATAAATTTTTATAGATAGACATTCTAATTATAACAAAAGCTAAGTAAATTAAGTTTAAAGAAGCTAAATTACGTCATTTCCTTTTTGAAAAATTCTCATATGTACTTATATTATATAATATGTAGTTCAATATGTATTGTACCGCGTATATCGAACATTCGTTAGTTTCTTTTTGTTTATCATCATTATATCTTAACTTTGATATAATACATAATGTATATAAGTACCCAAGGTTATTAACCTGAATTTTGCATAGGTAAATTATTTGATTTTGTCGTGTGTTAAACATTTCTAATCCCACGTATCGCATAAATATAGTTTATTTTATAGAAACAGTCTTTTTATTTTCATAATTTTAAGAATATGAATGAAATATGAAGTTTTATTAAAGAATAAGTAAACAAAAACTAAGTTTTGGTATGAATCAATTAATTTACTTATAACTATTAACATGAATAAAATATATTACGTTAAAAGAAATTTAGATTTTATATTGCTATATATTTATACATATTACAAAAGTACATAGATATTTTAGAGTTTTTTAATACAATTTCTTAAATGGACTTTTCGAGTTTTAAAATAAGGTTTATAGGTACATGTAGGTAGGTATGTTATACATATACAGTATAACTTTACATACATACTTTATTTAGTATTTTTCAAGGTTAATGTTAAATAAATATAATAAAAACACAAAAAGAGTACAAAATTATTCCTATTCTACTTGAATTTGTATATGAGGTCATATGAATTCTTATTTTTGTGCCGTGTTTGTTTGTTTGTTTTTTTTTAAATAACAAAATAAATTGAATATTTAAGAAAAGTTAGAAAAAATATGCACTAATTCTTTTTATTAATAAAATTAGCTATTTACTTTTTGAAATTTTTTGTTGACTTATTTGCAAAACATATTAAAATGATTTCAAAACAATTAAATATTTTCAAAAATTCATACAAATGAAAAAGATTTCAGATTTTTTCGAGAAAATAAACATATCAATAAATGTAAATCAGAGACAGTTTAACATTTTTAATTTACAGCATCTGCGACAATTTGATTAAGGCTTCCAATAATTATATTTTTTTAGTAAAATTTTGAAATATTTTAATAATTAATAAAACTAACACTTTTATAAAGTAACTTTAGAAATTATTCTTTTCTTTGTAAATCCTTTTTGTACATTAAAAAATAAACAAATCAAAGCAGCCCCCGAAGGCTACATTTAATAAATGTTTTCATAGTAAAGCAATCTAGAAGTAAACTGATTATGTGTATGTAAATCTATATCTAACAATATTGACAATATAATTTGACATTTGCCTAATTTCACATATTTGACATTAGCTGTCGAAGTCAAATTGAAATATGGTGGCAACTTGATGCTATGCCTAGACGATTAAATTTATAGACTGGCCGTTATTCTTTTTCACTCCCTTGGGTTTTCCTATTTAGCCATTTTTCAGATCGTTTCATCCACTTTGGATCTCATATGGTTCTGATTCTTACAGTTTTCTTGAAATACACAAAAAATGGCCAATATGATGCGACAACTAAATATTATAATATTGAAAAAATAAATACTTTTAAATTTTATAAATATTGAATTTATATGACAGCGCAAATAACACGGGTTTTATATCTAATTAAAAAAAATTGACAAATAACGGATTAGGTTGTTGGAGTCGACTACCTAATTTGAAATTTAAAACTGCGTATATACTGCACAGATTGGAAAAAATTTCCTTGAAATCGATAAGAGTTTGACATGAAAGTTTCAAGTTTTCACATCGAAATCCGCTTAAAGTCGGCTTCAAACTGCATATTACCCCAGTAATTATAGCGGTTCATTTCATATCATACCTTACAAAAAAATAACAAGCTGTGCTCCGTGAGCATGTATTTTTACCAAGGGTTATTAATTAACTAATTGTTTTTCAAGTCGTATTAATTTTTACATATAACATTCTCAAAAAAAAGCTAATTTTTTTTATATTCGAGTTATTTTAAAACTAGCCTCGAAGCTTATTAATTGTTAAAATTTAACTGGTTTATTTTTTAATTTTTGTCTTGTGAAGCAACTTAATGATTACAACTTTCAATGGAAAATTAATATTGCGTTTTACAATCATGATCTATTCTGCCACAATTTTTGTTCCTTATGTAATGATGAAAATACTATTCAATATATTTCTAAATTCGTATTCCAATTTCCTCTTATGAAAAATCACTTCAATAATTAGTATCAAAAATATTTTAACTTCTTATAGTAAAATGTTGTATCAAAACTCAAAATCCTAGCTCATCTAAGCATTTACTTAAATAGCGTGGTTGTGCTCAGTGTTGGTTACTCATGAGTAGTTTAAACACGTATATTGAACGCAAATATTTTCCCGTAAAAATATTTGCTACTATTTTTTTGGAATTTTGCAGGTAACAACACACTCAAATAAAGAAAGGATAATTATCAATATTGAATCTCCAATATTAGGGGCTTATTGACAATCTTATGGCTTAATTTTAAGGTAGTGTTACATTTTCATACATAATCAAATTTTATTAAGAAAGAGTTGAAATCAAGGAAACGATTTCCGCTGTTAACTCTGAAACTGTAAAATCAACTTACTCAACAACATAATGTAACACACATATATAACATAATGTAACACGCCAGTAGATAGCTAAGTGGCGGTCATTTTGCTTGATTCTATGCAGTGTAGTTCCTTCTATAGACGCGTGTTCTATATGAATTTCGAAATTTCGCCGTGAAGAATCGCTTTTCTACTGTATCTATTTTCAACATAAAATATCGTACAATCGTGCAAAATACGATATTTACGATGCATTATCGAAATAATACTGCTACTCATCAACATTCTTTCATTTCAGTTATTAGGTCTGTTTGATACAAAACATGAAAAAACTTTATACAGAGAAAACAATGACGTAATTTCATTAAAAAAAAAAGAATCTCATTAGAAAAAAAAAATAAATCAGACGGAAAAGTTGATAAAACTTTTAAAAATTTTATAAATAGATGATAAACGTCAAATTTCAAAATATTTATCAAACATTTTTCTTTATTTCACCTTGACGAAAATGTAGTTACTATTTCTTTCTTTAACAGATATTGATATTTAGGGCATTTTAGGATAAATAACATTTTTGTTACAATAATATTTTTCTCTATTTTATACATATCTACGTAGGTATAAATACATATTTTATTCCCAGTTTTTTAGAAAGGCTGAAATATACAATTTTTACGTTATAAATAAATAAAATAGTCAAAACGAATAATTTTGTACATAGTTATAATTTTGACATTCAGTTTTTCGAGCAATTTTTTAAATAGCTTATAGTATGGAGAGAGAGTTACATGAGAGAATTTATTATGACAAGTTTGTTATTCGACCTGGACTTTTACAATAGCACGGTACTTAACAATTAACATCACACTATACTTATTTTTACATTAGAAATATTTTAAAATGTTAAATTTTTTAATTTAGAAAAGTTAGTTTGATTGAAAATATTGTTCATGTGAAAAGTGGTCTTTTATAGATTACTATAAGAAAGCGTATAAATAAAATCGTGAGTTGTCCTTTTTTTTTGAATTGTCATCTCTGTATCCAGGCCAGTATTTTTGTCACGTGGAGTTGTACCTCCTAGCTCCTATGTTAGACTGATTAGCTTAAATTTTTTCTTTCTAAATACAATTTTTTTTAGCAATCTTTTGATGTATTTATTTCTGTTGTAGATAAAGGGTTGGAAAGAAATGTTTAAACTGAAATATACAGGTCGAAATTTTAATTTTCAAGCGACGCATGGAGGTCAAAATTAGACATTCAGTTATAAATCCCAATTTTATATGCACTTAAAGAAGTAACATTCATTCTTAAAATTGCCTTACTTTTTGCGGACTTAAGCCGAAGCTATAATATAAAAACAATCTGCAGCCAAAGTTCGATATTTATACCGTATTATTCTAATAACATTGTACTAGATAGGCTGAATAAGAAAGTTTTATATGATTGTGTGTTTGTACACTTGTAAGTATGTATATATAATTAATATAAAATTAATATACATATATGAATATGAACAGTGAATTACACAAAACAAACTTTTAAATGTTTTTTCTCTTTTCCTCCAATTTATTTAAATTTGAAAACATAGCTAGCCGATTACATTATTTGTCCCCAAGACATTATAAGAAAGAAGAGTTGCGCTATACATGAAGTTTAAATTATACTTCCTTTTTTAACCTATGTAGAACGAAGAGAGAACTGTCAGTTATTTGAACTTCGTAGCATCGGGTTCGTTTCGTATTCGTCGTAATCGTAATAATACAGAAATACGCCATTTTCGAATGTTCAGTCAACGTGTGAGGACGAACATTGTATAAAGTTTTTTTTAGCGCTGTTTTGGCAGTGGTAAATTTTGAAACCGTGTAATATATTAAATAATATAGTAACATCCCCATATGTATATATCGTCATACCTACAAATATACAAAGTTATGTACCTATGTATATAAAGAAAAAGAAAAGCAATAAATGGTGTTTATAAGAAAAATATACTTATTGTACAAATATATATAAAACAGTACCAAAATACATATATATTGGGATTCTGCTAAAATTTCATTAAAATTAAGTGAAAATTTGTTGATATTTTATTCTTTTCGTGGAATTCGTGAAATGAAATGGAAATTTTTAGAATTAAAGTGTAATTTTTCATGATATTGGGAGCTCCACTTTTTTTTTTGTGCACTAAATGAAAAAATTGTCTGAAGTTCTATTTTCTGTTCATAATTTGGAATGCTGTCAAATTTGTCTTATTAGAAATTTTATCACTATATTTATGCAAATATAAAAAAGATGGTTAAGACTGATATACTGAAGGATTCTGAAGGTAATAATAATTTAATAAAGGTTCTTTTTTGATTTTAGAAAAAATTGTATAAAACCACTATTTTTTACTCAAGAAGACGTTTGTATGTACGAATACCTATACAAAATATGCACATACATATGTTAAATAATACATTCATATTTCAATTTTCTAAATGACAGTAATTTGTATAATCAAAGATCTGTGGTGTCCGAATTATCATAAAGTAAAAAAAAATTCCTATTCTTAATATATTGTTTTGAAGTATTGAAGAATTTAAAACATGCGTTACCTGTACGGTGTTTTGATTTTAAGATAATTGTAAGATATTATAAACACAAATTTTTCATTAATCAATCCGAATATTATAGTGGCTAATAATTATGAAGTAGATAGGTTCATTATTTAGTAATAAATTTGTCAAAATTTGTGCCATAGTTAGTAGGTTTATAAATGCGTTGCTAAAACGGCACATTGTTTTTAGAATAATTTAATTAACCCCAAATAGAACCGTATTTAAGTGAAACTGATGATTATTGCACATTTTATTATAATGATAGGTAGGTACATAGAAAGATATCTGCAATATATCGCACGAACACACACATCTCTGTACGCATTTTAGTTTTACCTAATTTTACATAGATAGGCACTTACATATTTTTTCTACATTCTTTTCTGAGTATACATACGTACCAGGGTAGGTAGGGACTTAGCTGTCTATGCACGGTTTAAAAACAATGTTTTTTGAAGATTGTTATTTTATCTTCCGATTGCATCGTGTTGACAAGGAAAAATCGTCTGTAAATTTTTCGAATCCAAGACTAATTTTTTTTGTAAATTGTCATTTGAATCGATTATAATTACCTGCCTAACTGGATACGCAGTTATTATAACCACACATCTGTTCTATCCATTGAATTAAAAATAGATGCTAAAAAATCAAGGGAAAATGAACAATTTCCCTTAGGTGATCAATTTCCAATAGCCTTGCTTTTAAAGACATGTTTTATTAATCTATTTTAAACTATATCTTACAGTCAATCTTTTTTAATATTGGCCTTTTTACAATAACAACAATTTATTTTATTATCAAACTATAACAAGCTGCATTTCTATAGTTTATTAGTGGTGATTTTAATTTATTGTTGATTAATATAAAACGTTCACAAATGTCGTTCTTATTACTTTGATTTTAGGATATATATTGGAATACGATAACGACATAGGCGAAGATGAACGGAGATTTTACTTAAAGCTATTTCCTTGTGTTGATTTAGTTAAAGATAAAAAAACACATTGCACGTCATGTAATGTTCATTTGGGTACAGCTCCAGCAAATGAATCCAACATTTTCATGCATCCGATTCTTAAAGTGTCGCAATGTAAGAAATGTAATGAGTTTTACAATAGCGGTGAGTTCAGCAAAGGTGAAGATGGAAGTGAACTTTATTGTCGTTGGTGCGGTCAAGGTGGTGAAGTGTATTGTTGCGCTAAATGTCCTTTTGTCTTTTGTCGAGCTTGTATTTCATTAAATTTGGCAAGAAGTTTAGTAGCTGACATTCGAGACAACGAAAATTGGAACTGTTTTGTTTGTTCGCCGAAAATTACTTGGCCTATCAGAGCAACACACTGGGCTTTGAAAAATTATATTTCAAAACAAAAAAAGTAAGTTTTAAATTTTTTTCTAATGGAGTTGTTAGTTAATTTTGAATCTTATTCATAGACACATTAAAAGTACAATTAATAATGAAACTGAACAAAGGCGTCTTTTGAGAAAAGATTCAAGTACATGTTGCTTCCAAAGCAAAAATAATGACGAAACTCATACATCTAAGGACTGCGATACACTTCTATCCCAAAAACCTAATCTAGTTGTGTTAAAGAAAAGAAAAGCTGAAAATGATATTTCAAACAGTGATGAACCAAAACCAAAACAGCAATCAGTTCCGTTGTTATCAAAAACCATTTCCCTTTCTAATGTTTCATTGCCAAAACAGACACAAGTAATCGCTACAAATACACCAACAAATAGCACTTTGAGTTCTGCTAATTTAATCCAGACAGCTAAAGCTCCTTTTGTATTAAATAACAGTGTAACTGTGCAACTAAATAAAACTTTAGTTCCCGTGGGGCAGACATCACGAGCTTTGACGAATTGTCACGTCAAACCACAAAATACCACTGCAACGCAATCAAATCAATCTGCTGTTAAAATTGTTCAACTTCAGCAAGGTGGGCCAAACCAACAATCCCGAATGCAAATGCAGTTAGGATCAAATCCACCGCCGTTGATAATACGAAATCGTGGTGTCCAAATTCGGCCACATATTAACGTTGTTAGTACCCCTTCTCAAAGTGTTAATTCGAATCAGCTTAACCGAACAACAACAACGGTTCAATTAGGTATGAGACAGCCAAGTGATCACGCTCCTGTATATCATAATATCGGTGGATTTTGTATTGATCTCAATTCGGCAGCTCAACATGATTCCATTAGATTACCAAATGGAAAACTAATTCAAGTAAAAAAGTCAACGACAAATAACTCCAGTCAAAACTCAAATTTGCGCCAACAAATACCTAGTGGCGTTTTAACTCCAATTCTTAACCAACCCCAACACCAATTTACAATCACTCAAAGTGCTGCGCCCGTGCAAAATCAAATTAATAACGTAAATTCTATTCAATCAACGGCACCTCCTCTACAATCACTTCAGCAACCGCAGAGTATCCAAACAGTTCCCGCTTCTACAGTATTACCGAACGCAACTGGGCAAGTTCAAATTATTAATGGTAATATAGTTCAAACAATGGCTGGAAATATAAGTACTCAAGTTAGACCTTTACTGGTTAAAAATTTGTACCCTAATACACCAATCGGTAAAGCTCGAAGTCAACTGCAAAATCAAATTTTTAGTGCAATGGAAATTTGTCAACATTTAAGTAGTAAACTTCAAACATTAACTAATTCTAATCCATACAAAAATGCAAGTACTGTAGGAGATGTGAAAGAACTGTATATACATCTTTCTTATTTATTCACTTATGGTATAGGGCGCTTAAAAAGTTTACAAGATATATGCAATCTATTTAAAGGCCAGCAAACAGCAGGTACGACTCCCTTTTTTTTTTTACCTTTGCACATTTGATTCAAAATATTTATTTTTATTTCTAGAAAATTGCTCAAGTGATGGCGACGAAGATGAAATTGAAATTGTTGAGCCCAAAACAACTACAATAGATTTAGATTCTGATAATGAAGATGTTGAAACGATTCAAAAATCAGTGAACACTCAAAAAGAAAAAAATTCAAATAAAACTAATTTACCGAATCTAACTGTGCGAAAGCAAACCCAAAATCTACAACGCAAGACTACCACACCCGAAATTCGTAGTGTTAGTCTCCAATCATCCCAAAAAAACAACGCAAAAAGTCAAGGTACTAAAGTACAAATTCCTACATCATTACAACAAAAAGCACAAGATAATTTAGCAGATCAATCATCCAGATCGCCAGATCAAATAGGAAGTGATGACGATTTTAACCCTTTAAGTGTATTAGCCTGCATGCTTGAAGTAGAACTAACCGAAGGTAGTGAAAATACGGTAAAACCCATATCAACCCCAAAAAAACCAAGGAAAAAAGTGACTCATCGTTCTAATCCAAGTTTAATTAGGAAAAAAAGAGAAATTGAAGTAGAAAAATTGAAAAGAGATGATTTAAAGTTGAAGCAAAATTGTAGAGTTAAAATAACACCTTTGTGTATGGATTCAATATATTATCGAGAAACCTTAGAACGCTATAAAAAATATAGAGAAAATTTGGAGAAAAGAGAGAGTAACGAGAAAATGGATATTCAAAATGAACAGGAATTATATAATTCAAATAATGAACATATGAAAAACACTTCTGAAAAAGAAGTTTGTTCAGCGTTCAATAGTGAAAACAACAAAAATAAAAAAGCCGAGAGTAGCAATCAATTTCGTAATTTACAAAATAACGAATCTGATAACAATAGGAATAAAGAACTCACTGAGGTTGAAAATAGGGATCAAGTTAAAAATTTACAAAGTAAGGAACATAAAACACAAGAAGAGGTTGAAAACAATATTCATGTAGATAATTTACAATTCAATGAAAATAGCCAAGTTGCTGATTTACAAAATAAAAACTATACCAGTAGAGAAAGTAAGCAATCTAAAAAGGTTGAAAGAAGTAATCAATCTGATCATTCATGTAATAAGGAATTGAGTAATAGGGAAAATGAGCTTAACAAGGTGAAAAACAATAATCAATTGAACAGTTTACAAAAAAAAGATTCAAAAGACTTAAGAAATGGCAGTCAAACTAATAATATACAAAAAAAAAAAGAAGAGAAGCTAAATTTAAAAACTTCTATTAAAACTGATCTGTGTAAAAAAAATGGAAAAGATTTTCCAGAAAAATTTGTAGAGCTTTCTAAGACGTGTGAATTTGTTGCTAAAATTGAACTGAATCAGAACGACAAACTTTCTGAACCAAAACTGTCACTGTCAAGTGAAGTAATTATTCACACCAAGGGGAACTTTAAGGACGAAGAAAAATCATCACTCACAATTCTTGAGGAAAATGAAAAATCAAAAGATAAGGTAATTTATTTACACGAAAAAAATTTAGAAATTGAATCAATTCAAAACAAGGAAAAAAGTGAGGAAGGTGATCTAAATCTAAATAATTTCCACGATTCAGATATCATTCCAGAAGAAGATAAAATTCATAAAGTTGAATTGCGAAAGAGTTTAGAAGTTGAATCAAATCAAAATAAGGTAAAAAGTGAAGAAGGCGATCTAAATCTAAAAAGTTCATACTTTTCAGATATCAATCCTGATAAAGCTGAAACGCTGAATGATTTGAATTTAAGTACGAATTTAGCCGAAAAATCAAAATGTATTGAACTCAATCAAAGTATAAATATATCAGAATTAGAAATAAGAAGTGAAAATGAAGTAAATTTCGAAAGTGGGGAAAAGGAGCAAGATATGATCAAAAATATTGAAAATAATAAATCCACGAATTTAATAAATAATAAAGAAAGTCCCAATTTGAATATTTTAAATAGTTCTAAAATATACTCACGGCCTGACTTATCATTGTCAAATTTTCAAAGTGAGGAGGAAAATGAAAATAACATTGAGCAAAAAGGAACTGAAAATTCAACACAAAAAACCGAAAATAAACCCGTTGAAAGTAAAAATCGAGATATAAATTTCAATAAAGAAGAAATTGACGTAGAACTTTCTTTAGGAAAAAATCTATCTTCAGAAACACAATTATATAAAACTGAAAACAATTGCAAACAACATAGTAAGGATAAACTAGAAAAAAATGAAAATGCCTCTACTTTAGTAGGAGCGCAAAATAATGAAAATCGGACACTTGATGCAGGTGATCCTTTGGAAAAGAATAGCGTAATTTCAACAACAGCCATCAAAATTGTGGAAGATGCCTCAGAAAAAAATGAAATTCCACATAAGAAAGAGACGAACTCACGGTTGACGACAGAAGTATGTGTGGAAGATAATTTGAACCTATCGATTGGAATAAAAAATATCGAACTAAGCGAAAATGAAAAAGAGATAAACACTACTAAAAGTGGTCCCGTTATGAAGGATAAGAAATATGATGAAGCAAATTTTGAAAATAATAGCGATGCTAATAAATTTGAGAATGTTCTTATAAAAAAAACTGAAATGATAGAATCTTAAATATTGTATATTTAAATGAAGTATTTTTAGAATTTTGTTTCAATTAACTTAATATTTGAAATTAAAACTAGCGGAATGTATGTATTTGTGTACGTATACTATGCTAAAATGAAAAATTTTATTTTTTTTTTATTTTTTCGTTTTTGAAAATCAATTCGATTAAATATAAGTTATCTGTTATTCAGTTAAATAAATTATAAATTAAAACTATTTTTATCAATAAATTTAATTGAGAAATTTTTAAAAGAAAATTCTTAATCAAAAATAGGAATAAGTAAAATTTTTTTAATATGCAGAAGTTATGATTTTGGCGATTTTTAAAAATTATTTAGTAAATAAAGGATTTAAGTCTATAAACATGCTTTTAGTTTTCTTAAAAATAAATATAAGAGATAATAGCTACAATTTGTGATTCACAATTTTTAAGTTAAGTGGTTTAATATCGTGTTATATTGCAAATAGTTAATGAGAAAGTGCTCTCAAGGGACGTCACTACTATAAAACGTATAGTTTCTTTATTTTTGAAATTCGCCATTTCAAAATACTCAGTCTTTTTAGAATAAACAGGTTTGTAAAATTACAAATATTGTAAAAAATATTAAATATTGTATAGCTACTTTTTGTATTTATAAAGCGAAGCTATTATTTTCTTAACCGTCGTTCATTTCGTTTCATTGATATCACTAAGTTTATTAAATTACTAAGAAAAATTTCTTTTACACAAGAGTAAAGCAATTTTTATTAACTGTTTTTGCAGTTAAAAATTCATATTAAATTTGAATAACTGTACACAAAACAACTGAATGTTTTTTTTATTCTTTATTAAATTATTTCTATAGTCGATAATTATTGTAAAAAAGATTTAAAATTTTCATAAAGCTATTTGAATTTAATTTATAAATTATAAACTTGGACTTTTTTAATCAATTTTTAATTTCATTAATTTTGACTTTTTTTAATATTCAAAAAATTAGCAATATAACGAACATCGAAAATTTTCGTTAAAATGCAACATTGTATTGTTAAAAATTTTTTTCAAAAATATTCTGTAAAATTTTTAAACGAAAATTAAAATGTGTTATTACATTCAGAAATATTTATTCCTGTTTTTTTTTTTATTTTTGAGATCTTTGGAAATTTTGGCTGATTTTTTCGAATTAGAGTTATTACATTAGAATTTTCTTTTCAGTTTTTGCTTTAGCAGACTATGTATAAAAATATTGATTTTTAATTCTATAATATTATCTTAAATTTTTAAAAAAATCCATATATGTAATTTCTACACTTAAATTTTATCCTTAATATAATATATTATTTTTTAAATTCTAGTTTTTCTGATGTAAAAAAATACATAAGATTATACTATATTTTTTATATTTTTTGTTTACTTCTAAAATGTTTAAATATAAACTTAATTTCCTCCATCCATAATTTCGTGAAAATTACCAACAAAACCACCGTCGTTTGGAATTATCATCATTTCTGTTAAGTTCCCAATGTTATTTCTGGCCAAGTATGAATTATTTTCTGACAAGTTTCCTCCTATTGTTATTCCGGTACTCCCAGTGATATTCCCACTACCACCTGAACTTGCTGCGCTACTTCTTCTGGCTTTTGCTTTGGCGTGTGTCAAAATATGTGATTTCAAATTGGTCGATTGTGCAAATTTTTTATTACATCCGTCAAACGGGCAAACATAAGGTCGATCGCCAGTATGTATTCGAACGTGCGTTCTAAAAGTCATATTCAAAAATTTGTGTTTTAAATTTTTTTAAAAAATTTTTACCTTAAATTAAAATCCAATGAAAAACGTTTACCACAGCCTTCAAATGTACATTGAAATGGTTTTTCACCCGTGTGTACCAATTGATGACGTTTCAATTTTGAACTTTCTACAAATGCTTTGCCACATTCAGCACATACGTGAACACGAGGTCCATGTGTATGTAGATGTTTTCGCATAGAAGCATTATCACGAAACATTTTACTGCAACCTTTGTGTGGACACGCTACAGTTCTTTCATAATAATCATTAGGAACAGATGGTTTTGTGTTAATTCCACTTGTGGTATTGTTTTTATTTATCGCGGCTTTTAATTTTTTATTGGATCTGATAAGCTCATTTAATTGCTTAGGATCTAATAAATTCAAATTTAGGCCCGTCGGTTTTATGTCCACTAAAGTACTGCCAGTATCTTGAAACACCGGATTATTGTGATTGCTATTACTACCGCCATCCATATATTCTGAGTAATCAGAATCTAAATGATTATTGGAATTCTCTTCTTCAATACCAGTATCTTCTATTCCTCCAGTACCACAATCTTCAGGCGACGAAGTTGTTGATGACCACATTGTTACACTTAAAATTATATTGTAAACAAATTTAAAGTAGGTAAATTATTCCAATCATTCTAAATTTTTTTCGCTATTTACCTAAACTCGCCATCCATTGTTTTTATTTGTACTTGTTTCTGTTCCCAACGTTTTGTTTTGGTGGCCTGTCGTTGTTGATGATGCGCAGATTCGTTTATGACCAGTTGATTCGGTAGTTCAATGGAATCCTGCTGCAAAAGCTGCACATGATCCTCTAACTTAATTGTACGTGCTAATTGCAATTGTTGTTGTTGTAGTTGTTGTTGATTCTGTTGCTGTTGTTGTAGTAATTGTGTTTGCAAAAGTGATGGTCCAGAAATGTTTTGTACTAAAATTCTATTATCAAGCGATGACGGATCAGTTGTGTAAACATAAAATGGATTTTCATCTGTTGCATCAAATATCGGCTCTGCTTTAACATAGTTTGTACTTGAAAAATTATCACCATCTTCATCATCTATATCGTTACTATTTATTCCTAAATTGGTTTCATCATCATCATCTGGTTGTTGCAATAAAAAATTTTGTGAATCTTCTGCTTCACAAATTACTTCTTCATATTGATCTTCAGTATTATCAACAATTTCATATTGATCTAAGTTATCATATGGTAAGTCAGTGTTAATATGAGATAAATGTGAGCCTGGATTGTCGACAACTTGAATTATTTGGGCATTTGATATATCAACTTCACCAATAAGATTTTGATGTGCCATAATATATTTATTTTATGGTGGGTAATTTCTGTTATGAAAAAAAATAATAAATAATTTTAAAGCAAGAACTTAAACAATTTGCAAAGTATACACTTATTACTTCCAATGAACTTTTTCGATTTTATCAATTCGCTTGTTTTAATTAGTTTCGTTCAGAAATCACATTTATTTTGTTTTCTTATGTCTTATATTAGTAATTTTTTTTTCTTAATAATGGTAAAAACCTACCTAATATTGAAATTTGAAAGTAACAACAAGAAAAAAAAACTTCAATGTTAATTTTTTATGTTACAATTCTAATTAAATTAGTTTAGTCTATTGACAAGACCTATTGACAAGACTATATACTTCATCCTTGTTTTTGAATTTTTTATAATTGCTCATAACATCCAAAATTCAATTTTAAATGGAAAACTATGCTGCTAATTAATTTTTAAATTAGATTTATGCCGGCTAATTTACTTTGTTTATATTTGTTCCTACAGACAAAAAAATCTTTTCCTTAACCAAAGAGACTTTAATTGAATTTTTTTGTATTAAGAGAATTCTTAGTTTAGGTTTTTGATCTCCTGAAACTTAAATTTTTATGCCATTAAACTATTTAATTGGATACAGGTACTTAATAAAATAAATAAGTTTGTTTATTTTTTAGAATGCTTTGTATTTTGTTTATGAATTCTCTGCATTCGGCAATTTTTGTATATATACAAAAAAAATTAATATGGCGTGGATTTCAAGATGGCTTTAGCCGCCATATGTAATTTAAAAAATTCAATACAGCTCTAGATTATCAAACCATTTTTTAATTTACTTACCAAAACCATTAAATTCCTTTAATTTGAGGTAAATTTCAAAATTTTATTTTCCTTATAAGCTATTAAAGGCAAAAATATTTAATTTCCATTAGTTTAGTAAATTTAATATGGCGTCTATATAAATCTACACCGCCGGTTAGGGTGCTGCCATTGATTAATAATTTTAATGTTGATTAGTTTTTAAGCCATGGTTTTATGAGTTGATTTAACAGCAATGTAGTAAATTTAGAGAATAAAAATTTCACAAAAAACCTTGAGTTTTGATAAAATAAAAGCGGATTACACTCTTTACATGCTCATTTGCAGCAAGCAAACTCAAATTTTTCGGTGAAAATTGACATTACGGATTTCCCAAATGTCAGTTTCAATATAAGATTTTGAATTTAAATGAAATAGAATGAAAAACATAAGTTAGCTTTAGTTTCTTTTCAATTGATTGGAGTATACGAACGAACCTATTCTAATTTTTATTACAACTTTTATTTCAAAATTAAAAATGATATTTGTCATTAAATTGTGATAGCATACTGCAGAGATATACATACTTTCAATTTTCAGAATTCTGCTGCTATATGAAGTATGACATTGCAATGACTCGTTGCAGTAGATTCTGCGAATGTTTGAGTCGCAGCATAATAAAGTACGACAATTATACGGTAAACATAAATGGTAGCAACAAGAACTGCAAAATTTGACAACTGCAAGAAAAATATACATCTGGGTTGTAAAAAAAACCCCACACAATGAAACAGAAACCTAATTTTAATCATTATTTACCTTTAAAAATTCTGTTTTTTTGCACTGTAAATAAGAAACAACAACAAAATTTAGTGATTTTATGGAAAATAAACAATTAAATAAAAAAATTTGTAGTTTTGAAATGTGACAGGGTAGGATATTTAGCTAGTGTATTTTGTTGTTGCAAAAAAGAATGAAGATGGAAGGCAATTTTAAATTTTATTTATTAATTTCCATTTTTTAAATTCTATATTCAAAGCTTCCAATTAAAACGTTACTACGTTTTAGTAAAGTGTCGTGTTTGATTTTCTTATTAAAAATCTTATTGAAAATTTTGTTTTTCTCTAAAAGGAAAAGTTTAAATTGTACAAGTAGGAAGATTAAACAAAATTTATACAAATATGGAAAATTTTCATTATCAATTTGCTTAGTACTATACAATTTATGTATAGCACTCGAATATTTGCAATATAATTCGAAATTATATTGCGGTTTCTAAATTCGCTCCAAAAAAAGTGGCTATCGAGATTTCAACAAAATTACATTTGAAATTATAAAAAAAGTAAGCAAAGTAAATAATGTTTATAATAGCAAATATATTTTTCAAAATTTTAAAGTTTAATAAACATAATGAGTACACCAGTAATAGTAGTGAAGAGGAAGAAAATTCAAATATTGGAAGGATACGAAGGATGCTAATTTTGCGAACCGCTTCCGATTTGTTTTTTTTTAAACTAAAAACTTATAAATATTATGCATATACAAATGCTACTTTTGTTTTGCCGTAAAAAACAAATATTTTTATTACATGCTATATATGCTACATAGATATTATTTATTAAGAAAAGTTTTTTTTAATTACATTTATCTTATTACAGATATTTAAAAATTAATATTTATTTTACTACTTATATAATATATGTAAACTATCACTTGAAAATCACAAGAAAGTCTAAAAATATTCTCTTTGCGAAGCAGAATACCATTTAGGCGAATTAGAGAACAATGGACATTCGCTTCGCGTCATTGTCGCATATGTAAGCCGTACTTTATAATATTGCTTAGAAATATCAAGTGAAGAATAAAATGCTAATAAATATTGATAGTAACGTTTTTGTTCGAGTATCCTATTCGATGATTTTTTGACATGTGTGTTGGTCGAGACTCATCCTATTAGACGTGAATGGGCCAAGAAACAAAATAGTACTTTCGGAAATCGGAATTTTATTGTAGTTAAAAAATTTAAATATTTGGTAGAAATTATTACAATAATGCTCTCAATTGGAGCTTTAGCAAATATTAAACATACTCTTCAAAGAGAAATATTTAATGAAGGAGATGAAAAGATATTATCTATATGTACAGTGACTAAGGCATTGAAAAAAAAGAAAGCTGCCGTGTATTTATGTATTGTGTCAACAGCAGCTCCACAATCTATGGTAAAAATTCATCAAATTAAACAACAAAATGAAGGGGATTTTAAAAAGAAACGGAGTTGGACCTTGCAAGATTTGAAATATGTCGATGGAAAAAATGCTAACTTAAAAACGCATGAATTTGACATTTACTTTGAAAAAGTTTTTAAATGGTATGCAATAAATTTACATGAAAGACAAAATTTCCTAACAGTGCTGCATAAACAAGCAATGAAATATGTTAAGAGTGGTGGCAATAACATTGAATTTCGAAATATACCGGCTTCATGGATACAAGATAAGTCTCCAGTTAAAACAAAGCCAGAAGATAACTTCAATGAAGTTCCAAAATCTCCAGATTCCAGTACAGATGACGAAACAGAGGATTTTCATATACTGACTGAAAAAGAAATATCGGAGCTTAACAGACTTGTAGAAGAAAGTGAATTTGCTATAAAAGATGCTGAATTATTTATTGATCAATTGGGGAAAAAACTGGGTGAACTAGATGGAGTAAGATGTTATTTGAGTTTGATCATTAAATAATTTTTAAAACATTTTATTATTTAGGCTAATATTCAGAGTGTTTTGGCATCCGAAAAAAAAGTGTTTACGTTGATGGATGAAATTGAGAAGGCAGTTAAGCAAGCAGACTCTTTTGAAAAACGTTTGGATTCATACGACGAAATTCTAAGCCACGTTCGTGAAACAATGGAAAAAATCGGTGGCAAAAATGCTATGATTGAAACAGCAAATAACAACAATATAAAGTTGATGACTGAGTTGAATAAAGTTATTGTAAGTGTTACATTTAAGGCAACAAAGTTTTTTAAAAAACACTTGTTTACAGTCGCAATTTGATCTGTCATCTGCGAATCAACACTGCCTAAGTGAACCCGATTTAAAAACACATAATGGGCGCGTTGCAGCTATAGAAGCTGGGAAAGCGCTACAGAAAGCTATGAATGGTAACATCGATTCATCATTATACAGGCTAACTGCAGTTCAAGATCAAATAAAAAGGTTTGAGAAATTGCGGGCTAAATTTTCATTAGCTATTAGCAGGCATTTAAATAACTTATTTATACATTTGGGAAATGACCTGGGCGATCAACAGCAACCTCAACAAATCGATCTTGCATTAGGAAGCCATAGTTCAGTACATAAAGAATTAAGAGGATACACAGAATTGATGCATTGGATGAAAATGATGGGGAATAAGGCATATGATGGTTTGACAGAGGTTTATACAAGTTCTTTGAGTAAAATTTATGAAAGAGATTTACGAATATTTTTTGCACAGGTGAATAACATGTTATAGTTTCTTGTTTTTTTAACTTAGCAATTTTTCTGTTCGATAGGCAAGACAAAAATTATCTAACAGACATGATAGTTCCAGGGAAGATTTAGATAGTTCTGTTAAAGGAAAATCTTCAACAAAGCAATTGGTTGTTCCTTATGGTACCTTGGGAGTTCCCAAAGATCAGTGGGCGCACTCTGTGGAGCGTACAGATCGTAAAAAATATGACGAGATATTAGAAAAAGTTTTAACAGAATTAGAACCGGTAGCTTTACAGGAGCAGCTATTTTGCATTGCGTTTTTCCAGTTAGATGCTCAAACACCAGAGGTTGATAATTCTCCGAAAGAAATACAAGAAAAACAAGTTAAGCAAATTAATGAAGGCGTCAGAAGTATGATGATGAAACTATTTAGCTCTTTGGAAAGAGAGCTTTTGACATTTATTCAATGCCTCGAGCCTTTGGATAGTTTGTAAATACTATAATACTATAATAACTATTTGTATGAAATTTTATAAACAGTGTGAATTTTTCTTAGCTATTCGTTATATGTTTTGGTACGTTTAACTCAGCATGTCATGTCTGCGCAAGATACTCAATCGTTTTTAAGTATGACTTTTGCTTCAGCTTTAGTTCATGTTAAGCGCAACATGGACAAATTTATGATGCAACAAATTAAATCGATACAGGAGTGTAAAGTTCCAAAGCGTTCCAAATGTGGGATTTTGCCCTATGTTGAAAATTTTGAAGAATTTGCGAATTCGACTGAAGAAATATTTCAAAAATCTGAAAGACGCACTGATATGGATAAGCACTATATAACTATTGTTGAGACAATATTCGAATCAATTTCAATTCATGGAAATGAACATTCCAAAACACCAATTCAAGTTATAAAAATGGAAAATTACCATCATATGTGGAAGTTATTAGCTCAGTTAAGGATTTCGGTTTTGGATGACTTAAAGGAAGATGCTAAAATACGATATAAGGATGCCCAAAAGCAGTATGTTACAAAATATTTCGGCCGACCGCTTGAAAAACTAAACGTATGCATTTAATTTGTTCTAGATATTAACTTTTTAAAAATAATATGTAAATTTTTAGTTATTTTTTGAAGGAGTTCAACAAAAAGTTGCGCAAGGCGTTAAAGAAACAGAAATAAGTTATCAAATGGCATTTTCAAAACAAGAATTGCGAAAAGTAATTAGTCAATACCCAGCCAGAGAAGTAAAAAAAGGTCTTGAAAATCTATACAAAAAAGTTGAAAAACATTTGTGTGAAGAAGAAAGCCTTTTACAAGTTGTTTGGCACGCAATGCTAGAGGAGTTTATTGCCCAGTATAAATTTTTGGAAGAGAAAATCCAAAAGTGCTACGCTGGTGCAATGATAAATTTAGAATTTACCATCGATGATATTTTGACTTTCTTTTCAGATATTGCCAGGTCTCATTAATCAATCAAAACTATTTGAATTAATAGAAAATTTAGTAATACATAATTATGTTATTGACGTACATACATACATCATACAAGTCGAAATTGTTCTTTAAATTTAAATATGTTAAAATTAAGTTACATAGTTTTTGTAGTGCCTTTTGTTAATTGTGATAAAAAGTCAGTATGAATGTAATAAATTGTATAAAATAACAAATGTTTAAATTTATAAAATTTAATTATGGCATTTATACAAAGAAACCAGATGTCTGAATATTTAAGAAAAAGTTGTCAAAATGTAAATATTTTATCACAAGTTCTGGAACAACATGGCCAAAAGAATTTGTGCAACTTTTATTAAGTAGTTAAATATTTTTGATTCATAAGACAAAAATAGTACATTATATATTTGGAGAAAAATTAAAACAAAACAAAAACACCACTATTCAGCTACCTACTATTTCTAAAACTTAGAAAAATTCTTTTTATTTAAAAGTAAAATCAGTAATTTTTATATTTACATATATTCATAGTAGGATATTAAAAAATTTTGTATTTTATTTGAAAATCATATAGAAAAAATAATTAATACATACATAAATTGAATTTTATATTAATAACAATTTTATAACAAAAATGACTAACTCCTTTAATGTTAATATTATTTTTGCTTATATCTTTTAAAATTAGGCCAATTATTGACACAACCACTTATTTTATGAGAAACATATTTATTTTCGTAGTTACAATGTTTAAACATCCATTAAGAAGTAATAATCCTAAATATTAAAACACATATCTTTCTTTAAAAATTATAAATTGTTAACTATTAATTTCCACTTATACATAATACATACACATAACCTTTTATTTTGTTGGGTATTTATTTAAGAAGTTTTATTTGCTTTGATTGTCTTGACGTTATACTTATTTGAAAATCAAAGTTTTATATATAATTTTATATTACTAGTTTTAGGTTTACAATTAGTTTGGCAAAGCGGAATCTTTGTAAAATTTATAAGTACTAATATTATCTACTTTTCGAATTGCACGTCTGTTATATTTTCTGTTTAGAAAAGACAAAAGTGGGAGTATTTTTTGTAATCGCAGTTAAGCTAATTCTTTGTTATATTGATGTTCGTTTTCTTTTTGACTTAAACTTTCTTTTGGGTTTAATTCTTGCAGCTCAATATTTTTCTCATATTTCGGGGGTATTAATCGCTTTCTGTAAATACATAGTTTCCCTACGTTAAAATATTCAACTTTAAAAAATGTTTAAACTCACCGAAATAAATGTAACCAAATCATGGAAACCAGCATCATAACCCCAGTAGTACCGAAAGTCCAATAAGTTCCAAGTCTCGTGTATATATATCCAACGAATACTGGGCCCATTACACGAGACAGACAGCCTGAACCCGTCATAAGCCCCATCCAAACTCCTTGAGGTCTTGGTCCCAAAATTTTTGAAAATATAGTTTGTATGAGAGTAATTCCAATTGGATATCCAATTGATGTAAGCGCATAACCTAATAAAAATTGAGTAATTGTCAACGCTGGTGTATATTTACACCATTCTTGAGTTTCTGGACAGCCTAAATATTGTACGTCATTTTCAAAGTCAATAGTTGCGTTTTTAGCTATAATTTCATCTATAGTTTTAGCTAATTTTGCGGGTGCGTCACCCCAAGGTATACATACAAAACGACCAATTACCATTAACGAAAATCCACCCCAAATCAATACATTTTCCTCTGCAAATATTTTACATAACGGCCCAATTCCAACAAAAGTTATGCAAGCTAATATAGCACCAACAGACATCAACAAACCCATGTAATAAAGTGCTTCAGTTTTGGACCATGCGAACTGATCCATGGTTAGCGAAGTTCCAAGCCTAAAATGAATTTTAACAAACATTGACATTGAATAAACTTTGAACTCTTACGTTTCTAGCAGAACAAAATTAAAGAGCAGCACAAAGAAGGCGACAATTAAATTCCAGGCGGCTACGTAATCTGGTTTATTTGCTTTGAAGGTTTCTTTTTCACTCTTTCTTCCTTGAATTTTCATTACTTCTTTGGCAGCAATTTTTCTTTCCTGCGTATTCAAAAATATTTATCAAGAAAAATAATAAATTTTTGTTACCTGAAAAACAACAGGCAAAAATAAGCACACGTTACATATGCTCATTAGAACATTAATCCATCCAGCTGCAGTATACATATCTAATTTGATGAAATCAAATATTAAAATTCCTTCGCTTTTTAATGGTGTCACAGCTGCCTGTAAACCAGGTCCAATAACAAATCCCATAACTTGTGCTAATGAAATCATTGAAATAGCTTTAGTTCTTTCTGATATTCGTGTTGCAGCTGACAAATAAGACCTGCATACAGCGACATTAGCTGCAAATTAGTTTTTGAAAACATACTTTTACTATAGAATTCGAAGTTATTGTAATTAACTTATAATAAATATATACCTGAACTTACACCCACCAAAAATCGTGAACCAAGCATCCAATATTTTGTATAAGTTGGTATGAATTCTAAAGATGAATACGTTGCGCTTGCAATTGTAAATAAGGTTAAAGAGCAGTACATTGGAACTCTAATTGAATTTAAACGGTTCCCCCACCAACCAAAAAGCGGACTAAAAATCATTTGACCCAGAGGATTTGCACCTACCACCAGTCCCATAAATTCTTTTCCTGCTGAAGGATCTAGCTGAAAAATTATACATTGAAGGTAAGTTAAATATGTATGTAATACCTCTTAGATCTTATATACTTTGTTTAAAAAAGGCCATATTCCAGTTATTACAATACTAAATCCCAGTGACATCAAAAACATTGTAAAATATATAACTCGTATTGATCTCCATCTATCTTTGTATTCCTTCAAAGTTTCTAATCCATCATCAATATCTTCCGGTATAGATAAAGTTATAAATTTCGCCTTTAAATTATTTATTCTCTCCATTTTTTAAAAATTGAAGGCTAAAATATTCAAAGTACCTACATTAATGATAACAGTTTTTCAAAATTTGGGCCAGTATACATACATAAATAATAAAGTATACGTTATAAGTAAATATACACATAAATATGTACACATATGTACATTCTTAAGTATATATTAAGTATATTCATAAGTAGATCTACATATAAGATTATTTATAACTTATACATTGCAAATTGATAATGAGAATTGAAAACTTACTTGATTTTATGTAATTTTCGTTTCCGAACCTAATTTTCAGTCGGTTTTCTGCTTTTTTAATGTCATATCATTTAGTATAAAGATTTTACGATATAAAAATAAACTGAAAGTTTTCTTATCTTTTAAACAACAATGACATATAAAAAATGATAAAAAGCAGCTTTATTTCTTTGTTGTCTGGGTTCAGATTGATAGTTTTTGTGCTCTTTTATGTATCACTACGGCCTATGATCATATAAACCAACAAAAAATCATGCTTATAAAACTTTTTAGTTCCATAAAATGCATGTTGATCCTTTTAAAATTATGATACTTATCTTGAATCTGTAAGCATTTGTGTACGTGATTTTGTGTTGCAATTATGTTAATAATAAAAAATTAAATTAAACTAATTTAAAAAAATCTATCATTTATAATGGTACAAAATAAACATTTTTATTATGAATCGTGTCAAATTATTAATTGTCAAAAGTGACTTATCAAATAGACTTGTAAACATTATAGATTTATAGTACGTTTACTTCATTTGCTGCATTATTTTGAAAGTTTGGATCAATTTTGGCATACGTTTTGGCGTTGGAGGAGATAACGCAGGAGACTTACTATGTAATTCGATTTTCGTCAAACGATTTTCGTACTTGCAGAAATACAAAGGTAGTACTTAAAAATTATCCCCCTATCTCAAAAACTGCTGAGTTTTGACAACTACATAGTTCCAAATAAAAAGTTTATTCATTTTTGATGTTCTAAACAATGATATATAATTTTGTACTCTTTACTCAATTACCTACCCTGTCTAATGTAATTGAGCTACGTCTGGAGAATAACTAATTTTAATGATAAGGGCCTGATTGTCTATCTTGTATTTTGCTCGGTCAGTGAGAAGAAAGTGAGTAACTATCTATTTGTATAATGTAATTTTTGAGTGAAAAGAATTATTCGATATTGGGTATTTTGTTTTTTTAAATGTGTACAAAGTTTATTCACTTTGATTTTGAAAGTGGGATATTTTGTATTTTTAATGTGTTAAGTGTGTTGTGGAAATAAAAATTATAATAACAAAAGAATTTCGTAAGTATAATACAGCCATAAGTACGTATATTTATTAAAAACATTCTAGGAGACATATTAATTAATGAATGAACATGATATAAAAGAGTGCCAAGTTTGGGAAAACCTTAAATATATTTCTAACAAATTCTTATCAGCGTTCAATTGATTTTTATAATGGGTTTTGGTTATAAACTTCGTAGTAAACTGTTAAGTTTTGATGTAAGGTCAAGGCTCCGTCAGATAAATTCAATGTTATAAGTAAACAATTTGCAGACTATATCGTAGATTGTGTCGTATATGTAAACAGCTCCTTAATTTAAATTCTCTCATACAAAAGCACAAAAGGCGTAAGTGAGAACCACTTATACTACATGCGCCACCATATTTCACTTGGAACTTAACCAAAAGTCAATTTTTTCAAATTAACAGATGATACATATTATAATAATAATCATAGGTCATAATAGCACTTACATATTTTATACATAGCGATCGGCGTTTTTGTTGTGTTAAACACCCCACAACCCTTAATAAATATAATGTACTTATGTAGATTAAGTACTAATCATTAAGAACTAGTCACTAAACCAATAATTTTGCAGCGTGTGCCCTTTTTTACTTGTTGCAATGTCTCGAGGTGGTCGTGGTGGAAAATCAGGTTCTTCGTTAACACAAGAACAAATGCAGTCCTTAGGTATAGGGCCAGGAATGAATAAAGAAATGCCGTCCATAGCAGTTCCGCCCCCAACTTTTCCAGCTCTTATGTCGAAACCTGTGCCTTTTGAAGTAATTATGCATATAATTTTTTAAAGTAGTACATATTTATTTACTCCGTACATCTTAGATATCGACAGCTGAAAACTATAAAATACTATGGAAAGAAGATTTCTTAAATTATATGAGAGACTCTCCTTATTATTTACTTCCAAAAGTAGGCAAAGACCTTGGTCAAAGATTTGCTGAGCAATATAATGTAACAGAATAAGACTCAAAAATATTTTCTTTTGATAAAATCTGTTTTAATTTTAGCAATCATTAGAAAAAACAAAAGGAAAAAGAAAACTTGATATTCCTTGCGACTATCTTCCATTAGAATTACAGACATCGGGTTGGAAAAGAAAACAAAATATCAGAAATACAAAAGGGAAAAAAGCCAAACTTTCAGTTGAACAGTGTCTTAATATACTAGAACAAAAAGAAAAATCAGACGTAGAAAAGCAAGAAAATAATTCCGACACTGAAGAAGACGTACAAGAAGAACAAGAGAACGAGAATGAAGTTGATGACGATGAAATGGATGAAGAAAATGATTATGGTAATAATTACTTTGATAACGGAGAAACATTTAATGAAGAAGACGACAATTTAGACGATGGACCAGTCTATTAAACTTAATAGTAATTAAATAAAAATACTAAGGAAAAAATCTCGTTTTGTTTTAATCTACTTTATTTAAAACACTTCACATCTTACTTTTACTTATAAATGTAATCCATATGCAGGAAAATTTTGTCTAATCCAACCTTGGTGGTGAAAAATTTAATTCAATTGAACCAGTAGATTTAGCCTGAAATTTTTATTTCTTATTTGACAGATTTCTTTTCAATACGTTTAATTTCTTACCAGTCCAATAGCACTGACTAACATCAATATTCCAGTTGCCAAAACTGCGTTATATTTAGTTTGCTTTCTTTGATAATCTTCTTGCCAGTCACCTTGTGGAACTGGCAAATCATCCATTGTTGAGTGTTTGTAAGGTCCTTGATGATGATACAATGCGCGAGACATTACAGCAGCTAGTTTAATTTTAATTGAAGTAAAGAAATTACCATTACTTTGAAAAAATTGTGTTATATAACGATTTTTATAAAACTTACCATTTCGGACTAAAGCTGACTGTAATAAAGGTAATTTTGCCAACATGATGAATTTGACTTTATAGTTGCTACAATTTTGAACAAATTTTAATAATTTTATGAAATTTTTTAATGTAAAATTACCTTTATACCAAAAATCAACTCAAGGAATGGTCGCTTACTCGGTAGCTGATTGATTGCTCAGATTTTATAAAATTTTGTTTGCTGACATTTAATTGTCAAATAATTTATTATCGAATTTCAGTAATCCATCTGGCGTTCACTTTTTGAACAATAACTCTCTCATGGCGAACACTATTGAACAATAATTCTTTTTTTTATTTAGATTTTATTTTTTTATATAGAAAATACACCACAATATAAATTTTATTTCTCGCTTTTGGGAAAGCTGGGAAGCACAGCTTGAATAAATCTACATTAAATCAATGATAATTAAAAATTGCGTACAATCAAGTACGCATTTTTTTGAGTCTCTATCCTTTAATTTAATAACCTTTGTATTATTTCAACTTTGATATCGAATATGTTTCTACAGCGTCCATCTTCATTCGTGAACAAGGAGTTTTGTTGAGGTAAACTTGTAATAAATTAAATTTTTATAGCGTTTAAAATTACCATTACTAAACACTATACTAAGTTAAACGACTGTTGTGGAGACATTTTTCTTTTCGAGTCCAGATGTAACCCTTCGTATCCACTACTCAATGCCCTTTAACAGTATTGAAAACATTTCTAAAACTTACATTGTTAGTAGACTATAGCTGACTAACAACTTGAAGACTTAAACTTAATTTTAAATTGAATTTAAGTGTGAGTGACTATGTTGATCAACATGTTTTCATCGTTGATATCGTTGAAATGCACAGTTTCATATGGTTATATAATGTTGTCAATTATGTTCAATATATGTTCAGTTAGTTTATCAAAGTTTCCAAAATAACACTTTCATAATACGTAACCTTAAATACATAAGGTTATGATAGGTCGCCACAACCTTAAAATTACAAGGCAGTCAAAACCTGTAATATTACGGTAACATTAGATTGTCAAAAACTTTACACTTTTTAAAATTTCATGCACTTTCAAAATAAAATAAAAATAATTAACTCGGATTAGTTTCTGATATATATATACCATAAAAATATAGCATGAACAGCAAACTCAATCAGCATTTTTGTAATAATATCATATTTCATCAGCATTGTCATATTATTCTTTCACATTCCTTTCATCACATTCTTTAATTAATCTAATAAGAGAGTTTAAAAGCAAAATACGTGAAATATTTATTTCTCACCTTTTTTGTTTGATATGTAGACATAATGGAGGTAGATAAGCTTCAGGATATAAAGGGATAATGTAGGCATTTAGGTAACACATTGTTATTAAAATTAATGAAATGAGTTTTTAAAATTGAAATAGTGCAATATTAAGATTCCGTTATTTGAGAATTATCAAACATTCAATTGATTCATAAGATTTACTTCAAATTATTCATAAGATTTACTTACTTGTAGTAGATGACGATTGATATTGATATAGTTTTCAGGCTGCAGATAGTCTTTTCAGATTTCTTATTGACAAAGTTGAAATTTTTTTGTTAAACGTACTCACATTATCAAAATGTTTTAAATTTTGTTTAGGTTTTTTTTCGAAAAGGACTTAGTCTTCGAAAAAGTTTCGAGTAAGGCATTAAAACAAATCATATGAAGTATCTTTTGAAGTCAAGTAAAGATTAGTTGAAAAAAATTTTTTTACTTACCATATTTTTGAATTTTTATCGAGGTCGTATTGCATATACCTATGTAACTTCTGATAAAAATTACAATTTTGTGCATTGTACTTTGACATGAGAAAAATAATGTTAAGTGTGGCTCATAAGTAATGTTTTTGTTTTGAAATTTTGATTGGTTTTATTCTTGACATTACAAAAAATCTGTCAGCCGTGGTTTTATCGATATTACAGACTTTTGTTTACATCTAATTTAATTTCTTCGATATCTTAAAATGAACTAACTTAGAATATGAATTAAGATTTTATAATACGTATTTGTTTTAGATTTAGTAAGAAAATGGTTTTCATTACTGATTTAAGTGAATATGTTCTTCTAGAAATATTTAAGTACTGCAATGACAGTGATTTAGAAAATTTATATCTAACATGCACTTTATTTCGGAATGTTATTGAAGATAGAGTTTACAAAATTCGAGCAAGGAATCTATTACTAACTGGATATGGTGATGGTGTTCGTAATATTCAGAATTTAATAAGGTACTCTTTTGATTTGAGAGTACTCAATATACTTTTAATTCAATCATTTTTTTTTAGAACTTACCAAAATCTTTCTTTCAAAGATCGTATTATGATTTCTTCCAACTGGATCAATGGTCGATATAAGGAGTACACATACTTTCACCACAGAAAGTTTTTTGCATCAAAAATATTTTTAGAATTTTCAAATTTTTATATGTCCCATGGTGAATTTATTCGTATTTACAAGCGTTTGAAACACGAACCACTTCAGCGCAGGTATGCTATCGAAATTAGTTCGAAGGTATCAAAATCAGACATAGCAGCTTTTGTAAAAAAGGGTGATAGTTTATTTGTAATTCAAACTTGTGGCAATTGTTTTCTATATGAATCTGGGGAAATTTTAGCAGAACAACGTTTACATGATGTAACAGAATATTTGACATGCCTTGATTATGATGGAAAGCAACATTTTATAACAAGTTCCGAGAAAACAACAAAATTGTGGGAGAAGGATGTAGAATTAGGTTTGGTAAGCTTTGAGCTTATAAGGAATATTGATAACTATTTTAAATGTTTAAAATTCTCTGATGACGGAGCGAAAATCTACGGCGGTTTGTACACAGATTATGGACGCAAAGCTCTTCGTGAGATTGATGTGGAAACGTAAGATATTTTTTCAAAAAACTTAACATATTAACGTACATACTTTTTGTTTTTAGAGGATTGATATATTCTTTAAATTCCAAATCGCTTTCTATTTATGATTTAAAAATAAAAGATGAATACACATTACTTTCTGCACATTTTGATACAACTTTTCGATTGTTTGACAGAAGGACGAACAAGGATGAACATATTTGGATAGACCCTTATGATTCATCCATTTATTGCCTTGAATATGACGGATTGTACGGTGTACTTTGCGGAATGAAATATCATAGCCGAGTTAACTTATATGACATTCGAATGCCAAAAACTTTTGTACAAATGTATTTTGCTTTAACAAAAAGGAGTTGTGGTTCACCAGTTTATAGCATAACATGCGATTCACAATATCTATTTATTTCCAGAGATAATGATTTAAGAGTATTTGATTTTAGTGCTAGCTGGGCGCCTTCTAAAGATTATACAATTTGTTTTAATTAATAAAAAATGTTACTCAATCATAAAAAAATGTACATAAATACATAATATATGTATGTATATTGAATGTAGAATAATTTTTTTGTTTTGTGGAAAAGAAAAGACAAAAGTAATATGTTTTAGATTGATTAATAATATGTATCAGCATATATACTTTGTATTATTAAAAAATTTTAATTTATTAGTTTAGTATCTATAAATTGTATATTGCTAATTTAATCCGCCTATGATGTACGTAGGTAAAAATAAAAAAAGTACATATTTATTATCAAATTAAAAATGCATAAAAAATAATTTCATCCCTAATTTTAAAAGTTAGCATTTTATAAAAAAAGATAGTTTATATAAAAATAGATTTTAAAATTTTCAGAAAAAAAATGTTTGGATCAAATGCGTTATGTAATAAATAAAAATTGTAAATACAACCTTAATTTAATATTTTATGTTTAAGAAGATAAATTTAGCTAAACTCAGCCCTTATTAGTGAATTTTTTTTGATTTACTGAAAAGAACTTGAATGATGAACATTCTAAGTAATACTACTTGTTAGTGCAATATAAAGAATATGTTCCGCTATTAGTTTAAGTAAAAAATTTATTTGTGTGGTTTTTATACTGTGTTTTATTTCATTAAAAACTTTTGTTTTTTTTTAGTTTGCGCTCTTTAGCGTTATCACTAGTTCATTTAAGTATTTTACTTTAAACAATTGTAATCAAAAAGATTATTCTGTAAATTATTTTTATAATTATTATATAAATATATATTTATATAGGTATACGTCCCCTCGTTAACAATAAAACTCTCTTAAAAGCTAAAATTTAAAAAAATATAACATTAATATAAAAAAATGGTGCCAAACAATATATTACATTTGTTCAATTATTAAAATAATGATGAATTATTAAAATGATATATGTATTTCTTTTTATATGTAAGTGATTGGATAGGAGGAAAAATTAATATAATTTTTATATTAATTTTTTTTAATTAATATAAATTTGAGAATATTTAAAACAAAAATTCTGAATCTAAATACAAATAATATTTTTTTAACTAAATTTATACAAGTATGCGTATAAATATGTGTACTATTGTTCTATTGTAAATATTCTACACATTGCAAACAAAACTAGGTATCATCATTTTCGTGTATAGCTGCTGCTATTTCGCCATTAAACTGTAATAGACATCCTAATGCACCAAAATATCCTTCGTGTTCCAAAAAGAGACCTTTGAGTGTCCCTTTTGACCAATAGTCCATTGCATAAGCTAGAAGTTTCATTGAAATTGGATTTACACGAAGAAAATTTCCGACAAAAACTACCTGAATACAAAAATTAAAATTTTTTGAAGATTATTTGTATTAAAGATTTTTTTATACAACATAATTAGTAATTTAAAATAAGTTATACCTTGTCAATTTTTTCATTCACAGCACACATGCGCGCGATTGAACCAATATTATTTGTAATTGTAACTAATGTTGCGTTTGCTAAGTCGCTTTTTGTTATATTTTCTCTTCTTTCTTTTGAAATCATTTGCCCAAAGCTAATAAAATAATACAAATAACAATTTAAATATATAATAAAAAAACTTGTTTACCTTGATGCAACTAAATCACCATGTAGCCCGAAACGTTCATAATCACCCCCATAAATGTCTTTAACTAATTTATCAACTCTGGTATGATCACCTTCAGTAGCCAGTTGAATTGCTTCTTCGAATGTATCACAGCCTGTTAGGAGACAACATAGTCCCAGGAATGTTCCTCCACCTAAACTGTAAAATTAATTTCTTTTTTAAAAAAATCTAATCTTAATTACGACCCTTTTATCTGTTTTTACGCATAAACAACTTTTATTTACACAATTAAAAAAGTGAAACTTGAACAATTTTAGATAGTTCATTTCTCTTAGACAGAATGGGACTCTTTTACATATAAGTACATATTACATTCTTATATTTTATTTGAAAATTGCAAAAAGAAGGGTCTATAAACAGATATAGAGATTATAATAATAACTCTAATGTCGAATTGTTGAATGCACCATTTTACACAGTCAAATGTGATGATTTATGAGAAATCGTAATTCTTCAGAGACGAGGAGAAATTACATTTTAAAATTAAAAACATTTACATAGTCATGTATATATAAAGTAATTGTTTATAAAAAAGCATGAACAATTTTTACTGATTAAAAAGTTATTGAAATTTTCTTCTAAGTCATAATATTACCTTGTACCTGATATCCGTTTAAAATTATCTGGACCGTATACTGCTAAAACTGAAACTCCAGACCCGACATTCACTAAAATAAATGGATATGGCTGCGAAAAATCAAATGCTTTTTTTTCACTCCTCCTATCAAACAAAATTAACATATTTCAATAAAAAGTAAAAATATTAATAATATAATTATTACTTAATATCGCTGGCATTGTCCCAAAAATAACATTCTGTTGGATTTTGAACTTCAGCAAATAATATCCCTTTAATTAATGTGTCTAATTCATCAAATTTTGCTAATTTCATATTTACTTCCTTAAATTTATAAATGATATATGTATATATATATATATATAAAAAGATCTAATTTTTCAGAATAAAGCTACTAACTTCTCTAAAATTTTTTTCAAATTTATAGGCGCCACCACCAGTTGCACAAACCGTTGTTACAAGTTGAGCCATTCCTTTTGATTTTGCTAACGATAAAAAATTTCCCATTTCCGACGTTGGAAATCTTATGAAATGTAATGATCCTCTACGTTTTCGAATTTCTACATTATCCATCTGAAAATAAAAAGTAATTTAAAATAAATAATTAATCAAATCAATATTTAAATTGAATTAATTTACTTGTAAATGTGTATCACGATGTCCAGTTTTTCCATAAGCGGCATTTTTTGTTAAAAATTTTCTTATATTTCGAAGTACTTCAGCTTCTTGATCTTGTTCATCAGCAGTAATGTCTTTAGGTTCAAAATAAACTAATTTAGTTAGTGTACCACCAATATCCATACCAAACCATGGCATTGCTGCAAAAAGAAAAAATACCATAATTATTCATAAGTAAAATGTTGTGAATGACTTCTACATTATAAGGGAAAATTTGATCTTATACTCGTACGAGTACTATATACCTAGATAATAATTTAAAAAAAAAAACAAAAAAACCGTTAATGGCAGGTATTGATTAAATATTTCTTTTTACACTATTTTTGTCAGCATTGTTTAAAATTTTTACAAATTTTCATACAAAAAATAAAATTACTTTCTTAGTAGACACCATTGAAATTTTTAAGTTAAAAGATTATAATCCGCATAAAAATATATGAAGGCATTCTTAGTGAATAGTGATCGGTAATTAAGAAAATTGTAAAACATCCGAGTATAAGAGAATTACACAATTATTAAATTTTAAGGAAAACTGCAATATTTTAATAAATGAATACGAATTTGTATTTGAATACAATTCCAAAAATTATATTTAAAATCATGTTAAAACTGTAGAAATAAATTTTTTAACCGCATCGCTTTTTACAAATATATTCATCTTAGAGGTATTAACAGATATTTACGGTTTATTAGAAATATTTGTATAACAGAAATTCTAATAACTAATACAGAATGTTCCAAACTAAGTTATTACAAATATGAATATAAAAAAAACTTAAATCATAAATAAATATATAAATGAACTCTTACTTATAATATAATTTTCTAGTTCGAATTCAATTAGATTGGTGGTAAATAAGCTATTTTCAATGTCATTATTATTGTTATCATTATTATTATTATTGTTATTATTATTCATAATAATTTCATTAGTGTTACTATTAAGACGATTTTGATCATTTGTATTTTTTGCATTTTTTATAATTAATGTTGGTGGATTTTTTTTATAATTAGTTTTTTCATATTTTTTAAAATTTTTTACACGTTTTGTATCTGGATGCATTTTTAATTTTTATTCTACTAAATATTATACATAATTTTAATTGTTAATTAAAAATTTATTAATAAAAAAATAAATATTTAATTTAGACGTATTTATTACACTCACTGTAGTTAATTTTAATAAGATAATTTTTTTTCTTTTATAAGTATTTATTTTTTTATTTGCAATTTCTGTTTTACAGTATGCTTCATAATACTTATTACAGGTCTATTTTAATTGTATTTTAACAATTGTATAGAATACTCAAAGTATATATTTCAAAAGATTAATTTAATGTTTTAGATTAATTACACTAGAAGGAATTTAACTTTTCATATAATCTCATTTCAATAAAAAAAAAAACAGAAAAATAAATTTATTGCAATATGTTAAAATTTTAAAACGTAAGTTAACATAAGAAAGAAAAAAAAAATTATTAACTTTTCTGGCAAAGCTTGAATCAGAGAATTAGAGGATATTTCACAAGAATTTCGAAAAATTCTTGTCTGCAGCGTGATGTTACTTAGAATGTTTGCATTCCGCTTATATTGTGAAGCATTCTAGTACTGTAATAAAATGTTTTATGACATATTCATTTCGGACATTTAATTCTGTTGTATTTTTAACTTGTTAAGATGTGTTGCAGTATAATTTCCGAACCACTGACAGCCGTATAGTATTATTGGTAAAATAATTGTTTTGTAAATTAAAAAGTTTTTTTTTAATAACATTGGGACTTAATTTTTGCTAAGAAGAGAATATAAAAGTTTAATGAAATTTTTAATTTTAGTTGAAGTTTTATTTCTATGTTTACACTAACGTATTTGATATCGCTTTGGCAAAGTGTCTTCGAGTTTCCCAAAAATAAATTCTTTGTCGACTTGCGCTACTCTAAAGTATCACCAACTTTAAATCGCTTAAAAATCATAAAAACACATTGAATTTCCGTTTTAACTTATTGATACTGGTTTTATTAACCTGGAGATACTTATAAGAATCAGGTTTCTAAACTCAAACCAAACAATCGAATCCAAAGAAAACTAAAATTAAGCAACATATTTTGTGTATTTCTATTCTCCGGCAACAAAGGGTCCAAATAGCTTTTAATAATAAATTTAGAATTAAATTTATAAATATTATAACCAGAAATTGCTCATTGTCCTAAATTTAATAGAACATAATTTGACAGCAAAGCAGAGGTAAAAATTGCAGTTTCATTTGCAAAACTCTTTATTTGGTACGAGTAGATCTGATAAAAATATTGAAAATAAATTTGGACTCAAGAGAATAGCCCTGCGGGATGCCAACTACTATTTCGAACTTGTTTGATGTATTTGTATTATACTTGAACATAAAATAGTTGTTTGAAAAAAAAATTTCTCATAATATTCAATAGGCATGCAGGAAAATTTTATAATGGCATTTTATATTTATAATGGTATTTAGTTACGGGTTTGTTGAATTTGATGTGATTAGGAGTATTTGTGTCTAATATATTATTATTGCGCATAATATTAATAATAAGACACTAGATTAATTTGTCTAATATTAATATAAGATATTTGCTAAATATCAAAATATGCTTATTTGTTTTAAAAGAATTTGAAAAAAAAAATTTAGTTCATTTATGTGTAACTACATAGGTATTTAAGTAATAGGCTTGCAACAATAATAATTTTATAATTTAAAATTTTAAAGCTCATACAGTGTAATTTTTATACTTTAAGAACTGCAAGGTTCTCGTAAGATATTTAATGAATAAAAAAATGTTTTTAATTGTATGAGGATATAATGAGAAAAAATCTTAATTGTGTGAAGATAATATGATAATTGTGCTATCATTACAACTTAAAACTAAAGGAAATATTATTCAATCCCATTCGAAAAATATACCATTTTAAAAATATGCACTAAGGTATAAAAAAATTAGTTAGTGTTCTTAGTAAAGAAAAGGTCCCTTTCAATAAAACCAAGTAATTTTTATTGAAAAATTAAAATGTAATTTTTCTTATATGAAATCCTGCCCATCGGTTTATTTTGTGAAGTTAGTACGCATGCATCTACTCAAAAATTCTGTGTTAAAATTTCAAACTTTACTTACTTTAAAGTCATATAAGGAAAATAAAAGACTAATATATTATTATGTATATACGTGTAGAGCTAAATAAATAAGTAAATACTTTTTTAAATTTAATTTTTGTTTTCAATTTAATATTATTGGAACTCATAATATTTGTATAACAGTAACAATTATTTAACTAACAGAAAAAGTGTGTTAAACTATAGATACTTGAAATTTTATGCAACAAATGTATAAAAATTTGAATTTTAGATTCCTAGCATTGCAATTTTTAAAAATATGAATTTTATAGATTTAAAACTTATTCTTATAAGAAAGTGGTGTACTAACATAAATAAATACTTAAATTTTATTCAAAACAAAGAAATAAAAAGTGTTTTTATTATTTTAATTTGCTTATTGAATAAAATTAAATATTAAATGAAACAAGTTTCTTAAATTAAAAGAAACAATAAGAAAATGCATTTTCACTATAGAAATTAACAAAAAAAAAATTAAATTAGCGGAAATAAAATTAACACAAGAAAAAAAAAACCTATATATTTCTTTTTTTTTTTAGACTTTTAACCTTGGATACGAATTTTAAATTTTAAAATGAATATAACAAACTGTTCGAAATTTATCTGTGTCTTTCGTTAAATTAATTCGAATGAAACATGTATTTTTTAAGACTTTGCACAATTTTCAAAGACTTCTCACTTAAATGCATTAATTTCTAAATATTGTGTGTATTTAATACAATATAAATGTAGAATTAGGACAGTTTTTTGAATATGCAAAATGATGTAGAAATGAAAACATTTTGTTATGATTATATGAGATTAGTGGTGATTATTTTTTGTACAATTTCAAAGATATTGGAAACGTAGCAAAAAATATAAATTTTTGTTTTTGAAAAAATTTTAAGAATCAATATAATATTATACAGCATCTTTCGTATAAAGGAAAGGATGATTATTTCAGGGATGATTCTTTCATCAATACAGTGATCAATGATTCTTTAAGCTATAGCCTGTTAAATTAAGTACTAGACTTTAATTGCATATAAGTAAATTCTTATAACTTCTGAACCATGCATTATAGAGTAATCATTGCGAGCTCGTTTTACACACTATTAATTGCTCTTTATTTTCAGTCAACCAATTTGATTTTTTGAAAGGTTTTTTAAAAAACTCGAAATTCCTGTTATTATTATTTTTTTTTTGGATGCGCTACAATGAGATTTAAAAGGTAACCCATATAACATTTTCCTCTATCTATCTGTGTTTAAAAAACACGCGAAAATGCAAAGTTCATACATTTCATACAAAAATAACATTTACAAATATTTCTTTTAGTTTAGTATGCATACGAGTAATAAGGAATTTTTATGAAATGTATGAAATTTGCATTTTTCACAAAAATTTACAACAGCAGTTTGGCCATGTCTCGACTATAGTATTATTCTTGTTGATTTTACATTAAAATATAATTTGCATTCAATGTGTATAAATTCTATTTACGAATATATGTAAAAATAATTTATATAGAAAAGCTTTATTTAATATAACACATTGAGGTGTTTTTTCCTATTCTACTTGTAATTTTAGTTTAATTGAATATTAATTATAATTGAATTCCATTATTAAAGCAAAAAACAATCGTAAATATTATTTTTGACGTAATATTAAAATTTTTGATTTTATTATAGTGCGTATTAAATTTCATTATTAAAATAAACCTTGATCTTAAATAAATTACACAATAAATATACAAAATTAAATAACATACTCGTATATAAAGAAATATGTCAAATTGTGTATAAATCGCGTTTCACAATTGCATAAGTTTGACAATATTGTAATTATTTTTGGAAAAACTTCAATATTAAATTTAAATTAATTAGTTCTCAAATATTTTTTCGTTTCATCAAAGAAAAAAATTGTGTTCATATGATAATGAAAATTGATTTAGGATGTAAAAATTTTATAGCTTGGGGTATTTTAAAAAAAAATGTCAATGTCAAGCAATTATTGTTCAGCTTATTCGCGATTGATTTGACTATACCTAATTTGTGGTTTATAAACGAAATAATTGTGATTGTAATATGTAATGCACTCATCCCTCGCTTAACGAAAGCTCGATATACGGAATTTCGATTTTACGGAATTCAAAAATTAAACCAAAGTCTCTCTTTACGTGAAAAAAATTCGATTTACGGAAAATTTTTAAAATACAATAACGATTCTTGTTGTCTAATGTTGTAATAATAAAATCCTACTATTTTTTTTGGAAATTAACAAGAAATATACTCTTATATATACCTATATAAGTTTAGGAAAAAAATAATGTGGCTTTAAAGTAATGTAAGTAAAAAGATTCGATTTACGGACAACATTTCCGGAATATATTAGTTCCGTAAAGCGAGGGATAAGTGTATATAATTTTCACGGTTATAAATATAAAATATTATGCATTATATTAAACTTAGCGTTTCATTTTAAAGAATTGGTTTTTTTTTGTTGAATTTCAATTGAAAGCAACTTTTTTGTGATTTAACAATTTTAAGCAACAAAAATTTTCAAAGATAAAAAAAAAATTTTATTAATCGACACCCTATGATATACTGGTTGAAAACCCCTAAAATCAGAACAAAGAATAAAATTAAATCAAAAAATTTTTCGATTGAAGCTATGAAATCAATTAATATTTAATTGAAAACGATATTTTTTTTATTAAAAATTATTTAGTATAAAATAAAAGAGGAAGGTACAAAAAATTTAAAAACAAAAAAATTAATTAAAAATTTGAATGTTTGTATGTATGCAGCTTTTATTTTTATAAAACTAGTAACTCATTCTCAAAATAGTTTTAATTGCAAAAAAAAAAAATTCAATTTAAACTTTGGTCAAGTATACGCAATATACATATACGTATGTAACGTATGCGT